AAGTTTTGCCCAGGTCTTCGCTGTCAGCTTTATTTTAAAACATAGAAAATCAATAGTCCAACTGTGCTACTGCTTTCTGCCACTTTCCCCATCCTTGCGCTATTATCGAGAGAGTGTCTTGTCTAAATATGTATTTTAAGGTCAGTGTGCATCCATTCACACTCTGACTCTGGACGAACTCAACTCAACTGGGTTCTCATTTAGGTCCACCCACTCATTTTAAATATTCACACCAGCTAACACTTAACTGCATAGGTGTGTGTGTGTGTAGTGATTTGTGTGTGCTTTGTGTTTGTTGAGCGCTTTGATCTAAATTTAAATATATACAAATTACAGTAGAACGAGAATCAGCACAATTTGTAGAGGTAGATAAGGCTACGAATGCTTGTGGTGTCAAAAAATTGAAATAACCTTTAAATTGGAGCAATTGATTAATTCGAATCCTTGCAAAAAAAAAGTACTCAAGTTAGTTTTAAGTCGATTTTGCATTGCAGGCAGAACCTTGTTATAGATTACACTACACAGCGGAATACCTAGTGGCTAGTGAACTTATTTGTATTATTGATGGTAGTTTTATTTATATATAGATGCATTATAGTTATTATTAGTAAATAAAATTAGATTAGATTCAATAGTTATGAAACTTTGGCCGTATATACATATATTATTATATTTAAATCTGAAATAAATACACATAAATATGTTCATAAATATGTCTTAGACTTTTTATTGGTGGCACAAAAATATTTGTAGCATACTTTTTGGAGCAGCGGGGAATTCAACTTAGGGATACTTTGTAATACTACTTTCTTTACATGTGCCTAAAAGTATGCTATACAATTTCAGAATAAGTTAATATGGAGCGCAGTTTGCTATGCAATAAATAATTGTTTGATTGTTAAAATAAATAAATAAATATTGCTGCTTGACTATTAAAACAAGTAGCTGACAAGGTGTTAAATATTGCCAAGTCTGAGTTACGCTAAAAAGCATAGCGAATGTTTCGTTTCTTAAGTTAGTATTTGATTAATTAATGATTAAATAATAACACAATTTTCAAATATTTAGCTACGCTTTTGCTAACCAAAAAAGCAAACTCGTCAAAGTCAGGCTTAGGCGATAGATAAGAAGACAAGTCCATCAGCGCCAGATGAAAACTGTCACTGGGACCCGTCCTCGATTGGCAAATGCAATCAACACTTCAGTTTTGTCACAGTCTGTGGCAACACTTTGACTTTGTCGAGGTTTTCATTTCTTGGCCAGCTGCTGTTGCTGTTGGCAATTTAACAGTTTGGCAGCAGCGACTCCATTTCATTGATTCATTCATTAATGTCTGCAGCCAGTTAAACGTCATAAATGCGACACAGGTTTTGACATCTGTCCATACCCTCTGCTAATAGATTTTGATTTTTTGTGAAAATCACTGGAATTATGCTCAAAGCTGTATCTCAAAAAATAAACAGCTCAAGCTGATTTTGTCAACTTAACAATAAGTTAATTAAATATATAGAAAAATTGACTCTGACAATTGCTTAAACATCATGGTTTATTTTGGAAAAATGCTTTCTGCTTATCAGGTTTTTTCTTTAGTTGGTTGAGTCATAAAAAAATGTTAACCAACGCACAAAAAATTGTTTAAAATTGTATCTAGAAAAATTATTGACTGATTGTTGTCTTGTGACTTCGTAGGATATCCGCAGTGTCGACCACACCTCAACACAGCCTCGGAAAACAATTAAGTACTCGCAATTTATGAATGCTATTCGGGTTTAATCAACTCTAGCAGTAGATACATCATGCACTTCTAGCGATTTGCAAAGCAAATAGGCAGCAAATCTGCTGCGGCAGCATGTGTTAATTAATTGAGAATAAAATAGAGCCGAGAGAACCAAAAAATACGCATACGCCGTATGATACATGCGCATTCGATGAATTCTCAGGCCAAAATTGTTTGGTATTCGCGTCAAAAAAATTCTTCATATTGGGCAATGGCAGTCGACAAAACTAACAAGTAAAAGTAGTGCAGAGAAAAAGGGTTAGACTAGAAAATACCCTATGAGCGTAAATCGTTTCTTTGAATTGCACAGCAGGCAATTTTCTTAGACAAAAAATGTACAGAATTTTAATTATATTTACTTTCAAATTGTGGTTTTAGTTGGCATTGGTAATCGAATTTTGCAGATATATGTGATATATATGAATAATCAATATGAACCTTAAGTTTATTTAACAGCTTTCATCAATTACTCAGTGTTATGCCAAGCTATATGCTTACCAAATCAAACTATATATCTTTAAGATTATATCTCTAACTGCTATTGGTAATCTAAGATAGATGTAGATATTAAAATAAAGGTTTAAGTTATCGATAAAATTAAATAAACTAAATAGGCATACGTTATATGACATCATTTTTGTATATATTTATATTTATTGATATTTTTTGTTCCCAGCTAGTCACTAACTTATATTTGAAATTCCAACTAATATACAGACATATTTTTTGGTGGTTACAGGGTATACACATATAAGCAAAACTGCGCCTTTAATTTTGCTCTGGATTTTTTGATTAGACTCCGTCAACGTGCACGTCACTTCACAAGCATTTTGCACTAATTTGGTGCATGCACCGCCCGAGATTGCCAAATGTGTCGCTGTCGTTGTTTCTATTTGGGCAACAGCATGATGGGAGGCACCTTATGACACATAGATAGATAGTGCCACATGTGGACTGTTGCACTGGCAAATGGGCTATTTGGCATCTGATTTTACAACCCTTCTCTTGACCACTTTTGATCACTTTTAACTAAACCAGTTGGCATAAATTGGTTGGCGTTGAAAAGCGAACCGGAAAATATTGTTGCACACTTTTGAAAGCAATTTTCACGCTGTTCAAAAGTGGGGCAGGCATAAAATCTTTTATTTATAAACTTAACCAAAGACACTATGGCACTTTGGTCACAGCTGACAATTGTTATATTGACTTAATATTTGCTAATAGATTTCACATAAATCAGATACTTTTGGCATGATTTATGCATGAACTATGCACAGGTGTCTCTCAGTCCCGCTGTCCATCCAGTTGGCAACTGGCTGTATTTGTGCTTGTGTTGTCTGCGTGCCACTTGAGAGGAGGCTTCAACATCAGCTCGAGTGTTGCCGCAGTGCAAAAAATATCTGCATCATTTCAGATCGCTCGCCTTCTGAGCCTAACACATGGGTTACCTCGAGGGGTTCATTTGTCCCACAATCGTTTTAATTTTGATTTTTTTAATTACACATTACATGCGCGATATTGTTTTATCTCATAAATAAACAATGTTTAAAGTGGTTACACTCACTAAGCATTTATCTATAATTAAATACAAATTCTTAACTCGAATGCCAATTTTTTAGCCTGACTTGAACTGTTACAGGCTGGTTTTAATCTATTAATGGATTAACCAAGAAAGTGTTTTTTAAGAATAATTGGTTTAAACTTAGACTATTCCAGTTAGGGTCCATTGACTTTTACAATCAGCTTAATTTTTACTTTTAAAAAGTGTTAATCGTCTCAGAAACTTTTCCACACAACTTTTCCTGGCAACTGCACAAGGGTTAAGCGCTATGCATAAAAATCTCACGAACTGTCAATGCTTATGTACTCCAAATATTTTCTGTGGCCAAAAGTGTACGGCGTGGCTCTGGGCAACTTTTGTAAAATGCAATAATAATAACAACAACTAAAACAGCAACAAAAATATCACAATTTTGTTAAGCACCAAACACACAAATATGGTCAAATGTGGCACGCTGCGGCATTTTGGCAACGACAGCAAAAGCTGCAGCGGCACCAGAAAACTATAAAGACTGTTTGAAATATTTTTTGCAATTTTTTTTCGTGATCATTATTGGGCAACAAATGATAATTATGCAACTTTTGACCGTGTCAAATTGTCGACGTTTTTTAGCATCGCCTGGACAACTACGAGAACAACTTACAACAATTAGAGAACATTCTCGCCGGGATTCCAGACAAAAGCACTTATATAGCTAGAAGGCTACAAGCTAGGCAAATACGGTTGATCGATATTTAGATCGAAGATCAGATAAAATTCTACCAGTTTTTTGTCTATTTTTTTGGGTAACCAAAAAGATGTTCAACTAATTGGTTAATTTTGGATTTAATTTAATGTTTTTTTTTTTAATCAAATTCTGTATACCAAAAATAAAATAATGTACGTCTTAATTAGTTTAGCTAAATTAAATAAAAATTTGGTTTTTACACAATTCATTTGAGCAGTCTAAATGAATTCATAACTCAAATGGAGTTAAGTTTGGGCAAAAACTAAAATCAATGCCCAAAAAGTGAATAGAGCTCGATGCCTTAAAGATAATAAATGTATGCTCTTTTGAAGTTGGAGAAGCTCGACTGCAATCTTTGTGGGATTCTGATCGGACTCGACTTTCGAATTGTAAATCCCGAGCGATTGTCAGCTCCAAAAACCAAAAATAACTTTAAAAAAAATCCAAGAAAATCCCAGCCCAGGCTTGCTAAATGGCTGGCAGACTGGCAGACTGGCTGCCCGCCGCCTTTGACGACAAGTGGTCTGCCTTGGTGGCCAATTTGAAGCAGATTCAAGCCAAGTTAAGTTGTTGCGTCATCAGCAGCAGCAGCAGCAACAACAAGAATCACAGATCGCATTCAGACAGCATAGTTGTTGTTGTTGTTGTTGTCTACTTCAAAGATACTTCACAAATTGGTGCTGTTTTGTGGCCCGCTTTTGTTGACGGTCTGAACGACGAGATCGAAATCGAATTCGACTCGGCCTGGCCTGGCCTGGCCTGGCCTGGCTATCTAGCTATAGCTAGTCATCTGTCCAGCCGTCCAGCAGTCCGTCTGTCCCACTGCGTGCCTCGTCTGCAACAGTATAAAAGTAACTCAATGCACGCATTCAATTTACAGTTGCAATTCTCTATCAACACCAGCATCATCTCAAACAAAAAAAAAGGAACTAAACATGAAACTCTTGGTGAGTGCTGGAGCAGCAGGATTCCATATCCTAGCTACAAAAAAAATAATACTCCGATCTGCTGACAGATTCTAACCACTTTGTTGGCCGCTGCAAGCGCCGCACCCGGATTGCTTGATTACGACCTGGGTCACTCGGCTCCGGCTATTAGTTATGGCCATGCAGCGCCAGCTATAAGCTATGAGGCCCCATCGATTAGTTACGCCCATGCGGCACCTGCGATCAGCTATGCGGCACCTGCTCCAGTCATCAAATCCTATGCTCCAGCAATCAGCTATTCAGCACCCACCGTCGTCAAGTCATATGCACCGTCCATTAGCTATGCGGCGCCTGCTCCGGTCATCAAATCCTATGCGCCGGCAATCAGTTATGCGGCTCCCACATTGGTCAAGTCATATGCAGCACCAGTGGCCGTTAAGGCCGTCCAAGCTCCAGCCACCAGTTACTCGCACTTCAGCTCGGTAAGTTTCAACACAAAAAAAAAAAGAAGAAAAATATCTGAGCGAAATTGCTATTTTGTTAAGAGAACAGAATTGTTCAGAGATAAAGAGAGATTGACTAAAAATATATTTTCCTTCATTAATTTTGTTTACCGAGATTGTTAGCATTACCTTTAAAAAAAAAAAGATAAGTTTGCCTAAAAAATACATTTCAACTTTTAGAGTTCAAATAATGATAGTAATGACAAAGAAAAATCTCTGTTAATTAATTCTTGCTGATTTGACTAATTCTAAAATTTTAATTTTTCATATTATGCATTTTAAATTGAGTAGATAACAAATTGAAAATTTAAAACATCAACTCATCATTTATTTATTTTATTTATTATTTTATATACTCAACTATGCCAATTCTTTCATTTTAATATATAATATATATGTATATACATAATTGATATTTTTGTTGCCTTACCCTGCCAGGTTGTTTCCCATGCCACGCCCGTCATCAAGTCCTATGCCGCTCCGGCCATAGTCAAATCGTATGCTGCACCCGCCATCAGCTATGCTGCCCCAACTGTCGTCAAGTCTTATGCCGCACCAGCAATTAGCTACCAGCCAACACTGTTGAAATCCTATGCCGCTGCTCCGTCTTACTCATATGGTGGATACGATGATCACAGCAGCTATGGCTATCACTAAGCACTCCAGCACCGAGCATAATCAGCAAGTGGTATGGCCGCAGTGGGTCATATGCATACCCAAGTAATGACAGAGAGAGATAGAGAGAGACAGAGAGAGTGAGAGAGAGAGAGAGAGAGAGAGAGAGAGAGAGAGAGAGAGAGAGAGAGAGAGAGAGAGAGAGAGAGAGAGAGAGAGAGAGAGAGAGAGAGAGAGAGGAGAGGGGAGAGAGGAGAGGGGAGTTGATGGCAGCACATTTTCTAAACCTATTATTTCCGTAATTCACATATTCTGTATTTATTTAAGACTCAATCACTGCAAATAAAGAAAAAATTTTTTTGTAAATTTCTAAATTCTTTCAATTATTTCAAATGTGCAATTACAATTTTTTGTAAATGCTTGCCCAAATATCCATTTTTTATCCGGAATAAAACACAGATTTTTATTTAGTTGTCTTTTAATATGTGGAGTAAACAATAAATAATCATTTGTTCTTCTACATTTTAAAAACATAATTTTTATGATTTTAATTATTTATTATAGCACTTTTTTTGTGCTTTTCTTTATTTAATTCAACGCAGTAACCATATCAACTGAATTGGTTAAGACAAAGATAATGCTGAGAATGATGAAGCTAATGTTGTTCAACATTTTGGCCAATTGGCGCCAGGGTTTCTCCTGAACATCGCAGTATTCCGTCGCCTGTGTGACAAATTTGAAGATGCATTATTTGAAGAGAAATGCAATAAATGAATTTCAAACTTACGTCAGAGATGCGAAGTCCAAGGCAAAAACGCAATGGTTTCGAGTTGATTATGGCCAAAAGATAGGCAGGCGCCTTAGCACGTGGTGGATAGCGTTCGAGCCAAATTATGGCAATATGCAGCAAGTAACAATAGATGGAAATCCGCATGACATGCTGAAAGCCAGACACTAAAATCGAAAGATGAAAATTGGAATATTAAAAAACTAGAACGGGTAATCTGTGTATCTCAAAAGACTTTCGGATAGAGGAATATATCCAGATACTTACTCAACGAGGGCACATAGTGCGGCGAGGCGTGCCGCGTGAGATACATAAGATTCCAGGCAGTTAGCAGCACAACAATGAGTATAAGGGCACTTCGCCGATAGCCGCGTAAAAGAAACGAAAGTCCCAAAAGGATTTTGCACACTGCTCAAACCAGAGAAACATTCAATTAGACATTGACTTAATGGAATTGAAAATCAGCTAAAACATACCAACTAGCGGCATTATGAAGACCAGACTGTAGAAAGCCGTGTTTCGCTTCAGCGTAAATGCAATGGATACATCACCGGCGACCGTCTGTTGGAATCCATCTGGTGTGTATCTCATCGTGGTTGCATTCTGCACATGCGTCACAGCGATCTCGACAAATGTCCAGCCAGATGGTGTGTTAACGTGTTCATTGGGCGCCAACGGTTTACGTTCGTTGTCATAGGTCAGAGCGATGTCCGCCTGATTCTGCCCAACGCCCAGCTGAATGTCGCAATTGATGCGTTCGTTGGGCCAATTCCGTGCGGTGTCCACACACCAGGTAGTCACCTCCCAATTGCTGACCATTAATGTCACATTGCCATTGCTATAAACACGCAGCTCAAAAGCTTTCAACACTACACCCATCGACTCCATTGCGGCACTAGAAATATACAAAATTGACGTACGAATTTCGATAACTGGTGTCAATTGCTACCCACTTGAGGATGATGAGCTCTGGTGTCCATATCCGCAAATGAGGATGAACCAAGGACGTCCTTTGGCCATAGTCCTCCGGCTGCCAGCGCAGCCGTGAATCCACCCAGTGCAACATCAGCTGCATTCGAGTACGCAGTATGGCAGCGGATTGCTCGTAGGCCACCGATTGCATTTGAAAATGGAATTTAATCTCACTGAGATTCTGGGGCAGACTGCTATTCTGTGCCTGATAAATGAGCGAGTTAACCAAACGCTCTTCCACGGATTGCTCCCGCTGCTGTTGCTCCATCTCATTAGCTGTGCAAATGTACGAAATCAATTACTTAAGTCTGTAAAAGTATGTGTAGATACTAATTAAAGTACTTACAGAAACCATCAAAGGGACAGTCGTAGAACCAGCGTGCAGTATTCGTTCCAAACGTGCTGAAGCTGACGTAGTTAATAGTTAGAGCTGATGCGTCCTCGAAATGTAGTAGTGGTTCTTTCTTAAAGCCGGGTATGTAAACAAATAATTGACCATCTGGGAAACAAATTATTAGAGAGAGAGAGAGAGAGTGAGAGAGAGAGAGAGAGAGAGAGAGAGAGAGTATTATAAATTTCCTTCAACTATAAGATACTTAAATTCTATAATACGATCACTTGGCGAGTCAGTATCTATGACAACGAATCAAATAATTGTGAAAGTTATATAATCCTCGGTGCGCCATTTAAATATTATATTAATTTTCATTTGTCATATTTACCCTTAAATTGGACTACTTCAATGGGTGTCGGCTCGTAGACCGATAACAAATTATGATCTTGGTTTGTGGAGACGCGTGTCAAACCCATACTAGTGCGAATGGTCGAGAACGTATTTCCGCCGGCCCCTATCACTAAATATAAGAGAGAGACGCAGAGAACGGGATATGAATTTCAAGCGAGATTACTGTGAGACTACAGCCATAGTCCTATTTCCTTACCGATTTCATAGACGCGATCAGTGTTACGTGGTCGACTGGTTACCGATAGCAAAATATGCGCATCCATGCTTGCCAGAACGTAGAATTTCAAATGCAGGCGCTCATTTGCCTTGATGTTATTGTTGTCCAAGGTGTGCACCATGAAGAAATCCCTGTAGGCATAGCCACTGCCTGTATCGATCTCAATGCTCTCGCATGTATCCAACTGCGCAAAAGTGATATTATATCGGCCCTTGGCGGCGACCAGATACTGTGTAAGTGTCAGATATAGCAGCAAGCTGCTGCTGATAAGCCATTTTTTCAAAGTCATCATTTCAAATTTGTGTTTGCGATCGCTCAGCCAGCATTCGTTGTAAGCCCAAACTGAACTGATAAAATATGCGCGCCTTTGTCATCGATATCGAGTAAAAAGCAGTAAGTATGCAAATAGCAGTTATCGTAATTGAATTAAGTATCGATCTGAAGCAGCCCTCGCAAGTCGTTTGCTTATCTTATTATTTAGAAATTGCACATCTTTGCTGTTGTACATTTAAATTTGGGTGCTTAATTTTGATAATTTAGAAAGGGAAAGGGTATAGATTAGTCGACTAAAAAATCCACTTTGAAAACAAGTGTCTTAGTTCACTAGAAAAACTAGTTCCACAAGCACCGAATCAATTTAATCGAAATCATATGTTTCATATATCGATGCTTATTCATCCATCCCTAATATGTCAATACGATAACAGTGTCTGCTGTCTTGCATTAATTTCAATTTTCATTTAAATTTGACATTGCTTCTATTCGACAATTAACCGAAATAAAATTCAATACGCAGTTGCTGCAGATTTGGCCATGCAGGACGATACACAGGATGCCAAAGCACAGAAATTGGCTGCGGCGCGTAAAAAGGTAAAAGATCTGAAATGAAAACATCGTGACGTGGACACCCACAACGAAGACTGGCTTGTATTGATTTTGATAATTGTGTGTTGCAGCTAAAAGAGTATCAGCAGCGCACCAACAACAACAATATGGATGAACACTCATCAACGGTGAGCATCGCCAGCAATTTATCAGAGCGTTCCGACTGTGAGTTAAGCCTGAGCAACGGCGCCGGAATCGGAATCCAGGCACAACAGCAGATGCCGGAGCAACAAATCGTGACAGCAACTGCAGCTGCAGCACCGCTCGAACCAAATCCAACTGGAATCGCTGCTTATTTTGCACAGCCCGAACCGACACCATCGGTTTGGCCCCACAACGGACAAGGTGATACATCAAATTTACAGGCGATTCAGGTGCTAATTGCGGAGAAGGGACAACTGAATACAGAGTTGACCAAGTCGCGGCATCTGTGCCGCGAGCGTCAGCTGGAGCTGGAGGAGCTGCGCACCGAGCAGGGACAGACGCTGCAACGGCTGGAGCAAGTGCAGCAGCATTGCCAGGAGCAACAACGCAGCGTGGAACAGCAGCGCAATCAGAATGCTGAACTGCAGCACAATTTAGCGCTGGCAAATGCCCAAATCGAGGATCAGCAAACGCATCTTGGTGAGCTGCAGGCGCAGCTGGGTCAGCTAAATGCACGGCAGGATGAACTGCAGCAGCAGCTGGCGGACAAAAGCAATGAACTGGAAATGGCACAATTAAAGATACGCCAGCTATCCGACGAGTCCCATGTAAATACGGATAATCGGGTGGAGACGCTCACCCAGACCCAGTATATGTATGAGCAACAGATACGGGATCTACAGCAGATGGTCAGCCAATTGACGCAGGACAAGGAGCAGGCGGCCGTACAGTATCAGAGCTATGTGGCCAATCTCAAGGAGCGCAATTCCGAATTGAGCGATGAGTGTGCCCAGCTAAAGGAGCGCGAGCGACAGCTAATCGAGCATGTTAGTGGCCTGGAGCGCGACATCCAAAAGAATTTGGCATTGCAGGCGCAATACAAGGACGCGGCCAAGGAGGCATCCCAGCCAAAGCCAGAACAGCCGGAGGTGGTAAGTGATTCACTTTGGATTCCACAGATTACTATATCTACAGCTCTCTTGTAGTCAACAGCGCCAAGTGCCGAGCTGGTAGCGCTCCAGGAGCGTATAAGCGATATGGAATTTGAGCGACACGAGTTCCAGCTAAAAATCAAATCCCAAGACGACCAGTTGCAGTTGAAGGAGGAGAAACTGAGTGAGTTGCAGCTGGAGTTGCAGCGTTTGCAAACCAATCAACCGGATCAGATTAAATTGCTGGCCACGATGGAATCGGATAAGGTGGCCGCATCGCGTGCCGTTAGCCAGAACGTGGACATGAAACAGCAACTGGACGAATTGGAGCAGCGTTTCGTTCAGCTGACCAATGACAAACTGGAGTTGGTCAATAAACTAGATGCCGAGGAGTTTGCCAATCGCGAGATGCGTTCCAACTATGCCCAAATGGAGCAGAAGTTGCACGCGAACGAGGAACGCTTCAAGTTCAAGGATGAGGAAATGATACGACTCTCGCACGAGAATGTCGAATTGCAGCGCATGCAGCTGATGCAACAGCAGCAACTGGATAGACTGCAGCACTACGAAGTATGTGGTGGGGTGGGTAAGCGGGCAGACAAAGCAATCTTAACTGAATTCATTCCTCTTGCTTGCAGGCCAAGGTTTATCACAACCAACAGAATGCGAAAGAATCTGAGGCAGCAGACGGTGCTGTGGAGGCGCACGAGGAGCATGATCATCACGATCATCATCACGACCACGAGCACGAGCACAATCACCATGAGGATCACCATCATCATCATCATCATCATGATCATGATCATGATCATGAGCAGCATTCCGAACAATTGTCGTCCAACTGTGAGACACCGTTGCTGCCCACAGCTGAGGCTGTTGAGAAATTGCAATCACGCTTTACGACACTTATCAGTCGCGTGGCGGATCTGACCGAGGAGAAGCAGAGCCTGGAGCATCTGGTGTTGCAGCTGCAAAGCGAAACAGAGACCATTGGCGAATACATTGCCCTCTATCAGACACAGCGACGCATGCTGAAGCAGCGTGAATACGAGAAGGCCACACAGATGCGTCTGCTGCAAGCGGAACGGGAACAGCTGCGCGAAAAGATCGATGCACTCAATCAGTTGGTGGGCAGTCTGGGCTTGCCAGCCGACCACATGAAGCCAGACGAAACGGAACAGCAGAAGGAGCAGGAGCAACAGTTACCCGTGGAGAATGAGAACTCGCAAGAGATAATCAACAAGATCCAGGACATTATAACAGAAATTAAAGTGAATGCGGAACAGTCGCCCACATCGTTAATAAATCCGGCGCTGCCGCCTGGCCAAGTTCGTTGCTGTCAGGGCAAGTTTGAGGTTGTCTGAGCATAGATCGGCGAAATATATATAGAGTATATATATGTCAACATATTGTATTCAAAGTGCAATTATTTGTTAGCCTGCTGTCCGCTTTGACTCAGCCTGTGTCTGTAGTTTCTTCTACACCACGCCTCTTTTGTATATGTTTCATAAATATCAATTTAATCAATTTGTCTGGGGTTATAATGCTATTGCTCTTTACATACAAATATAAAATATTTAAACTTACTTTCTATCTTTGTGTTTGAATCATTCAATATATTTATTTAAGCCTTAACACAAACTTTTACATTTGAATAGAATTTATAAGAACACAAATTATTGCGATTCATTACGCATTTTAATTTTGCGGCTTATTTCCTTAAGCGACTTGGGTCGACAACTGCGACTGGGACGACCAAGCGCCGAGCTATTCCAGCTCGACTCCTCTGTCCTGTTAAGACTACAGCCCACAGTGCTCTGTGTGCGTTTCCCTCTGGGTTTGGCTCTCATAGTTGTTTTCCTTTCGCTATTTACCATTTCATGGTTCCGTTGAGGTGTGCTGCAATCATCTGGTCGATCGACAATTCCGTTGAAGATGCTGAAATTTAACTGGGTACGGCGAGGAGTAAGAGTTGCATCCACATTCAGCGAGTCACCTGGCACCGACAAATGAATCGGAGAATTCTGTCTAGGAGCACATCTCACAAGCTCTATTCTCTGCTGCTCCTGCTCCTGAATGGGGACTCGCGAAGATTTACCTCGTGCTGTTGTGATCTTTGAAGCACATCTTGCTTCTTGATTACTATTATCAGACTCATTTTGTTTAGTACGCGAAATGCTGTCTACATTTCTGATTTTTGGAACGGATGACTTAAGTGATGTTTGATTAGTAACATCGCGCAGAGGCAATGCTGACATCTCCGTGCAGCGTCCCTCTGTGTCCGTGTCGTTCACTGAAATGGGAGACGACAAGGACTCATCCTCTTCCTCACACTCTTCGATAATGGAGTTCATCAAGGCAGCAGCATTTGAAAGACACCTAGACATCGGCATCTGATCGGGATAAGCGGCAGCAACATCAGCTTCTGCCTCTGATTCTGGGGTATCTGGCGAGCTCATATTGCTCTGCAGATCAGCCAAATGGCGTGGCTCCGGTGTTGTCACGGTTACCTCTTCATTGGTCTGAAGGACAACATAATTATAATATATTTAACTTTAATATATGGTGGCACTTACTGAGTGAATACTCTCCTTGGAACTTTCCTCTTCCTCCTCAGTACAACTTACAACACTAGATGTACTTGAACTGCGACTCTTCCTCCTGCTGGGCGATGGAATCACAGTTCTTCGAAGCAAGGCGCTCGATCGACGCAACTCGGAGCAAACTTCCTCTCTTCTATATATGCTCTGCCTTTTATCTTCTGATGATGTCTGCGAACTTCTACTGCTAATAGGAGGATCAGCACTACTGTCCATATTTATATCGAGAGATTGTAGTAATGTTCTGACTGCACATTTCAATTTGTTTTCATTATATTGTACGTCGGCTAAGCGTAATTCACGTTCTTCCATTAGCTGTCTTTTAAGGAGTACCTCCGTTTTTAAACATTTCCCCAATTAATATTCGCTGTCTCTGCACCTGATCCATTAGCTCAGCGTTAATTAATTTGTATTGCTCCATATTTTCTAAATTGCCTAATTTTGTAAAATCTGTTTGAGTTTGGCGTCGATGCCTTAAATGGCATCGATACTAACAACAATATGTGCCATCGAAAATTTAATAAGTGAAATCGATAGATTCGTCTATAAAAATTTACTCTGCATTTATCTGTAAGTGCAGCGCCAACCAAACCGAACCAAGTCAAATAATCAACTAATAATTTAATAATAATTTTTCAATAAGCTATTAATTTATATAAAATAACAATCGAAATTTATATCGACATTCTTATCATTTAATTTATCGATTGCAAATCAAGTACTTTCCAGTAGTAATCGACTGCATTTAAGACATCGACGCAAAACTTGAATTTCTTTAAAATAACTTTATGTAGCAAATATGGAGCAGTATAAATTAATTAACGCTGAGCTAATGGATCAGGTGCAGAGACAGCGAATATTAATTGGGGAAATGTTTAAAACGGAGGTACTCCTTAAAAGACAGCTAATGGAAGAACGTGAATTACGCTTAGCCGACGCACAATATAATGAAAACAAATTGAAATGTGCAGTCAGAACATTACTACAATCTCTCGATATAAATATGGACAGTAGTGCTGATCCTCCTATTAGCAGTAGAAGTTCGCAGACATCATCAGAAGATAAAAGGCAGAGCATATATAGAAGAGAGGAAGTTTGCTCCGAGTTGCGTCGATCGAGCGCCTTGCTTCGAAGAACTGTGATTCCATCGCCCAGCAGGAGGAAGAGTCGCAGTTCAAGTACATCTAGTGTTGTAAGTTGTACTGAGGAGGAAGAGGAAAGTTCCAAGGAGAGTATTCACTCAGTAAGTGCCACCATATATTAAAGTTAAATATATTATAATTATGTTGTCCTTCAGACCAATGAAGAGGTAACCGTGACAACACCGGAGCCACGCCATTTGGCTGATCTGCAGAGCAATATGAGCTCGCCAGATACCCCAGAATCAGAGGCAGAAGCTGATGTTGCTGCCGCTTATCCCGATCAGATGCCGATGTCTAGGTGTCTTTCAAATGCTGCTGCCTTGATGAACTCCATTATCGAAGAGTGTGAGGAAGAGGATGAGTCCTTGTCGTCTCCCATTTCAGTGAACGACACGGACACAGAGGGACGCTGCACGGAGATGTCAGCATTGCCTCTGCGCGATGTTACTAATCAAACATCACTTAAGTCACCCGTTCCAAAAATCAGAAATGTAGACAGCATTTCGCGTACTAAACAAAATGAGTCTGATAATAGTAATCAAGAAGCAAGATGTGCTTCAAAGATCACAACAGCACGAGGTAAATCTTCGCGAGTCCCCATTCAGGAGCAGGAGCAGCAGAGAATAGAGCTTGTGAGATGTGCTCCTGGACAGAATTCTCCGATTCATTTGTCGGTGCCAGGTGACTCGCTGAATGTGGATGCAACTCTTACTCCTCGCCGTACCCAGTTAAATTTCAGCATCTTCAACGGAATTGTCGATCGACCAGATGATTGCAGCACACCTCAACGGAACCATGAAATCGTAAATAGCGAAAGGAAAACAACTATGAGAGCCAAACCCAGAGGGAAACGCACACAGAGCACTGTGGGCTGTAGTCTTAACAGGACAGAGGAGCCAAGCGAGAATAGCTCGGCGCTTGGTCGTCCCAGTCGCAGTTGTCGACCCAAGTCGCTTAAGGAAATAAGCCGCAAAACCAAAATGCGAAATGAAAGCCAAATCAAGTTGTAATTACGTTTTTTTTTATGTATATTCTACCAAAATGTTACTTAATTAAACTATCTTAAAACGAATAAAAATGTATCATTTTATTTTTAAATCAAAAGCATATGTAAAGTGTGGAGTAATTCTGTAGAATGAGGAGCAATACCTTGCTTACCATCGCTAATGGAGGGCCTGTTGTCGATAATAGTATCGATACGCCACACCGATGGGGCTACATGGTTGTATTTTGACAATTATCCATCCTGCATTTCCCGTTCAACATACGCCAGCGAAAACAAATGCAAAGAAGCAACAACACCAACAAAAGTGCTATGTGCAGAAATTGGCTTTAAATCCAAATATGCATAAAAAGCGTAAAACGCATTTAACATAAGGCCAACGAATGCAATGTGTGCGCTTATTAAATGTTAATGCAGCGGGGCAGAGAAAGCACAAATATCATTGCTCGTGTGTGTGTGTGGTGTGCGCTCTTTTGTGAGTGTATATTTATTTGTGTGTGTGTGTGTGTGTTTATTACTCAAACTTAATCTCTACGTTTTTTTTTTCGGCACATATAAACGGGAAGAAATTTGATTTCTGCCTTATGTTTCAACATAAATCAGTCCTATTAAATTACAGTATATAGTGTTATTTTGAACATCAAAACAAACGGGTTGAAAATTTGCAGACCGCTCAAAACATTTTCGGGCAATGCATGTCGCCTTCTGCTGCTGCTGTTACGTTTATTTCTTATTTGTGGCTTCTTTGTTTGATTGAATAGATATTTCAGACCGAAAGTGAAACAAAATCAAAATCGCCAAGTGCAAGTGAAGGCTTTCGCCTCGCGCTATCAACAACAACAAAAACGACTCCATCGAGAATTGAGTCGCTGCTGTATCAATAATAACAACAACAACAACGAATCAGCTGTCAAACCACTTCAAGGTAAGTTTGTTTGTAAATTAACCTGTTTTCAGATTTTGTTTTTGCATCTACCTGCTCAGATTTTAAGCAAATTGAGTGTTAAATTTTTCTTTTTTGTTTTCTTGTCAGGTGATATCGATAGCTTATTGCCTCTTCAGTCCTCCTTTATAGCTTATCGATAACTCAATAATTATAAATACAAATATTTCAAATATATATATATATATATATTGCAACACTGTAAGTTAAATGTTTTCTAAACCACAGGTCCGCTCCCGTATCTTATCTATAACTAGCCGTTGGTATTCGTGCCGTATAAGTTCCATACAAAAGCAAAAAAAAATTAATAAAATTCCGTCTAGGCATATCAGTTAAAGCGTTTTTGTTTTTGGATAAGAAAAATACACACAACACCCAGTTGCCAATATTGTGGTTTATTTATAAACGTTCACTTCTCCCATATTATCGATTTCGATATTTGTTTTTATTTAGTACGCAATATGCTCATTCATGTCGAATTTTAATAATGTTGTCTAATAATAATCTTATCTTTTTTTAAATAATAAAAAGATCAGTAGTATTTTTAAGATTTAATATATATGTATAAACTAGTTTTCAATTAGTGTGTCCGGTTCAATACGCAAAGGGTGCAACAAACTTTGAAGCTTTGATTTGTATCAGCATGTGTGTATTTCTGTCTCTGCTGCACATTTGTCATTTGCTTCAGTTTAATCGCATTAAGCAAAACGTTGCACGCGACGCATGACGAAAGCGGCAGCAACAAGAACAACAACACGCAAAGCAAAGGGCCCCAGCACTGACCTACAAAGAGTGCAATGCGCTCCCGTCCATGGGCAAATTGCAATTGCCTGGCATTCGTGTAGGGGTTGATTTTTAGGCTGGGCTAGGCACAAAAATACAAAAATACTTATGCCTCCATCACTCTCACATATATAGGCAAAGTATGCAGAAAATTACTTGGAGAAGGTTTTTTCCGTTCTTATTGTTTCTTAACCCCACCGGGAGCGTTGTACTTAAACATCAACTAAAACTACAAAAGAATAGAAAAACACTCGTGTGGAAAACGTTGAGCAAAAACAGCTACTTAAAATGTAAGCAGTAAAAACCTGGCCCTTTTAGGTTGCCAAGCCCCAACTAGTATTAAAAAGTGTGAAAATGAATTTGACAACGACCGAATAATAACCAAACAATGTAGTTGCATGCAACAGTTTATTTTCAGCTGGCGTAGTTAATTTTTTCCTTTATCATAAGCACTTCAAATTTATATAATTTAATCGATTGCATCTTGCTTTTTATTATGATGTTGGAACATGCAAATTGCAGTCACAGACAGAGTTCAATGCCATTAGGGTGTAGGCTCTTGTGGCCTTGTTGCAAGGACCCTCAACGTTTTCTATTGTTGGAAAATATACACCCCACACGTGCACATGCACACACACACACACGCTCAATACCACAGTCAAGTGTGTGTGAGCCAGAGGGCATCTATGCAATTGTCACAATTGACAATGCAACCTTGTGTGCGGCCATTTTCGTCGAGTGTTGTAAAATACAACAAAAAAAAGAAAAGGAAAAAAATCGCTTCATTTCTAAGCTGCTGTCAAGTTTCATTGGCACGCCCGCCTTTTTTTATTTTTTGTGATTTATGCAGCAAAATGTGCACTTCCTTATGCCTGCTCTGAATCATAACTAAAATGCCCTCATGCCGAGCTGCTTGAAACCGAATTCAATGTGTGTAACGACACTTAAATACCCTATAATATATAAAACCAATGAAATTTCCAATTTTATCCATCTCCATTTTTAATAACATCTTTGATATTAAATAAACTTATTTTAAGCATTGCCTGTTTTTAGACCTACGTTTTAAAGTTGTTTAACTTATGTGTATTTCTTAGAGAGTATTCCAAAAAATAAATCGAACAATTTGTGTGCCTTTCGCTTCCCCACTCAATGAATGATGAGTCATCAGAGAGCAAAGTCGATTGTTTACATCAATTGCTGTTGTTGTTGATGCATGTAAAGCCAAAGTGAACTCAACACCGTTGTTGTCATTGAGCTCAGTCATCTCAGCGTTGCAATATACATGCATGCCACATATTTTGCAGTTAGTTATTTAAGCACAGTGCGACGGTGTTGGAAACCGCATTTTAATAAACTCAACAATGGAGACCCATTTTCTTTGTGGTTGTTGCTGTTTGTTGTTGTTGTTGTAAGCGAATATGAGCATAACACATAATGAATATCGGATATACGGGGTCAGCAGTTGTTATACAATTAGTATATGAAAAGCAGTCGAAGCTGCAATTCTCTTTCTATTATTATTTGTGTGACATTCGAGTTAAGACTCTAGATCTTTAGGGTTACCTTTAAACTTGTCTAGTCACGCTGCTTAACTAGTTAATAGATAATTTATGCAGTCAGAATCTTACTAGATGTAAGATGCACAATACTCTCCCTTTAATTGCATAACCATGACGCATGGCTGCTTTCATCGTAATCGAATATGCCTTCATCTATTAGTCAATAAATTCTCTAGAGTAAAATCAACAATAATAATTTGAAATTAGATACAATTAGATAGCTAAAGTGTTGTTTAATTTACGTAATACATAAGTTGGTCATTTAAAATTTGTTTTAATTTATATTAACTTGAACTTAATTAGGTTTAATTCTAAAGTGTAGAACATTTAACGATCTCCAGCCAAATTTCTGTGACTCACAATTATATGCATAGCAAATCACACAAGATTGCTCATCAATTTTTTCTTGTTTTCATTGACAATACATTAACTCCTCTCGAAAAGTGCAAACGTCGAAAAATAAATAGACAAAATGATCTCAGAGATATACATATGCTTGTTTATTTATTGTAAACAAAACTCACGTACGAAACATCGAATTCATATACACACATATACATAATTATATATATATGTATATTTATACATATATATATAATATTTAGGTATGTATACATTGCCCCGATGCTATAACCGCATTTGCTTATTTGCCATCTCTGAAAATGTTTTGCACTGCGGTCACATACTATATTTTATACCCTGAACCCATTCCAAATGATGGGTATAATAAAGTTGTGAAGAAGTATGTAACAGGTTGAAGCAGAAGAAAGCATGTCTGAAAGGCATATCCGTCTATCTATCTATAAGAACTGATGAACTGATAAATTTGAGCTGTTAGTTATCGTAAACCAGATATGCGAACAAAGTTTATTTCATTTTATCATAAACCACTTTAATATCGATACAAATCGATAACAGAAAAAAAACAACAATTATTTAAGATATTATCTACCAATTCAGTATAAAATAAACAAGCACTGACACTGATCTTTTTGGAGACGCTTTAGAAACTGTATTTTAATAACCTTTTTATATCATTCATTAGATATATGGGATTGGTTAATGGGTATCTGGCAGTCGAGGTCTCTCGACTAAAGTGTTTTTTATTTGTGTTTTTATATCACTAGCAAAGGCATTTGGAATTTCAATTAAATATCACGACACTCGTGTGTGTTTTCTACAATTGTTGCAGAGACATTGAAATGCTAATTAATGACGAGACAGACAGTGTTGGTCGATGGCCAAGACTCCGTCTGTCTGCCAGTCTGTCAATCCAACACCAAGAAGAAGAGCAGACCGAACTGCTGTGCAACACACGAAAAAAAAAAGAAATTGACTGCGATAGCGAAAGTTTATTGCTGAGATTTTATGAGTTTTGTTATTTAATCCATATCCGAAAACTGGTATCGTATTTATTATAAGTTTAAGCCAATTTAAACTTCAGCCAAAAAAAACGTTAAAGTTAAGTTATATTTATTCATTATTTCAGAAATAATTCTCACAGCTTAAACTAAGTCTTGAGAGGAAAAAAACAGTTTGTAATTCAAACAAATTTGTAAAGTTAATGTCTAGATTCCTAACTGATCTCAGAAAAAGAAAAGAACTAAGGATTGACTCAGCATTGAATCCCTTTGTAATTTGAATTATATTCCAGTGATTATACACTTAAGTATTTCTTGAAATGATTCAATTCAACTTAAATGTGTTGATAAATAAATGTATATCTAAAATCTCGGCTGATTTATTTATATATATGCAAATTAACTGGAATCCACTATTTTGAGTATTTCTTCAGAGTGCCGTGACTCATGCCACACAATTTACGGGAAATTTAACTTGTTAAGCAACAGGCATTTGTATAGTCGGCTATATCTTATCTGTGAGACGATAAACTTATCGTTTTCGCGAAAAAAAATAAATAAAATAAAAAATACCCGACGATACGTTAAAATATCAGTTGGCAAAAGAAAACTTTGTGCAGATGGTCGCCGCATATTGTTGGGATTGTTATATCTGGTTAAAAATCAAAAGAATTCGATAATGCGACGTAGTTCAAGTTCATTGACTGGCATTGCTTCCCAGAACAAAAACTATCAATTAGATAGTGTTTAGTATTATTCGCTTGTGGCATGACTAACTAAGCGAAAAAAAACCATTACGAAAATTCGGTCAATGAGCAAATTTCAGGATAAATTTATTGCTCTTCTTATCCTGCCTCTCGCTCGCTCTCCCACTGTCTCTCTCTCTATTCACTTTAATGTTTTCGAGGTGTGTTCTCCACATACGGGGCAACATAAACTGTCCGTCCCTATTTGCCCCTTCCTTTTGAAACTTCTCGATTGCCACAAAAAACTGTCATCAACTTAATTGCCCCAAATATACCAGGGAGTGTATTGTTATTGTTGTTGTTGCTGTTGTTACTGGGCGTGTATAGCCATAAAATCGAATACAATTTGACAAATCATTACAGCACGCATTTACTTTTTGGGGCTCGTTGCTGATGGATCCTCTCCGGAAATGATTTCTGCTCGAAACGCGTGCAAATTGATTTCCCTGTCAACAAATTAATAACCATTGGCCGTTATGCAAGTATAAAATTTAGTGTGTGTGTGTGTGTGTCTGTCTGTGTGTCTGTCTGTGTGTGTTAAATGTTAACACGCCTATTTGTAATGCACGCCCAGCCCTTGTGGCTTGTGGCGATGGTTGGTAGGGAGGAGGGGGGTACACCCATCTGAGAGTGTTTGTCTGTAAGACAATACACCGCAAACATTGCGTAACTTGCCAGGCCGCAAAGCGCCCCCAACATCAAAACATGGAAAGTGTGGCAACACAATTGACCAGCCTATCTATCTCACTTTAATTACTATATATATATATTACAATCTGAAAAATAGAAGAAGCTGAATTTATCTTACATAGAGGGGTAATGCTACATTCACTTCATGATTAAAGCCAACTGATCTTTACAAAATATATATATTTATATATTATTATTATTAGTATTACCTCTCTAAATAAGCTCAATTCACAGTTTTCTGTTTCTTCAACTTTTCTCTACGATTCGTACTTATTTTTCACTAATAAGTAAAAAGTTTTTGAAGTGTTTTTTAAATTTGCAATGTTTAGTTGACTTTAACTGTAAAGTAAAGTAATCACAATCTCTAAATAGGATTAATTCAGTTGTTTCTTTTCACAGTGCTTATTCCTTTTTTTCAGTGTAGTTGTTTCTTCAGATATTACATATAATCACAAATTTATGTACATAAATAAATATATTTAAGATTCGTGGAAAGTGAAAAAAACACCCGTTATCTTATCGCCAAAAAACACATCATTCATCAAATATGTATGTGGCTATGCCACATAAATATCCATTTCTACAATTGTCTTTCTCAATCTTCTAAGGCATGAACACAGTTTTTTATGCAAATTATTTTGATGACTAAATATATTGCTCAGCTTAATTTGAGTGCCAATGAAATGAAATGAGTATATCGAGAGGGCCTCTCAAGAATATGGCGATCATTGCCAACAGCTATTTAATTATGCCCGTTTTTCGCCCGTCTATCTGTCTCTGTCGCCAAGAGCTTTAAGGCATGAATCACGTCACACACACAGTTAAGGAGTTTCCAGTTTGCAGTGCATAGTGGCGCACACACAAAACTATCCGTTTCGTCCCACTGTGCTCATTTAATGACTCAAGTATGAAGCAAGACTTTAAATATTTCGCACGTTTCACACACATACTCACACAGCGTCCCAGAGTTACAGTTAAGCGCTTTTTTCTTGCGCTGACCGATCATCATCAGCGTTTTGTCTGAGTGACAGGTGCTGAAATGCGTTTGTTGCCTGCTGTTGTTGCGGCTGCTTCTGCTGCTGCTGTTTTGTCTTCTTTGCCATTGTTTTTATCTTTATCCATGCTTTGTGTCTTTCGCTGCTGTCTGCATTCGATCAAACGTCTGACGTCACAGCGACGCTTAATTCTAATTGCGTCCGCGTCGACCTTAACAGATAATTTTATGGGTGCGCGCGCTCTCTCTCTCTCTCTCTGTCTATGTCTCATGCGCCCCCCGCCAGAAAGCTTGGCGCTTGCTCTGCCGCTCTCTTTTGGATATGCTGTTGGCAGCGAGCGCTCGCTCTCTCATCGCTTTGGCATCGCATGCGCGCCCGTTGTTCTTCAGTTGGTTTTCGACTCGCGAGCTGAGCGCAACGCATTTTTCGCGCTTTTTATTTTTGGCTGTAAATGTTGCGAGTGCAACCAAATTAATACACAGCAAAATCGAAAAGCAAGCGTCGACGCCAAACACATAATCAAAACGTAAATGAAAATAAAAGAGTGTAGTTGATAACAAACGATAAAAATAATAATTAGTGTGCTAAAACGCATTGCAAACTGATCGATATATTTTTACGATTTGTAACTTGCACTAAATATTACAAATCGCTGAATATTCACAAATAAATAAATAATGGTCGCCGGCCTCAGGGCGCTTTTGAAGTTGCTCGACACCTTGGCCTAATCATCATTTGTGTCAGCTTGTAGCCATAATCGTAGCCCCGCCAACTCTGCCAGCAAATGCCGCGACCCGATAACTTCACCTCATAATTGCCACCCTCAACATACTGGCCATTTAAATTGCTGAAATTAATGAACCATAAACGAAAATGAAGTCTTCCAAATATAAGTTGTCTCACCTATGTTGACAGGCGTTATACCACCAGGCACCCACATATGTCAGAGCACAGTGATTGGTCGTCTTATCGTTATCGAATGTGGAGAACGGCATTCCCACATGATATCTCAGCGAATCTCCAGCATCTCCTGTGTATTTGCCTAGCACACGCAATGCATACGCCTCAGATTCGTTGGCAACCACAAATCGATCGTATTTCGCATAATGCGATTCCCCATCAAAGTCTTCCAATTGGACGAACAGTTCGTAGGGCTCGGCATTTGTGATCCGATGCAGTTGCTCCAGTCCCATAAAAAACTCTGCACTCAGATTGCCGAAACCCGTGCGATATTCTGCCCAGCTGCGATAGAAGTTCTCGCTGCCATCTTGACGACGCTGAATAACGGTCCATCCGGCGCCAGCCTTGCCAGTGTCACACGACACTGGAAAGGGTCTCAGACCCGGCACCTCTATGGTGTATATGCCATTTGTGTTGATCATCGCCGCCAGACATGATGGCGGATAGGCTAAGAGAAGCACCGATATAACCGGGAGTATTTAATGCTATAGCTGTCAATCTTTTCATTTTTACCTTGTTGTTTTGCTATTTTCGTTGTTTCTGCTGAGCGGGAACTTTTTTGCATACGGTTTATTTCCACTCTTAAGCTGAGAAATGTGTTTAATTGGACAGTAACTCTTCGAGAAGCCTAACTTACCTGGATATCAAGTCTTCAGCCTTCTCGTATAATTCCTGCAAATGTGCCAGCGGCGAGCTCGTCATAATTCCATCATTTGTAGGATTTGTCGCTCTAACACAGCTATTCCAGTTGAGAAACAACAGCAATATGCCTATTCCAGCCTCCCAATTCATGGATGCAACGTTCAATTGTACAATCTCTACTGATCTCGCAATGTAGACTGAATAGTAAGGCGAGCAATGCTCTGATTATGTGATGTGTACCCATTAGTTGGGGAGTGTAAAAGGGCATATATGCACTATTAGTAAATATAATATTTAAATATGGTGATTATCTATTCAAATGAAATTCTTTTATTAAGAAAGTTGGCGCTAGTTCAGTATAAATTTGCATTTGTTACAGGGTATCTCGCCGGGCATTATATTGAATTTATTAGCTGCAAGCATTTCTTATCAAGCAAAAACATAGGTCAAGTTTTTCCTTCCACAGATAATCAGTACTCGCCATTGAATGTCGTCAGCCTCTTATGTAATATTTATCCAATGTAATATATTGTTATATGAGTAATATTTCAGCTCAGGAAATATAAATTCTGTTAAATTTTGGCATCCGTCGAGACTTATCTTGAGATTGAGTGTGACGCAACTAAAAATGTATTTCATTTTGAGAGTTTCATTCATTATTCCAATGTATTTATTATTACGCACTTTAAGAAAATGATTCACAACTCTGTTGATGACTGTTGCTGTTCTTGGTTTTCAATGAAGCTGGAAAGTTTCGGCATTTTGGCCTTATCATCATTTGGGTGAATTTGTAGCCGTAGTTGTGACCACGCCAGGCTCTCCAGCACATGCCGCGAGCAAAGAGCTTCTCCTCGTACTTGCCTCCATCAATATACTGACCATTGAGGTTACTTCAACAATAACATAAATGTTTTATATGTATTTATATTTCGAATTATGCTCAAAAGATTCTTACCTATCCACACATTGATTGTACCACCAGGCACCCACATGGAGAAATGCACAGTTTCTGTTAAATTCACGATCATTATCCCGATCATACGTAGAAAACTTCATCTTGCGATGACTCCTCAGTGAATCACCCGCATTGCCCGTATAGTCGCCAAGGACATTGAGTGCATAGCCATCTTCTTCGTTGCCAATGGCAAACTCATCAAATTTCGCATAGCGTGTCTCATTATCAAAGTCCTCCAGGACAATGTACAGCTCGAAAGGTTCCACAGCTGTTATGGCACGCAACTTGTCCAGACCAATGAAAAACTCACCATCCGGATTACCGAAACCCATTTTATACTCCTCCCAATTGCGAAAGAAATTTAAGCTGCCATTGAGGCGTCTCTGAATCACCAGCCAGCCAAATCCGGCTAAACAATTGTCACAGGATACGGGAAAAGGCTCCAAGCCAGGCACTTGTATCGTATAAATGCCACTTGTATTGAAGAAGGATGTCAAACAGGACGAAGGATGCACTGTAACTGTGTATTAGAACATTTTTAGCTAAAGGATTTTCGCTAAATCTCATATTACTTTTGGAGGATTCGGTACTATCAGCATTTCCATAGCCCTTAAGTGCTTCCAACTGTTCCTTGAGGCTGTCAAATATTCAGTTTGCAATTCACATTCGAATTTCTCTCTTTCTCTCTCGATTTCTCACCCTTCAAGTAGCTTCTGCGCTGTCTCATGCATAATATCCATTTGATTGACCAGATCTTGACACTATTCAAATGCCACTTTTAATAAACATAGATAAACTCAACTTGAAATCTTACCTTCACATTGTTGTCTGTTACTGTGTGGGAACAGATCAAAAATATGCAAATTACTTTGACAGTCTTCGTTAGAATATTCATCTTAATCCAAAGTCGCTTAATGAACACTAAAATAACTTTGTATTCGCAACTAGTTTTTGCATTTGACACAGTTTTTAGTTGCTCTTATCAGCTGTTGTAATACTTAAAGGTCGAATGTTATCAGACTTGTTATTGATTAAGTTATGTGATTAACTTTAAAGAAGTCTGTTGTCAGTGGATTACCAGCTGAGAACACATGGCAAAAACCCTTATTCATTCTGATCAGATCTTTTTTGATTAATAACATTTTTTCGGATTACACGTTCTCAAAAAAAAAAAAGTGGAATTTCGGCTTCGATTCTGGTGTCGAATTTCAATCGGTTAATATCCCGGATACGATTCCAGTTTGACAACTTTAAAGCTCTAATCAGTTTTAAACAACGATTTTCGCTGAGTGTGCTATTATTTACTATATATTACATAGGTACTTATTTACTTTGAGTGCATTCAATTCCAGTTTGACACTCGAATAAAAAATCGAAGGGCTTTTCTGTTGAGCTTCGAACTTTAGAGTTGTAGTCAGGCATTTTCTCTTAGTGTATATATTACATGTCTACTGAGATTTATGTTGTGTGAGTTTTGGTACTGCTGCTGCGGGCACGTGGGCTTTTCTGTGGATTCTGTGGGAGCTTCGACCCAATACCCAGTGGCTGTCAAACTGTGCTCGCTTTGTCTGGCATTCATTTTACGCGCCGCTTGCGCTTTGGATTTTATTTAGTTTTATCGAGGCGTCAATCTCCAAACAGAGCAACCACAACAACAACAACAAAATAGACAAGGCAAGAAACAACCACACACCGAAAAAGAAAAAAAAAAAACAAACAAACAAGCGACAAGTTTATATAGATAAATAATAATAAGTATAGAAAACTGAGTTATTTTTTACAGAGCATGTGGGTGGCGACAGTTGCTGCTTTCAGACTGACTGCTGAAGCGCGTCTCGAGTTTGTGGCCTCAGTCTTTCAGTCAGTCAGTCAGCCAGCCAGTCTTGAGTTAAAGCCGCAACGTGGCGGACACTAATATTGCGGATAGTCTAAGCCCAAGTGTTGTGCCCCTAAAATGCGTATACTTAGACGCGCTCCTTGCCCCAAAGTAAAACCCCCAACATAAAATCATTATTTAATTAATTTCGCTTAATTGAATTGTGTTCTTTTTCTTTTTTGTAGATGGCCATACCGCCACCACCGGGACCACCGCCACCGCCCGGCCCGCCGCCACCACCGGCTATGGGCGGCTTGAAACTAGGAGGAGGCGGAGGCGGAGGCGGAGGCGGAGGAGGTGATCCTCGTTCCGCATTGCTCAACTCCATACAGAAGGGCACCAAGCTGCGCAAAACGACCACCGTGGATAAAAGCGGCCCAGCGATATCGGGTCGGATTTGTGATGATAGCTCTTCAGGCCCAAAACGTACGCTTAACAACAACAACAATAACAACACCAGCAGCAGCAGCAACAACAACAGCAATAGTAACAGTGGTGGCAGCATTGGCAATGGGGCACCCAAGTTGGGCGGCCTTTTTCAAGGCTTGTCACAAATGCCAAAGCTGAAGCCAGTCAATGGTGTTCGTGGTAAGTTCAACTGGCAGATGTCAATATACATACATATCATACACATATATATATACAATAAATATATATATATTTATGTATATATGCAAATTCACATTGAGTGTGCTTATACCCTGTACATATACGAAATTTAGTGAGAGAATGGGTGTTATTAAGGCGCACAACAGCAGGAGACATCTTCTAGAATAAGACGTATATATATTCCATATCTGCTATGTCTGTCTATTTGTATAATCTCGAAGACTAAAAGATCTATTGCTAGCTATGAATAGACTAAAAGAGCTATAAAGTTAGTAATTTGAATGTACATTCAGGAAAAGTGAACTATTTCTTCTCGGCGCCACACCAAACATTAATTAAACTCAGATATGAAAAGAGTTATGGGGCTAAAATGTTGAATGTACTTTTGTGCATACCCCTAATGAATAATACAAATATTTTTTATAATACTTATCTAATATATATGCTCTTGATTAGTTGAGTTTGCAAATACATTTGATTTTTTCATAATTCTTTATAATTAGAAGAAGTTGTTCAAGAAAACCTTTTCCATAGTAAGAAGCAAAGCATTTGACTAAAGGGAACACAGCTCTGTTTAATCAACTACAAGTCTAGATTACAGGGTATCTGTCATTCGCTCACATTCCACGCAACAGCACTTTTTGTTGTTCGTTGCTCAATTGATTTCCGCTTTGGATATTTGGATGCACACCCACGCACCAAACCCAAGCAATAACAAAAACAACAATAACTGACAACAACTATCATAATTTATAGCAGCAGCACCTCCAACGGCAGCAGCAGCAGTGGCAACAACAACAGCGACGCCCGAAACGAACTCGCTGCGCAGCAACAGCCCCCCCACCGGCGCCACATCCAGCAATGGACCCATGGACTTTAACACCGAGCTCACCAAGCATTTAACATTGAAGCGTCAAAAGCAACAACAGCAGCAACAAGCAACAAACAACACACAACATATCAATGCAACCGAAGCAAATTTGAGAACAAATCGCGGACCACCACCGCAGCCGCCAAAGGTAAACTGAGGGTGAGGGAATGGTTGAAGGGGGTAGACACTGATAGACAGAGACAGACCCACACAGTGAAACACTATTTTCACAAATTTTAAAAATAACCAAGGACAACACTAATAAAGGAATTAAAAGGAATTTCGAGTTTAGTTCTGGTTTATGTGAATCCAGCATCGATTCTCTGCTTTATAATACGACTTATGGACTACAGTTGATCTCCCAGAGAGTATCTCAACTATTTCCAACTTTCTCGTTTTCAACAGAAAGAATTATTCAATAAATCTCTAACCAATTTCGTATAATCGAAGCCTTAAATCAGAATATGGCAGTAAATATATTTTATTAATTTTCTATTAATATTAACTTTAATACATCTATATACAAATAATATTATAATTAATAATAGAAGAGCAACAACGAATAGACCTTCAGCTCAGGCTAGTAGTAATTATAAAGTGATAAAATAAGTGAAAAGTTTCGCATGAAGTTGTGCAAAAGTATGTAACAGGCAGAAGGAAGCATAAAGAATATATATTCTTGATCAGCAACAACAGCAATTTCAATTTAGAAATGTGAATTCATGTTTATTTATTTTCTGCTGTTATTTGTATATGTATATATGATTTGGTTTCAGCATGGATAATTAATGTTAATGTGCTGATCCATAAAATTGAGAGAATAATCAATTTCGTTTAGCATAAAGAACACAAAACATATGTCGTAATTGTTTTGCACACATATTTGTCTTCGGTCTGTTAATGTAATTCCATTTCGATTGTAGAACTCTGGCGATTCCGTATTGGATCGCATGAATATACCTCGCACAATGGCAACGCCGCCCACATCGACGCCAACGCCGACGATGGTGAATGGCAATGCCAAGCCAAAAGCCTCATCGCCCACGCTCTCGGAGAGCAGCAGCAGCGGGAGCGTGAAAGCCAAGGCGGCAAATCTTAGGTGAGTTTTGGTGTTCGAATTGGGTTTTTTTTTTTGGGATCTGATTTTCTGATCTGGTTTCTTGACATTATTTGATTTTTCACATTTAATTTCTTTTTGTATAATTTTGTTTTGTAAATTGTTGCATTTGTTTGTTTTCTTGGTTTCTTTGCCGGGCATATACACTTTGGTTCAAATCCCAATCCAACCAATATATCCACACATCCAACAGTATCTCGTTAGGCAATAGTTTTGTAAATAGTTCAATTACAAAAACGACAACAACAAGCGCAACAACAACAACATCATCAACAACAGCAGCGAAAAATTCAACGGGAAATGTTCGCAATTTGACGCCAAACAAATCAACACTTTTTGGTGGTGCTGCTGGTGGTGGTGGTGGTTCTAATAGTCCAGCAATTGGTGGTGGTAATGTCTCGCCCACACCCCCACCCCCTGCACATCATCAACAACAACAGCAGCAGCAGCAGCAACAGCCACAGAAGCCGCCAATTGTTGGCCATGGCAAGCCGAATTTTGCACCAAAACCGCCGGGCTTGCAACACTTGGCATTGGCCAATGGTCAACAGCGTCCAGCGGTGTCGCGACACCACAGCATGAAGTCACCCAGGTATACGATATATATTCAATCCGATACTCATCATCACTTGCCACATGTACTGCTTCAATGCCCCAATGCTTCAATGCTGCGCTCCTTAATAACAAACACACTTAACACACACAACTTGGTTTTTTATTAAGTTTGTCCCAGCTTTGATTTCACGCTCGCTGCAATTGCTCAATGATTTTTTTGTTGTTAATGGTTTTTATGTTTTGGCCTGCCTTTTGACTAAACGTATTTCTTGCATTCCTGTGCAGATCTCCACCAGCTGCTGGCGGCATTAATGGACCCGTTTTCTCAGCGCAACAACATTTTGGCACAATGCGAGCGCCGCTTCAACAGCAGCTGCTGCTTCAGTCGGCCAGCAGTGGCGAGTGCTTCAGTGGCAGCACCAACAGCATCACGGGCAGCATTCGCACAGCACCCAACCCGCCAAAGAGTAAGTCCGTAATCATAATCATCTTGAAGTCCTCTATAATTTCAAATATTCCTCAACAAAGTGCAAACAATACACAAAGTAATTGATTCACATATACAAGATATATATTTCTATATACAAGATTTACATGCTTATAAAATCTGTAAATAATACTTGTGTTCGTGCACAAAGTTGGTATTTAAATATCAATAATGTTTTCGCTTCTCAAATGGGCACTGAGCACTTCTTATTTATGCATTTCATTGCATTCCTCTCAAATATAGGAAGATTGACATTTGAAATGAAATCATATTCATAAGTAATCAGTAAGCAGTTGGTGTAATTACAAATGCAAATTATTTCAATCGAGACTTTTACTTTTACTGGTTACTTTCAATTAAGTCTACACTTGACACTTGATATAAGAAATGAGAAAAGAATGCTTCTTTCGGTTTGGAATTCTCAGAACCATTTTCTTGCGAATATGAATCAGAGGTTCCTTTTATTTACAGCTTCTTTAACTTGATATAAGAAATGTTTACTTCTTTAAATAAAATCGAGGATAGCACTTGGAATTCTTTGCATAAATATTATTCAAAGATTTCATTTCTTTTTGCAACTGTTTAGTTCTTTATTTATTTTTAAACAACTGCTTTACCACAATGATAAGCACAATGAGTAGATCAACTTTTACATATGAATATGTTAGTTCAATTTATTGAATCTAGTATTGATTTGTGCATGTGCAGTTGCAGCTGCACCCAGTTATATTGTGAAATGATTAAATTTGCGACTTTAAATAAGCTATTTAGTAAGTATTTCAAGTAAGAATAAATCTAGGAGAACAACTACACAAACTTCCTTTAATCCCTGGCGTTAACTTACTGATCTCACTCTCTCTCTCTCTCTCTCTCTCTCTCTCTCTCTCTTCCCCCACGCGGATTCCATAGCTCGTCCGTCGGTGAAGCCACCGCCGCCCCCGACGCCATCGCGCAGCATCTCAAACAGCAATTTGAGCAGCATTGCGGCGCCGTTCAGTGCCGTTAATACGGCTCTGGTGCAGAGTGCTGCGATAACGACGTCAGCGCCATCGCCGCCGCTGCAGCCGCCATCCAGTTCGAGCAGCAGCAGCAGCGTCGGCGCTCTGCGCGATCAATTCCGTTTAGGCGGCAGCTCAACGCCGCCAACGCCACCGAATGGTGGCAGCATCAATGCCAGCCCAAAGATGCGTGAGAAGGTGCAGCCCATCATACTAAATGGAGGACCCATTATCAATCCGCCAGCGTTGCCACCGCATCGCTCCTGCCCGCCGCCACCGCCCCCGCAGCGACAGTCGAGCAATGTAAGTAGAGCAACAGCCAACAAGTTGGCGCATCTGCCAAAACAAGAGAGCTTTTGATGCACTGCAAGAAATCGTTGGGTTTGCTTTGAAATGTCAATGATGTTTTAGTTTCTCAAATGAGCACTGAACACTTCTTATTTATGCATTTTATTGCATACCTCTCCAATATAGATAGATTTACATTCCATACTAAATCATGTTCATAAATAATCAGTAAGCAGTTGGCATAATTACATATGCAAATTATTTCAATTGCACATTTTGCGCAGTGTGCACATTAAACAGTTACTCTCTCAATCCCTCTCTCACACGCGCAGCGTTGCTGCTCTCTCTTTTCTGTTAGGACTGCGCATTCGCTCTTTTGCTCTCCGCATTTATGCTTAGCTTTTTTTCTTACTACCTTTATAGATTTTTCGCACATAAGTGCGACGTGACCAAAACAGCTTTGAGACAAATTTGTCGCTCATCGCACGGCTCGCTTTGCGTTGTTGTTCTTCTTGTGCCCGTTTTCGTTATTGTTGAGAGTGTCTTGTTGTTGTGTGCATGTCTATGTGTGCGTCTGTGTGTTGTGTGTGTGCTAATGAAAAGTGCAGCATAGTTTATAATATTGTCAAAAAACCTCACTTAGCATGTGAAACGCTGGATATCGAGGACTCTGTGCAAGATTAGGCAATTGTGTGAACTGAAAAAGTTTTCAAGCATTAACAGCTGTGCCCCGCTCAAGGCCAACAACGTCAGGCTGATGCTCAATCAAAAGCGCAACGTAATTCAAGTTGCATTCATTGCATACACGAAACAAATCAATTTAAATGTGTTTTTTTCTCTCTCTCTATTTCTATTGTTGAAGACTGGCTCCCAGCAGCAGCTGCAGCAGCAGCAGGCGCCTGTGCCGCCGCAACGTTACTCCTCGATACGGGCGAATGCTCCACTGACGCCACCCACGCACATGGCCAATGCGACGCACAATTTTGGCAGCAACGCTGGCCTGGCAACGCCAACAGCCACGGGACTTGGGGCAGCAGCGGGAGCGGGTTCGGGTGCGACGGGCGCATCTGTTGGTCGCCTTGTCATCGATTTGGAGGCAAAGTTTGGCAAGCGATTTCATAATGTCACCGAGTTTCCCAAGCCGCCTCCATTTCTAAATATACAAAAAATCTATCCTAGTCGCACGCTTAAGGCAACCAATGGTATGTAAAGGATATAAATATGCATAAGTGCGTGTGTGTGTGGGTGTGTGTGTGTGCGTATGTGTGTGTGGTTGTGTATGTGTTTTTTTTAATGGGTGTGTGGGCAAATTCTACTGCGCCTTGTTAATTATTACATTATTATTGAATACGTTTATGATTACAAATTATGATAAAATCTTATTATTATTATTATTATTATTGTTATATGCACATATGGAATGCTGTTATATAATGAGTATACATACAATACATACGTACATATTTGGCAACAATAAATTGCTGCTTATTATTATTATTTTTATTATTATTATTTGTATTTCTAAGCACACACACACATAATGTAGCACCATTTGGAGTTAAAGAAACCTTATACATCGATGCAATTTGCATTAATTGCCTTCAACACACACTCACACATACACAGACACACACATGCATACATACACACGTGTTAATAAACTAAAAGTTACAATTGATGATTAATTATTGGTTGATTATCGCGAAGTGAATATGTAGAAAATGTTATAAAATGTATTTAAAACAAAAAAAATGTTGATAGCTTTATTCCACATAATTTTCTCTGTTAGAAACGCATCTTTTTTTTTATAATACTTAATATATGTTAAAAAAAAAACAGAAGAAAATCGCGATATTATTACTAAGCACACAAGCAAGTTTTATATGCCTCCTCCATACTACGATTATTGATTGCATTATGTACGAGTCCCGATGCAGATTATATATAACTGTAGCGCATGCTTTTACTTTATATGTACTGTCTTCGAACCGGCTTCATTTTATTTATATATACATACACTACATACATACATGATATACATATGTGTTGTACTTTTATATATCGTATCTATTATATATATATATATGTTGTTTTACATATATATCGAGAGAATATTTAATTTTAGCACAAGCACATTATTGTTTTATACATATATATATACATATATATTTGAAGTTATTATGAACAATAAAAAACAACCAAAATAAAATTGAATTTTAACTACATTCGACATGCGTTATTTGTTGTATTGTTTGTTTTGTCATTCACATTTAGCCGTTTCTCTTTCCACTTGTCTTCTTTTTTATCCTCGTTTCATTTGTGATCGTTGCGTTTGCTTGTAAATTTTCCATTGCCTAAGCAGTAGGCGCAGCTTTAAAACATCGAAAACTGTCTATATATATATATATCCCCTTCTCTCCTATACCTGTTTCGCCTTAACGATGATGATATGCAGAAACGCCAAACAACAACAATAACAACAGCGGCGGCAGCAGCAGCAGCAGCAACAACAACAACAGCACAGCTGCATTCAACAACAATGTTAAAGCGCCAACAGCTGCGACAACGCCACTGAAACCCGCTTATGCACCATTCAAAAAACATCGCGCACCCGCACCGCCCCCGCAGGCAGGCGTCGCCGCCGCCACAGTGTCTGTGATAAGGCAATCCAGTTTTCTCTATGGCGGCAATAGCAGCAGCGCAGCAGGCGCCAACGCTGGCGTCGGCGCATCTGCTGTTAATGTGCGTCCCAAATCACAGCCGGCGTCAAGTGTGCCGCGCAATTCGACAGTGTACTGAAATGGGCGACTGTAAATGAGAAATCGATGTTAATTGTAATGTAAATGATATCGATGTTTTTTGCTTTGTATATATATGTGTGCGTGTGCGTGTGTGTCTCTTTAATGTGTTGTGTTGAGAGTAAATCTGTGAGGATGTGTGCGAAATTCAAACTGTTAAATTTGTCTATGCAAAGTGTATAAATTATAATCAGAACAATAATAATATAACCTAAAAATGACAAGGTGCTGAAATATTGTATGGGGTGCCCGATTAATAACATATTATATACTAAATATATATGTCTGTCTTAGGGATGTGGCGTAAAGAGCTTAATTTGATATTCTTGTTCTTAAATTAAATTGAACAAAAAATATTCCCCAGGCAGTTTTAAGTTTCAATTAGTTCGAAAATAATTTCCATAAAAAATTGATGATTTTAATTTGAATATCCTCTCAGATTGTAAACAGCAACAAATTTAGAACTGTTTGATTGTATAAACAAGTTGTTCATTTGTGAGGTTGAAATTGATTCGAGCTAAAAAAATGTTTAAATTAAGTTTAGCGTCTTCCCCCAGGCTTAAACAATAATACTAAAATATACCTATATAATCTGTACATAGCAAAATTAGCAGCATTTGAATCTAGACCAAAGTTAGTCAAATTACAATTACCCAAAAGAGAGGCAAAAACACAAGAAAAATAAAGAAAAACAGAATACCCTTTTATAAATAAATATATACAAATATAAGGAGCGTTTCTGTCGCTAGCCCTAATCTTACTAGACTGAAATTGTTGAACCGAAATTCAAATGTTAAGTACACTTATGTATATTTTTAAAGAAAAACGCACACAAAAATGTTAAATGATTAATTGCAAATGCAAAAACTGAAAATCATAGCACAACCGAATGTTTTCCAACGAACTCACTCACAAAACATCTATCATCGCCACAAGGAGCTCTCAACTAAATCTTCATGTTTTTGTTCTTATTTTGTGTGATACAACAATTCGAACTACTTTTGTATGCATTCCCTAACATATTTGTTATATATATTAAAAAACAAAATGCAACCGCTAGGGCAATATTATTCATTAACATAAAATTAACTATTATTAAATTTCATTGTTGTTGGACTTCGGACGTCATATTAGAAATAAATAACCAGCATATTTGCAAATTAACATTCGATTCAATATCATTGCATTTACAAGTTATCATATTAATAAATTTCAAAAGCATTAAACAAAATTCAAACGAGTTTTAATGGGGCGGTCAGTATTGATTAGTATTATTAATTACAATTTTATATATAGAATTCTTTTCACAGGTTAATAAAACGCTCTCACAACGTATGCTTTTTAAATGCGTGTTGTCTTTAATACAATGTACTATCAAGCGCATATAGTAGATATATATATATATGTATACATATTATGTCCATTATAAACAACAATAGTTAGTTAGATTTCACAAAACATAAAGCTATAACAATAATAGTCTTAATCACAACTGAATCGTAAACAATCGCACTTTTGTCCCCTATAAAACTAAATGAATGGCGTTCTTTGTCACCACATCTCCCATCTTAAGATGTGGTGTGCTTGAGCTGCAGTTCCTCTACTGCCTCCTGCAAGGGGCGATCCTCCCGTTTGCGTACACGCTCGCATTTCGGACATGGCTGCTGGTTGTTAAGGCATTCGGCGTGAAAAACTGCGCCACACGTAACACACTAAATACACAAATTAAAAATGATGATTAAATTATAAAAATATGGATGTGGTTTGTTTTGGCAGCTTACCCTAAATGTGGTGGCAATGTGAAAGGGATAGAGTACTCGCGGACTCTGACAGATCTCGCAGATGAAACCCTTTAGCTGGCACAGGCGACACTTGAGCACATGCGCCTCACCCAGCTTGAAGGCCTTCTGCAGCTGCTGGCAGAGTGTGCCACGCTGTATCAACGCCAAATCGGCAATGGAGTACTGATGTATGTGCTCATAGAGATATTCCCGGCCACAGAAATCGCTCTGCAGCAGTTCAATGATGGATGGCGCACACGTGTAGAGATAGGCACGTATGAAATTTAAACGGATGCGCAACGATTGCAGCTCAGCCATTGCTTCGGAGGCATAGTAAATACTGGGATTGAGCAGCTGCATATCGAGAAAGGGCTGCGACCGAAACTCGGCCAGGAAGGTAGCGGCCCGTTTGCTCACACAATATTTGCGAAAATCCCAATTGTAAATGATGCGTGCCGGTATGAGTTGAGTATCTGCATCCATGCAGCCGTTGCAATAGTAGTTGCCACTAAACGCACAAACTCTGCAAAGCATTGGGATTGTGCTATATATTTGAGGGAGTTGCTATCTTGGATTACTCACTGAAAATTGTTATCGCCAATGCCCAGCGGATGCTGGCAGCCCTTGCAGAGAAAACCCTGTGCATTGAGACCGGGTTCGCGGGGCAATTGACAAAGTTGGGCAACCATTTGTTGCAGCTCCGCCATGTCAAAGTTCGAGGTGATTAGCTCAAAGTCCGAATTGGTCTGTGAGGAAGAGTGGCGCATCATCAGCTTCGGATGCAAATGCAAATTAAATTCCAACTTACGTCAAGAGATTGCAGATCACTCATATCATCGGTAACAATTGATTCGCTTTCCCTTTGTTGTTGCTGCTGCTGCTGCTGTTGTTGTTGCTGTGCCGCATTCAATGTGGATGCACTGGCGCAAAACTTTTCCCAGATCTGTGACCAGCCGGCGGCATCGTCGCGATTTTTCTCGTGCTTGCGCAACAGCGCATTGTAGCTGCAGCCAGTGGGTGAGCGCAGACTGCAGGCGCTGCTCATGCTAACGGAGCGCTGAAAGAAACGTGCAGCAGTCTCATCTGTCGGCGATTGGGTATCCAGATCGGCGGACCAAGAGGTTTGCATCAGATTTGTCAGCGAATTGCTGCCACTCGGTGGCATCTCAGGCAACGGCTCCTCAATGTGTCGTACGGATAGTTTGCGAGACCGCAGTTGTTTGCCCGAGCTAGACCTGTGCTCAACTTGGGCTTCAACTGGATTATCTGCCTCTTTTGCGTCCTCCTCCAATGTGGGCGTTTGCTCCTCGTTAATAATATCCATTTCATCCACTTTCTGCATGAACAAATCGAGTATTTCGTGCTGATTGAGATCCGCATTGCCAAAGTGGCCGCCGCGACTAAAGGGACTATTGGAAATAGATTCCGAGAACAGTTCGTTGGTATGAAGTGGCTGCGGTGTTGGTATGGCCACAATTTCAGTTGCCAACGAGCTGGCAATATCAACGCCGCAACTTATCTAAAAAAGAATAATTAGCATAAGATTTAGCATAAATCAATTCAGATTCGCTTAATACCGGACACGATTTGAGTGCAGGCGTCCACAGATTGGAGAGTTGGAGTGCATAATCGGGCCATTGGTTGAGTAAGCTCGAGTTGACGGGCAGCTCGAATGAAACATACGCTTCCAGGCTCTCCATAATCTTGGCCGCCGTTTCCAAGCCTTCGCCATCCTTGAGCAGTGCATCACTTGTGTAATAGGGCCGCAAGGCTGAACCATTTTTACGCATATTATTCAAGTATGCGGAGAACACGGAATCGTTTAGGGACTGTCGCACCCAGGCGCGACACTGTCCAATCTCGGAGGTGATTTGAGTGAGGCACTGGATCTGCTCGATCACCTGCTTGTGCATGAAGATCATAGCCGGTGACCAGAAACTTGGCTCGGGCCGTCGTTCCACATCGCCAGCAATCACATTGATGGTGGCCCACAGAAACGAGTCCTTCAAGCCATGCAGAAATAGGGCTTCCAGGGTGGTGCACAATGCGCTCGTCTGTTCGCAGAGGCCCAGCACCTCTGTGGAAAGTTATGTGAATGAGTCATTCACTCGATTGAATAAATAAATCTAGATCAAGGGACTTACCCAATCCTTTTTGCTTGACTTCAAACTCAATTTCTCTCGCATTCTCGTTTAGCGTGTTGATCAAAGCTTCCTTGACGACATTCTCACGCTTCGACGAAAAATGATTTAGACTGCGAAAGAGGGCGCTCATTTGTTATTGTTATTGCTCGACAATTATTTATTATTTATCTTTGTGTTTTCTTTTTTTGTTCTCGCACTGGCAGTTCCAGCTGTTTGCCAGGGCTGTCAGAGAGAGAATGACTCCAGTTCATATGAGCTATTATAAGTTCAAACGAACTAAGCCAGTTAAGGTAATCGATTTAAATATGTACAATCGGTGCATGCTATCGAAGGTGACGTCACAGTGACCAAAACCGTTTCTAACGGCTTTTGACATATTCAAATTGGAACGGAATTCATAAATGATCACGTAAGCGGGATAAAATTTCCGTTTGGTTTTAGAATGAAAACAAAACTCGTTCTTGAGACTTTCTTTCTTGGTGCGAAGCATATGAAAAACCCACGCAAATTGAGCAACCACAAATTCAACAACAGCAAAAACATTTTTTTAATGACATTTGATGCCTTGGGGTTTTATTTCATCGCATTAATGAGTCAACCGCTTAAGTTCCATCCGTAAATTGTATTTAAATCGCATTACTCTAAAATATCACTAGTAAAATGTAAAAGAGCTTTTGATTGTAATTATTTATTTTTATTTTTATTTGTATTTTTGTTTTAGCATATGAATCCCGACTTGTAAATAAGGCTGTGCACGTAACCCGACTTTGTATTCGTCATTCAGTCAGTCACTCGATTTTGAAGACAGAAATTTGTGTTAAGGTCAGGGTGACCAACACGGCTTATGCTGCCATCATTGAATGTTGTCGTTACTGTCTCGTTGTTTCAACGTTTTAACGCATTTTTCAATATTTTTGCAATAAAATTGTATAGCTTTGGCTATCATTGATATCTTACAGAAGATGCGCTCCAACTGGTTCAGGCAGGCACTCAAAAACCACCAAAAACTGGTCTCTCATATGAATTTTCAAGTGTTTCTCATTAGTTGTTGGTGTTGTTGTTTTTCGTTTTTAAGTTTTTAGCGTGTTTCTCAAAACATTTTTGTTTTTGGTGTGGGCCGGCGTCTGCATTCAACAATTGCATTTATTGGAATTTCAATACATCAAACATAATGAAATATTTACAACAATACTTTGACCTTTTGAAAATGTTTTTTTAAATATTTATATGAATACCAGTTGAACATTTATATTTCTCTTTAAAGGAAATGTCAGCTTGAAGCTGTAGTAACGCAGAAGCGTTTAATGTCTGTGAAATTTTGTGAATGAAGCGATTAATAAATAAAAAGTCAGGTGAAGGGTCGCCAAAAAAAAAAATTCAATTTGTGGATTACGCACAACAATTTTCATAATTTCCCTAACTGTGAGCCCCCCCTCCGATTAAGCTGCTTAAGGGCTCTCAAACTCTATTAAAGTAAATAATATATAGCGTGAATGCTGTCACTGCATTGTTGTTTATTTGTTGCTGTTTATTTGTTGTTGGTGTTGGTGTTGTTGCAGTGATGCTGACTTGGCGCTTTTGTGGCAAACTCCACTTAAAGTTCGACTTGGGCCGTGGGCCATTGTTATACAGTGTATAGCAAATATAAGTAGGAAAACTGAGAAACGAGAAATTTTTATAAAAACGTTTGTTTTCGTAATACAATTTTGATTACTTCTTTGACGCCGCTTGAGTCGAGGCAGCGTCCCGTTGATGGCTTTGTTTGGAACATTGGAGCTCTCAGCTTTGATTTATTGTCGGTGGGTGCACAACAACAACAACATTAACAACAGCAGCAACATCAACAACAACACAACAAAAGCGCAGTAGCGAACTTTTGTCCATTTGGTAATATCTTTTGCGGTAATTGTAACAATAATAATGTTAATGCTGAACTAGTTATGATTTAACATTTGATGCTCATGCTCTGGCTTAAAGCTCATCATTCGTTCGTTCACGGGGAAGTGCCATCAAATGCGGAACCAGCTGACATAATTTCAGTTTTTGAGCGCCCTGGCAGATTATGTTGGCAATTATGAACTAGAGACACAATTAGTGAACATTAATCGATCAGTGTGTTGAATGTGCATGCTCATCATTGTGCAATCAAATCACACTTTGATCATCAGGGATCATCGATTGAAAGAGCAAGACAAAGAGACAGAGAGAGAGAGATAGAGAGCGATATTCGATAATTGTCTTTTTAATTGTCTTGCACAACTCGATTCTTCACACAATGTGATCTAAAATAAGCGCAGCTGACTCAATCCAGAAAATGCCAAAAAATAAACATAAAAAATGACAAGAAATTAATGCAATTGATGACTGAAGACACCAAAAAATTGACTTCACAAAAGAATTGCCGCTCATAAGCGTAAGTGTTTAATGATGCTGAAAGCGAAAGCCGCCAAAGACGATGATCTATCACAGAACAGGATCTATTCTATGTATATATGTATATACATATATATATACATATATATATTCCAAGACCGACGTAAATGATGCATGATGAACACGCTGGCTGTGACGTTCCCAGTTGGACAGATAGACGAGTTCTTAGCTTTGACTCCAAAACCAAACCGACCTGTATAAATATATAAATAAACAATAATTTAAAAAAAGAAGCAAAAAACAAATGAGTTCTATCATAAACACTATTCATTTTAAGTTATTGCTTTGCATAATATTTAAAAATATACATGCTAAAATCTTAAAACGTTTGCGATTGGCAATAGTTGTCGAGGGCAGTTGGCTATAGGTTAACAGTATGTTAGATCGCTGTTAGCTCGACCTTGGGCGACATTGGAAATGCGCTTCAGTGCTTCGGATCAAGTATGCAAATCTATACGCAATATGATTAAAGGCAATTATAGCAATTAATTTCACTGTTGTTTACCACTGCAGTTAACAATTGAATCGATCTATGGAATCTATGTGAATATTTGTGTGTACATATAAAGTCGTATAACATATAAACATCTATTTATATGTGCATATATAGTTGGTAGCTTGGCGTAAAATTAGAATAAAAGTGAGAGTGTCAAAATCAACACTGCATATGTTATTTTATGCTGCACAATTTCATTTTACCCGGAATATTTGTTTATCTATTTGCTTAGACGACGCTGCTGCGTCTGTTGCTGCTGCGTCTGTTGCTGCTGCGCTGAGCAACAAACTGCACACTGGTTCAATATCTACGTTTAGCGTGTGAAAAAGGAATGGATGTAAATTCGTTATTGAAAAATTGAACATTTTAGACGAAAACACAGGTAGTGAATAATTCCACATCTTGTACAGTTATAAAAAAATATACTTTAATGTGTAGTTATTCATTAATATTCGCACAAATCAAATTATATGTTTATTTTTTTAAGATTTGTTAGCAACCAGTTACTTTTTATATATAGTTATGAAATAACATAACAAATCAAATTATTTGTTTTCGCTGAAAGATTTATAGTCATAATAAATCAAAATATGCGCAATTTGTTGGCAATCATTTACGTCAAGCAATCGTGAATAAATTTTGACCACTGTGCGCAGTCGCTGTCAGCTTTGAGCCCAAGCATAAAGCCAAGCTTCATTCGTTGTCGCTGACGGCGGCGAAGTTTACTAAAAGCGCAGAACTCGTGAGCTACGGACGTGTTTCTGCTACGCTTGAGCGCATCGCGCATCTTAATATTCCTCGTCGTCAACGTCTCCGTCTCCGTCTCCGTAAACGTCTCCGGCGCATCTTTGCGAGTCGTGAATTCGTGTCACAATTGATTAAAATTGTCTGTGCGCAGTCGCGACAAGAAAAAAATCAACAAATAAATAAATACGAGAGAGAGAGAAAAAAATAATATTAATATTACATATTATTTGTATTTGGCAATAAGGTTGTTTGTGTGCACGCCGGGTGCTGATTGCGTCGCTGTGGATCGTTGTCATCATACTCTGTACCAGCAGCAGCAGGCAGCATCTTTTTTGACTTGGTGGCATCATTATTATTCTGCCTACGCGCTAATTATATTCCTCGCGGATTTTTCAAACTAGTTTGGGCAATGCCCAATTCTAAATTATCCGTAGCGTGACAAATACGAACTTAAGTAAATCCCCAACAAACAACAACAACAACAAAAACTATAACATCACCTTCAGTTCCCAAATAATAAAAAAAAAAAAAATACAAAAAATTCCGTAATGCAAACGCGCAGCTTTAAATTGGAGCAGCGCAGTCGCAGTCGCAGTGCTGCCGGCTGCGTTACCGTTGCGCTGCTGTTAATCGCAGCGCTGGTGAATATCGATACAGCAGCTGGGAGGCCTGGTAACATACATATTGATATTCGAACTGGATATCGATTTTGATACCAGTTCGAATTCGTAATCAATTCGCACAGAGCCATACGATATTTAATTAGTGTTTGGTTTCCTTTGTTTGATTTCCTTTTCGTCTTTCGTCTTTCGCCTATTTGCGTGTTGCTTTCTTTATTTACTTTTGGAATTACGTTTTTATGCGCATGTGAATTAAATCTATAATTTCCAATTATTGCATGTTTGTTTACTTCTTTAATCTATTTGTAATCAATTTAGTCTTCTTTGTTTAGTCTTTAAGTTGTATGTGCAGCAAACATTTAAATATTCAATATAATATCTAGTTAAAGTTAGTTTTGATAGTTTGTCAGAAAAAAAGACATAAAGTATATGTTTGCATAATATGTTATTATTTCAAGACTACAATGCCTTTTTTTATTTTCCTTTCTACAAATATTTTGCATAAAATCTTTCCGTATCTATAAAAATAATTATTATGTCTTTTTTTCCTTGGCTAAAGATACTCATAATAATTTACGAGATTTCCTGATTCTCTAATTGCTGTCATAAATTTGAAAAGTTGATTTTATAGTTATAGATTTTGTTTTTTTTTCCCTTTAAGTTCTAATTGGCAAAATTATTATTCTAGCTCTAACTAACTTTAATATAGCTTTTAAAATAAGTGTAAATAACAATATATCTCAATGTCCTTTGAACTCAATGTCTGTTTGAACTGTTCCCCTAACTATATCCTCCAATTGTCACTAATTCCCAGCACACACATCTAACTAATCATCACAAATCGTCTTCAAGGCTATCATGTAGAGTATTTTTCGTCAATATCATAACGTGTTCTCCCGATTCATTGACCTTGATGTGTAAGCTGCGCTCATGACCCAAAGGTACACATCACGCTTTATCAGGGCTATCCATTGTCCACTTAACTTAAAATGATTGCCAATGCATCGTTTTGTGGAACGCATCTTCATTTCAATCGGGGGCCCCTGCGGCGGCACGGGCGCCTCAAATAAGCTGGCAAATCAACTCAGCGGAAATTTGTAATTATTATTATTATTATTATTTTGTTTTTTAAATTAAACAACTGAACGCTTATCAGCTGTTGTGCAGGCCCCCAAAAAGCAAGACTAAAGTAGTAGCTGTAAAAATAAATAACTCTGCCGCCATTGGCGACAAAAACATCTCATTCCCCAAGGCAACTTGAAAGGCAAATGAAACTCGAGAAGCCGCCGGCCCCAGACAATAACAAAATAAAAAAAAAACAAAAAAAAAAAGAAAACAAAAACAAAAAACATCAAAAAAGCAACAAACATTATGTAAGAGCCAAATGACGTGACTGGCAAGGCTTCGGTTATGGTGTCGGTGTCGGTTTCAGTATCGAGGAGGTGCCGGAGGGTGTCCCCTTTCGAGGGCGACCTCTGGGAGTGCTCTTCTTTAACATCAGCTTGTACTCTTTAATAAAAAACGACTGTTTATCTTGTGTCTTGGGGGGTTTGCCGACAAGTCCATAAATTGTTATGACAATTTGTTAAGCTTGGTTGGTAAACTGACTTCTGTTTTTGTTGTTTTCATTGTTTTCTTTTGGGTCATGGGGTACCAAGAAAAGAGGTTAATTGCCGACTTCATTGCAATCCCAAAGGGGAACTTCGTCTTCTTTAGAATGTGACAACTACTAATAAGTAAATAAGTATAAGCAGCTTAGCATTTGATGATCAGACAACTGACCAAACACAGTTCATCAATACACTTAAAAAAAAATGTGTCAACTAGAATTTTGACAGTTTGACAAATTTGAATTGCCAAAACAACAAAACGTTTTTTTCTTTTATGATTTTTAATATTTAAAAACAAGAATTTTTGCATTTTTAAATTCTGTGTCGTATTTTCATTGTATTTTTTTTTTTTTTGACAACTAGTTACTCTTCTTATCAAATATATATGCAAATAGTTCAATATCTAAAATCCTTGGCACATGATTAATTTGAATATTCTTAGTTGTTTTAAGCTGACTTTTGCTTAATTTAAGTTTAATATATTTGGTTCCATTCGTTTATTGGTTAATTGTTTGCGCTGATTCGTTGATTTTGGCCAGAGGCGCATCTCTGCTTTGTTAACTCGGCTTGAAATTGAATTGGCCAAATTGAATTGGCAGCTTTTCACCGCTTTGATTGCCATACAATGGCTTATAATCAATTTGAGGCTCTTTGCCATTTTAAGTGGAATTTCTTCACACGACTTGTCGACAATAAATTTGGTATTTTTTGTCTGAACTTATCCGTTATACGTGATAATTAACAAATTTGCACAGATTTTCGTTGTTGCTTTTGTTGTGGTTTTTTTGGTTGTTGTTTTGTACTATTAAGGGGGAGGGGCCTATTGTGAAACTATGCCTTTTGTTATATTACTATATTTAATATGATCCGCTTTGGAATTTAGCGCAGCCTGCCTAATTTCATAATTACTTAATAACCAAGCGCAATGAACAGATCCATTAGATATATGTAAATATATATATATGTATATATTTAGCTCTAAGATATAATTGATAATCTGCGAATGAGTTTTTGTTACGTCACTAATGAGTTTTAATTGAGTGAGATTAAATTGTGTGAATTACCCCACAACTTTTGTATTTATATCAATCAAATAATCTGCCTTTGAGTTTTCTTGCTTTTTCAATAGCTGGCATTTCCGTTTGGCATTTACTTATTTGATGTTGTTTGCAAAAATTCAATAGATGGTAATTGCTTTTATTCTTCCCGATATGTATTCAAGTTTGTTGTGGGAATTTAATATTTATTGTCAAACCAAAGTTGTCACTAAATTATTTCTTACACGCGCGAGATTTTTTTTTGCCATGTTTGTGATCAGCAAGAGGATGATAATCGTGTGGGTTTTACGATTTAAATAAGTCGATAACTCAAGGTCAAAGAAGATGATACAGCGATCGCGAGATGAGATTAATAAAAAATAAAATAAATAAATAATAAAATAAAATACATTTTTCGCTTTTATTATATATCATCTTAACGAAGGTTGCTAAACATCGCAAAAAAGTTGTCAAAAATCAAACACTAAGCAAACAAACTGTAAAAATGGCCAAACATAAAAATATAATCAATTAAAACAGCGATAACCAAATGACAAATCTTGAAATTATCCCATTGTCATTTTCTGTTTGTTTTTGGTGGGTGCAAATGTCGTGAAGTCGTCAATCAATTAAAAAACTTAAATTAAAAAGCGCTGTTCACATCAAATGTAAAAAATTGGCGAACAAACAAAATTTAATTGGCAGTGAACTTGGCAAACTAATTTTTGACTAGTTTTGGGGCGTGTAAGATTAATAGTGTTTATTTATAAGTTATACAACCTTTATTCATTAGAATCTCTTTCTGGTAATCTATCAAGTTTTATATTAATATTAATGAAATTTTGTGTTGCAAACACTTTCACACAATCAAGTACAAAAAAAGAAGAAAAAACTTTAAGTTAGTCAAGTAATATCTGACTTTTGTATCTGTAGATAATTCATATTTATGAGGTGCCGTCAGATTAATTTTGTATCTCATTTTAATGAGTTGTTCTCGGATGTCAGGGACTCTGATAAAAATGAGCGGCATCATTTTTCATAGCTCTATTCAAGCTGAGACTGATAAGCTGTCTGTCAAAAAAGTAAATCCCACTGCCATTGGACAAGCATGTTTATTTATTTATAATCAAGCGCAATAACAATACCCATTGCTGAAGGCTACACTAGTCATGCTAAAAATCCCACCTTTTAGTTAGATTGTTCAGTTTATAACTGCAGTTTTTGCAGTATTTAATAATAATAATAACAATACCCATATGAATGCAAATGAAAAAACATAAATAATATATAAAATGAATTTATGCACATATATTTAGCAACAGGAACTCGGCTAGAAATAAAAAAATACGCCTACCAGAAGTCTCCCTCTCTCTCTCTCTATTCGCTCGCTACCTCTGTCTTTCTCTCTTTATAGTTCTGGATAGATATGTCAAAAACCACATTCTAAAAGATCAGTTTTTTTTCTTTTGAATTCCTCCATCAGATTCTAATTAAATTATTGGCTTTTTGCATGGTATAACTAACTTGATTCACACATTGCGGTTAAGATGGCCGTGTTAATGTTAATAATATATTTGTGCATTGATCAAACATGACTCTAAATCTTCTAAAGCTTTATTGTTTTCAAAAGATTGAATGCTTACATTAATTAACGTTTGTAATTGTTGCAAAAATTCATTTACGTTTGTTATTGTTCAATTCTTGTTAATTATTTTGCGAAACAAGTTTCACACACACACGCACACATAAATACCGCCAAAAATTCCGCAGTATTCTTTGTAGGAATCTCAAATGACTCAAAAAATGGATAAGTATGACTCTCAAATAATTCAAGTGGTTATTAATCAGTTAATTTATTGACAGCTGTTAGAATAAATTTGGGAATTCACTGCGAATATGTGAGAAACATATTTTACTTTGATTTGGTTAGTACAAGTATGTGTATATGGATATGTATATTAATGTGGGCGCTGGGCGCGGCTTTTCATCGATAAGGCCAGTCGGATCAAGTTTAACTGGTTTGGCATGTGCTATAAACATCCTCCTCACTGAGTGACGCATATTTGCTTAGTTCTAATACAATACAAAAAAATATATTATATATATCTGCGTCAACGGTTTTTTTTTTTAATGTTGTAACAAGTCGTGGCTGGAAGCTAGTTTGAAAATCGTTTCGAGCACTTATTAAAAAGTATTTATTAAGTTTTCATTCGTAATGCTGACAACCCAGTATGATTAAAGTCAATCGTAAATATCGACAATAAAGTTGATATTCGAAATTGAATAATCGTGGCATTAATTTCTAAAGTCAATCAGATTTCTAATAGAGAATTTGTAAAAATTGCATATAATTTCCTAATTTGAATATCTGTGAAGAAAAATAGACAAAATCATGATTGTAGGGTATCTGCAAGTTGAGCTCTCTCTCTATCTCTTGACTACAGCATTCCTACTTGTTTAGTTTATCATTCGTATTGGCAAGTTGAAATATAGAGTTAAACTTGAATGCATTCGATTTAAAGCATATAGAAAAACAAAAGACTTAGGCAACGAACTTGGCTGTCAATTTAACACTTGGCACATAACAAGCAGCGGCATTTACTTAGTAACCCCAGCTGGCCTGACTAACTAAAATTGAATTCAAATTGAAATTCTCTGCTCGTGTGTTATGTGTCAACTTAAACTGCTCTGTAAATAAAAAAAAAAATAACAACAAAAAAACAAGCAAGCTTAACACTAGGATGACTAGTCTTGCAGACACCCAGAAGATATATGTATGTCTGGGCATTTAAGGCAATGTCAATCAATCAGCTAGAATGGCAGCCAAATTGACAAAGAGCCACACAACTGTCTCATCTGCAATCTTCATCTGCTTCTCCTTCTGCTGCTTCTTCATCCATGGCATCTTCTGTTTCTAACACGTTCGAGGCTCGCCAACAAATTGCTGCAAACTCTTGACGTCTTCTTGCCTCTAGCATTCACTCACACATACAAACAGTCAAATGCATATATGTACATACAAGCATATACATACATATGTTAGTCGCAACCATAAACCACAAACAACAACAACAACAAAAAACAACAAAATCTTCCCCCTTCTCTGCAGATGTGCGACAATCGCCATTTTCATTAGATTTGCAACCGCCATTGGCTGAGGCAAACCCCACTGACTTCGCTCGGGCCGTTGATAGCTATGGCAATCCCATTGATGCATTGCGTCCAATTGATACGCCCGATGGGCGCAAGGTCGTCAGCGCTGAGGGTGTTCAATTCGAGATACCCAATTATGCATCAGGCATCACTGAGATACGCAAGCCATCCGATGATTTACTGCCACCGCACACTGGTGAGTTGACAACAAAAAGAACAGCAACAACACCAACAACCACAGCAACAGCAGCAAGGGGTACAGCAGCAGCAGCAGCAGCAGCAGCAGTTGCAGCAACAGTAGCAGATGGCAAAATCGCCAGCGGTGCAACAACCACAGCCACAGCCACCACAACAACAACAGCAGCTTCAAATATTAACCAAACGCACAAAGAAAACACAAGTCTCTTAGTAGCAAATTCACCTAGCACTAATAGCACCACTAGCTTAAGCCTAACCCGCACCCACACCCACACCAGCACCACAACCGCATCCACACCCATATCCACAGCCATTCCCCCATATGTAGTACCAGTAAATTTATCCAGATCCAATCATGCCAAGCGTGAATCGTCTGGGCAGAAATATGTAATTATGGCAGCTAGTCCAAAACATGCACCACCCACATTTACCCTGCTCACCCTGAATCCCCAAGCCCAATCCCCCGCAGTCGCAGTCGTCGCGTCCAAACAGAACAATTCTAAGCGCATTGCCAGCCTTGACGCCACATATTCAACTCCAACTCCAACTCCTTCCCAACTAGATGCCATTGCAGTGGCGCAACCCAATTCGGATATCGACAGCACCAACGACAGCACCTCATTCGCATCAGCACTTGATACATCACTAACACCACCAAAGCATGCATCATCAACCACAACAGGCGACTCCCACGCGGCGGACGTCACTGTGGAAGTGGAGCAGGCCGAGTTGATACCCGTACACCAAAAACCGGAGGAAAAGAGTGGCACCCTGCCGGACTATCTGCTAGAGCTGCAGCAAAAGGATAAGGATGTTGGTGGACCAGTGCCGTGGACACCAGCACCGAATGGTGCACCACTTAGCGTCATTGCCTGGGATCTGTTGCCACCACTGGAAACGGCACCACAAAACGAACCAATAATCATAACCGAACAGCAGCCAACAAAGCATGTGATTGGCGTCGAGCAACCCGGTAGCCACAATATTCGCGTTAGTCTAAGCAGTGGGCAGGGCTTATCTCCCCAGGCACCCGCACCGCTCACTCCAGGTGTGGTTTCTGTGGTGTCATTGGGACAGGATGGACCCGAGGCGCATGGCACCAATGCACATGTGGGCACCACTACGCCCAGCAATCCGGGAAGATTTGCCAGTCGTAATCGCGGTAACGTTCATTATAGCACAACCACCACAACACCAAGACCACGCAGCACCACTACAGCCACAACAACAACTACAACAACGACAACAACTCCGAAACCAACAACAACAACCACAACAAGAAGAACAACAACAACAACCAGACCCACTACTAGAAGAACGACAACAACAACAAAGAGAACAACAACAACACCACGTCCAGCTAGGAGCACCACACCACTGGATCCATCGACCTTGTATAAGCTGGACAATGAAGAGGCCTATGCGTACACATTGCCACCATGGTTGCAGGATGTTACCGACCCGGATCTCGATGTTGCCGTCACTTTCATAGTGCCCACGGATAATGATCAGTATAATCATACCCTGGCCGATGACCTTGAGCCACCATTCGAACCGTTTGTAGATCTGAACAATCTACAACTGACACCACCGCCCACGTCGGAGCGACCAAGCACAACCACAAAAGCAACCATAAAAGCAACAACCACAACAACGACGACGACGACAACAAAACGTCCGTCGGTTGCAGCACTACCAACAGCAGCACCCAGCACAGCGCGCCCCACACAAGCACCGCACATTTTCAGAGCACACACCACTCAAAGACAACAACAACAACAAGAAAAAGAACCACTGATTACAACAACCACCCCTAAACCCACAGCTCCACCGAAGTCAACGCCAGCGGTGCCTGTTGAAACCAATCCATTTGATTCATCCACCTTGCCATCGTGGTTGAAAGACTTTGACTATCCCGATGTTGGTCCCGGCGTGCCCTATAATCCGGACAATTTTAAGGACTCAGCTGACGAGGGTGTTCAGAAACCGGGAGGTAGTAAGCCTAATGATTTTCAGCCACATGGCTTTGCTAGTCATCCAACAGCAACCACAACCACAACAACCACAACAACGACAACAACCACCACCACTTCAGCACCAGCTGTAATTGATTCCTCTGCTTTTCCATCCAAAGTCACGCTTACGCTTCCAGCCAGCAACGATGGCACCGAGCTAAACACTGTGGAGCCGCCGCTGGTGCTAATACCGCCTATAGTCCTAACTAACAGTGACAACAACGAACAACAACCACAACAAGAACAACCAACTTCACTAGACACTCGCAGCGGTTCCAAAAGTTCTACTACAAACTCTATCACGCATTTTCCAGCACGCTTCGATCCGCCACCATCACAATCTTCTGCGACGACTTCCACGAAACCGGAACCTCAACAGTTTCCACCCGGCAATGGCAATCCAGTCGATGGGCAGAAGGTCGAGTACAGCAAGAGCGATGATGGCAAGGTCATAAGCACACCACTCAACACACAGCGCAATGGTAAGTCTTAGGTGTTATTCATTGAACTCAAATTAATCACAATCTCAATTTGCAGATGTGCAAGGCAGTAGCGTGCATCAAGGATCATCAACTGCCTCCTTCGGCTCCGCCGCGCCAACAGCAGCGACCGCTGCAAGCAATACGGGCAAATATACTGGTGGCTTTGGTGCACCAGCTGGTCTGCTGCGTCCACTAAGTAGCAGTAAGCCAGACATCTATGTTGCTGGCAATAAGCACGAATTCAACATCGATCGGGAGAAGAATCGGAGACAACAACAAAGTGGTAATACTGGTCGTTATACGGGTGGCTTTGGTGCACCCGACGGCGTATTGAGTCCACAGAATGCGCCCAGACCCTTCCAGCCGACGCAGCAAACTCAGCAGTCTCAGCAGCCATCACGTTCACTGTCAAATCAACATTCGGTTGGAGCTGCATCCAGTCACAATCAGCATCGCCAGAACCGGTTTGGAGGACCACCCGGCATCCTTGTGCCCTTTGACAATGTGCAGCGCACCGGTGGGCAGTAGTAGGCTATAGTTCCACTTGTTGCAACTACAGCAACTACTTTAAATTATTTATAAAGCATGTTTGTATGTATGTGTACTTATGTTAAAGTTTTCTAAGTTGAACTTCTCGATGTGTACTATAACGTAACTCAAAATCAATACGAATTTTTTAAACGAAAATCAATAATATCTTCCCACGATATCGTTTGTTCATCTGTTTATATGTACAGCATATATGCGAAAAATATTCATATATGTACATATGTGTACATATCATGTAATATGTTATTTACATAATAAACTTTATAAAAAATAAAATTGCCGATTAGTATAAAATACTAACAATTAATAACGTTTTCGAAACAGCTGAAGGGGCGGAATTTTTTGCAAAACTGAAAATTGATCATAGCTCAACCATATCTTTCCGGATCCTTGATCAAATATGTTTTGTAATTTTAGATTTTATGAAGCAGGCTTTCGCTATTATATTTTTAAGCCTAAAAGTATTCTTTTTAATTTTCATTTTTGAATTGATTCGGTTAATAAAATTGTGTAAATATATATATTTTGTATAATTATAATTATAGAATTCTGGCCCCTTCAGTCAGTAAGCAGATTTATTGTAGTCTTTCCTGGGCTCGCAGCATTTTCAAATTTACGCGGGCATTCTGTATACATGCAATATGTACTAGAATAGTCACAATACGGTCACTTTGCCGTCGCATGAAGTTGGCAGCGCGAGTCGCTTAGCTAAAGATTGCGCGTGCGTCGCATAGCATACAGCTTAGTGTTGCCCACAAATCGCAAAATGTTTCCGCACCGGTGGTGGGCGTGACGTAAACGTCCTTCATTTGACTTTCAATTCGCTCAGCTAGAAGGCAAACGCTCTATCTGAACTCAAATTCGACAGAGCAGCTTGCAGTTGCTTCCCGACGAGTGAACTGAGCGAAAGTAAAAGTGGTGATCCAGGCAAATTTTCAAGACAATTAAATTAGAAAAAAAGAAACTAAAACTAAAATATGTCGAAAATTGGTATTAATGGATTTGGACGTATTGGCCGTCTGGTGCTGCGTGCAGCCATCGATAAAGGCGCTAACGTCGTTGCCGTAAGTTATTTACTATTATATATTCCGTTATGTAGATATATATATATAGAGAAAAAGTATTTGTAACACGTAATAACTGTGAAATATGTGTAATCTTCTTCTTCAGGTTAACGATCCCTTCATCGATGTGAGCTACATGGTCTACTTGTTCAAGTTCGATTCTACTCACGGCCGTTTCAAGGGCACCGTCTCCGCTGAGGGTGGCTTCCTGGTTGTCAACGGCCAGAAGATCACCGTGTTCAGTGAACGCGACCCGGCCAACATCAACTGGGCCAGCGCTGGCGCTGAATATATTGTTGAGTCGACCGGTGTCTTCACCACCATTGAGAAGGCCTCCGTTCACTTGAAGGGCGGCGCCAAGAAAGTCGTCATCTCGGCCCCCTCCGCCGATGCCCCCATGTTCGTGTGCGGCGTGAACTTGGATGCGTACTCGCCCGACATGAAGGTCGTGTCGAATGCCTCTTGCACCACCAACTGTTTGGCCCCACTGGCCAAGGTTATCAATGATAACTTTGAGATCGTTGAGGGTCTGATGACCACGGTGCACGCCACCACAGCCACCCAGAAGACCGTCGATGGCCCCTCCGGCAAATTGTGGCGCGATGGTCGTGGTGCTGCCCAAAACATCATTCCAGCATCGACAGGCGCTGCCAAGGCCGTTGGCAAAGTCATTCCGGCTCTCAATGGCAAACTGACCGGCATGGCTTTCCGTGTCCCCACACCAAACGTGTCCGTTGTCGATTTGACCGTGCGTCTGGGCAAAGCTGCCAGCTATGATGAAATTAAGGCCAAGGTACAGGAAGCAGCCAATGGTCCATTGAAGGGCATTTTGGGCTACACCGATGAGGAGGTTGTCTCCACCGATTTCCTCAGCGATACACACTCGTCTGTGTTTGATGCCAAGGCTGGCATCCCATTGAACGATAAGTTCGTCAAGCTGATTTCCTGGTACGACAATGAGTTCGGTTACTCCAACCGTGTCATTGACTTGATCAAATACATGCAGACCAAGGACTAAATATAAAAACATACATATATAATTATGCATACAACAACAACAACAGAAAAAACAACAATGTTAACTTCTCAATACGCACAAACAGGGGGTGTAGCATTTACATAACTAAATAGATGAGAAGCATCCAATCCATCCCCCAATTAATGATTCCCTCACATGTACACACATACATATACATATATACATAAATATATATATATATATATTTATGTTTGCACATTTGTTGTGTATTGAAATCTTCTCACTCCTGTTTGTAGAGTCGCGCAACAACAGTTACATAAATTATATAACCTAATCTCGTTACAAATTTACGGAAATAAAAAAAAAAAAAACAAAAATCACACGACATTTTTATTGCAATTGTGAAATCACCTCTGCTGGGGCAACTATTGATTTTTTGCCACATAGCGTAGAGGGCTTAGCTGCATTTGACAACAATAGTATTTAATTGAAAGCGCATAATTATATTTCTAGAAATAGTTCGACACGCGTGTGTGTATATGCATAAATATTTATATATACACACACACATGTATTTAAAAATATATGCTTTCTTCAATATGTAGCTGAATCAGTATGTATATACATATGTTAAGCGACACACGTGCAATTACTGCTTGCTTTGAAACTGCCGGCAAGCCGGCTGAAATGCCCTTGACATTGATTTCATTTCATATATTATCTGGCATAACAATAAATAAGAGCAAGCAGAAGACGAAACACATGAATACACAATTGGGGAAATACGCTTAGATAAGATAGAATCATAATTAGCGATATTGTTTAATAAAGATACAGTCACATTGTATATGCACGTAACAGTGCCATTTTGAGTAAAATGTTAACACTTGACTGCATTTACATTTCGAGCCTATGTTATTTCGTCAGTTTGTCATCGTCATCGTTTCGGGAACTTGGTACCGCGATGTTTTGAATGGAGGATTTTAATCTCGTCTTGGAGGATTAATAGTGGAATTAATTATTTGACGAAATCAACTCGAATTGCAGCACGCTCTGATTGCGTAATTAATGGTTTGAGATACACAGAACTGTTTGTAATTAAGTTATATCACTTCAAGTGTGGGTATTTATGTTAATTTAAGAGTTTTGTTTGCTGTTTTTATTTATATCCTACATAATTTTTCCTTTTTTGAGGTACTGGTGACTGCCGACTTGGAAAATTTTTGTTTGATTAGTAGAGGCACATCTGGCAAATTTTTTACACAAGTTGCAGAAAGTAATAAATATCAACAGGTCTCCCCTCTTTAGTTAGTTTTGGGCCAACCTCATTGCATGTTAGCTTGAACCGCCCCACAGCAATCAAGCAATTGAAACGATTATAAGCGTGCTCCCTTTAAAATCCGCCTCTATTTGTCAACAGAATTGCAAATGTCGTAAATACAAATAAGTATTTGTATTAAAGTCTAACCCACATAGCGAAGCCCGATCTGAAATATACCACCCAACACTACCCATCGAAGTTTGTGGAGTTCTCAACTTGAACATATGCAAATATCATAATTTTACCATCATGTCTGCAACGTCGTAAAAAAAGGGGAACAAGAAGCAGCTGTCAGTTGCTGTTGGACGAAGTTGGTTGATCAGGCACCAAGAGACAAGGTACAATACGCCACAAAATTGTCTTGTAAGGCAACACTGTAGTCGATTGCTTATGAGGACAGCCAAACAACAAACAACAAAATTGTTTCGGCACGCCGCGAAGGTTGCTGCCGGTTTCAGTGAAATGAGTGGTGGACACGCAAGGTTCTGGCCTAAGGACTGACTGGCCCAGACATCAAACTTATTTATTTACTCTAAAAACAATACAAGAAAATTAATAGCAATTTGCATAGTTTTTCATAAATAGTATGTTGCAATAAACGTTTTGTTCTTCACATTGTTGTAAATGCCAATAAATGAGGTTTCCATTTTAATGAATGCGGCTCTTTGATTTTGGCCTTTGCTTGAATATGGCGTTCATTGATTACCCTTATCAGCCTAGCGCCTAATTGGATTTGTTACTTCATTGTATTCATCAGAAAGCCATTAAGCTAATTTGGCCAACAGGCAATGATTTGTATTTTCCACGCACAAAAACCAAAACGAACAAACAACAACAACAACAACATTGACAACGTGCGTGACTTTTTGGCTTCGAGCCAAAGTTTGCTAACGCAACTTTTGATTTATAATGATTACAATTAGCTATCGATGCGTGTTATTTGAGCATTTCAAATTCATGCAATTGTTGAACAATTTCATTAAATCGAGAAATAATAAAATTTCTTAATAATTAAGAAGATAATTCCTAGAATCGGTAGAATATCTTATTGATCCATCATGTACAAGTTCTCGAGCATCAGAAAAAAGTTTCCTCTAAAACTTATTAATATGGGCAATTGCAATTGTTACAGCATTACTGTTCGAATCAAGCATTTCGACAGTCAACCTTTTTGTCTGTCACAGAATTAAGTAAGCGAGCAAATTGTTGAGATATTAAAGCGAGTTTATTGAAGTTTATTGAGACTTGTCAGCACATGCAAACTAAGTTACAAAAGCCACAACAATCAACAACAACTTTTAGCCACAGAGACCACTTCTCCCATTCGAGCCCACAACAACAAGAATATTTACAAGAGAAGGCAGCCTAGAAAAATATGAAAGAAGAGCTAACAGTTTAGTTGGAAATTGACGAGCGACGTGAGCACACGGTCAAAAAAATTTTCTTTCTGCGAGCAAATAGTATATCAGCTTACACACAAGTTAATATATTTACGAGAAACATTATAATTATGAAATTCGTGATGTGAGGTGATAAGCGTAAAATATAATGAGTAATTAAATGAATCGATATGAGTTTTAATGTGTATTTTAAATGCTAAAAATACAACAAAATACAATATTACAAAGTAAAGTGGTAAAAAAAGAATTTACTTTTCAAATTCGCATATTTAATTTTAAAAATGCCACGAAAAAAGCAAAAAGTTGATACTCTTGAGGAAATTGAAACGAATATTAAACTGCTCTGCGATCAGTCGAACAATCACATGAAAGTTCGTGAATACTACAAGGCATTGAATGGTTATAATCAGGTAAATATATTTAAAATATGTGATCAACGGAATTCTATTGCCAAAATTTCAATATGAATTGTGTAAAATCAAGGATTCATAAAGAGTTTAATATTTGAAAATGTAACGACTGCCATTTAAAAGCGCTCGCTAGATGGCGACACAATGAAAGCTTTGAGAAAGCTTTGAAGGTAAACCAGGAAAACTATTTACTGGTATATTAAAAAGCTGTTTACAGTTTGAGAGTAACACTTAAGCAGATATGGGAAAAGAGCAAATAGGATTCTGTTCAAAGATTCATCCAAGGAAGATAAATAAAGACCATAAGATTTTAAAGGCATTTCTTATAAGAGGGCCATTAGGAAAGGCGAATAAGCAAAAACCATAAGAAAAGCCTTAAATCTCGGATAGTCCCTCAACAATTATTTGGTCTAAATAAACTGATTGATGTGCAACACTTTACTGCTCCTTTAAAAATGGATACGTATGGAGTACTTAAAGAGCCAAGGATGTCAGTGTCAGCAATATGTCTTTTAAAATCCTTCCATTCAACCCGACGCCGAACTTTGCCTAGCCGCGTGTTGTTGATTTTTGTTATTTGTTATCGATTGTTAACCCATATTTATAGTTGGCTAGTCTCCTGGCAACCAACCATGGGCAAATGGCAAATCAATTATCTATTGTTTTGCAACTGTCAGCAGGTGTGAATTTTTCACACTTTCGGCCGCGTAGAGAACTTTTGAAGTTGCAGTTTAAATTGTTGTTATTAAAATGGCTACGAGTGTGTTGAACAACATTTTGGCTGTTGATAAGGAGCAGGAGCTGTTGCAGAGTTTCCTACGCACGGGAGCTAATGCAGACGAGGAATCCTTGGACGAATCGAATAAAAGGTCAAAGGGTCGCGGTCGTGCCTCACATAAGGTACCCATTTGGGAGAGACGCGACTCGTATGGCGGCGGCGGCAAATCCTCAACGGAGCGTGGCGGCCGAGGTGCGGGCAAGCATCCGGAGGATCTGGAGCCTAGCGGCTCCAAGCGTGGCAACCGCATCGAGGCTGAGTTGCGTGCGGCACGCAAACGCATCGAGGAGCAGATGCTGAAGAAAAAGAAGCCCAAGGAGAATTTCGTTGACTTCTATACGGACAAGGATCGAGCGGCGGCTGTCAGCGCCGGCGCCTTTGACATCAAGCAGAGTTTGCAAATAAAGCAGAAGCAGGATCGCAATGAGGCGCTCCTAATCCCCGACGAGGCGGACATTAGTTCAATTATTGCGCTCGGCTTGAAGGAGATCAAAAATGCGAATCCGGAGAATGCGATACATTTCTTTTGCAAGGTTGAAAGGGGGAATCTTTAAATGCACAGCTAATTTATCTTTATATACCCCATTTTCTACATTTTTCCTATTAACAAGTATCCCTTTCTGCTTGCAGGCTCTGGAGCTGAACAGCACGGATATTAATGCCTTGATCTCTCGCAGCAAATGTTATCTGCTGCTGGGTGAGGCCTCTAAGGCGCTGCAGGATGCGGAAACGGCGCTCAGCGAGGACAAGAATAATATACGCGCCATATACCAGAAGGCAGAGTCTCTTTACTATTTGGGTCAGTTCGAGCAGAGTTTGATGTTCTTCCATCGGGGATTACGTGCTCGTCCGGAGCTTGCTTCATTTCGGTTGGGCGTGCAGAAGACACAGGAGGCCATTGAGAACACGATTGGGACAAAAATCCGTTCCACAATACCAGTTGCTCCAATTAAAAGCGGAATACCGAAGAAATCGGGTGATAATACGCCCAAGTCGCAAAACCTGAGCAGTGCTCGGGTACGACAGAAGCCCACAAAGGCGGATCTGGAACGACGCAATGCACGCAAACTGCTGGGTGAGCTGTGCGTGGACAAGGAGTATCTAGAGAAGCTACTGCTCCATCCGGATCTCGTGCGCGCCGATACCAACACAGAGAATATCTCTGCATTGGCCAAGGAAGCTGTCTGCTTCCTTAACAAGCGTCAGGAATTCTGGCGACAGCAACGTCCTTGCACTGCTTTGCCGAATCACAAGAATCTGCCCAACGATGTGCTTCCCAAGTGGTTTTAAGCAAAGCAGCAACGGATGTAGTTTTAAGTGTTAAGTTTATGTTTGAAGTACATTTTGCGTGGGTTTCAATAAAACACAAATATTAAAAAAAAAATGTTTACGATTCGTACAGATCCCAAAAGAACCTGAACAGATTCCTTCAAATAAAATTCAATTCTAATTTGTATTATAAGTAGCATATTTATTGATTTACCTTTCTTGCAATTTGGTGATTAAACTTCTTTTTTTTTTTACAATTTTCACATATGGTGTAACATTAACACTTTAAATATTTTTTTGCAATTTGCATTTGCATTTTTCTTTGATATTGTTTTCGTATAATTCATTCCATCATCCCAGGTAATGTCTAAATCAACATGTTCGACAGTAAATATTTCCATGGATTTTAGCTCTAGCATTTTGCTGACTTTTTAACTCAGTTAACAAACGAAAATTACTGCCATATAGTATATAGTTATAATATATAGTAATGCGAGCTCTCATAGTATTGATTTGATTTATAATTTGTTTTTAATACTTTCGTCTACCACATTTGATTTTGTTTTATTTGATAAATTGACTAGAATGGCTATAATAATTTAAGACATATACAATACAATATGTATGTGTAGTAATTTAATACTTTATTATGTAGTTTTTGTTTGTTTGTTCAGATTGCTCGCTATGGTTAACATAAATACTTAGGTTATTTGGTGCTTTAGTGTGTGTGTGTGTGTACATCCGGCCAGTGTTGGTTAAGTAATTAAGTGCTCATATAACAGAAACAGATACATTCAAGTTTAAAGCAATGAACCAAGCTTATTTCGATTTACAATCTCTTCTTTGAGCTTACAGAATGCATATAAACAACAAATTCAGTTTTTAAATTATTGCCTGGAAACACTTCAACATTGTACGTAAATGATATATCTTCTATACAATTGGCAAATACATAATTTTTGTAGTATTTAGTTATGCGATTTCCAACATTAAACACAACAATAAATGGAATGTAAATATGTGGAGTGCCATTTGAATCGAGTGCCATCCATGCTTGACAGCTGGACTGTAAGTTGAAAGAGAAAGAACATTGATTAAATAATATCTTTGTATTACTATTAACTCTGAGCATTCTTTATAAAAAAAAAACAACCAGTTTGTACTTTATTTTTAGCTGAATATTTTCAACACTATTTTCCCATACGTAACTGTAACTGTAAACGATACTTAGCTGTTCGGCAAGCAGCCTCCCATATGGTCTAGTGGCTAGGATATCTGGCTTTCACCCAGAAGGCCCGGGTTCGATTCCCGGTATGGGAAGTAATTTTTTTTTTATAATTTATATATTTTTAAATTTGTTTAATGCATATTCATTTGATATGGACTTACTCTGGGCTTGCTCGGGTTTCTTAGTTATTTGTGGGGCGTGTGGGTAGCGGCGGTGCATTCCCACTGCGATTTGGTATTGGTGGCGGGCCACGACGATTGGGTAGCGGTGGCGGTGGACCCATTGGTGGTACTGGCCCCGCCGGCTGTCGACGTGGACTATCAAGGGCTCCAATGACTGGCGGCGGAGCAGCTGGTGGCGGATGACGTGGTGCTGGCACATCATCTTGTATCTCCTCGTATATGTTGCTGGTCGTCTCGTAGGCGGTATCCTGTGTGGGTGAGACCTGATCCAGAGATGGTGGCTTGGATTGCCGTGTGGGCGTTGATACTGGCGTTCCTTGTTTGCTCTGCGTTTGACGTGGTGGTGTGGCTGGACCGGATGGCAAAGCAGTGGCGCCTCCAATGGGCGAAGCCTTGCCCGACGATGAGCTTGGCGAGCTCGCGGACGTGGCATGCAACGGCGAACCCATCTCCGTGGGTGATTGCGATTTGGATGAGGGCGTTGTGTCGCAAAGCATGTTGGGTGGACGCGGCGGTGGCGGCATTGTCACCTGCACCGGCTGCAATGGCGTCTGCATTGGCTGCGGTGGTAACGGTGGCTTCGCCGGCTTGGGCACAATACTAATGACGCCGGCATGGGGCAAGTGTCGTGGCGAGTTCTTTGGTGACATGGGCATGGGCGGACGCGCTGGCGCCGGACGCGTTGGTGGCTGTTTGGGCCGCTGTGGCACCTCGGGCGTTAATTGGAGTAACTGCGCCTGCTCTGCGGGATTGGCGCAGAGTGGAATGGTGTTTGAGGTGCATAGCTCAATTTCACTGTCCACCTGCTGGGGCCAATCGGGTGTTTTGAGCTCGAAGACCAGCTCCAAACCGCAGACTTGGGTGCTGTGCTTGGCGGCCGCATTCAGAGCCGATTCCCCATTGCGAAAGGTCACCCACATGGTGTCCTCGACATAACGTACCAGCGTCACTTCACCCATTTTGGAGAGCTCAGCAATGAGTTCGGCCATGACATGCTCATCGTAGATGGTCGGTCCATCCTCGTCGGCTTCTGCAGATGCTTCATGCACATGCACCACAATCGTCGAATCGGGCGGACCCAGATCCCTGATAACCTGATCAAAGACCGCACGTCGACGCTGCTGATCAATTTCCATGATCTCTGCATCGATGATGGCAATCACTGGACGATGATCGCTCTGCTTCAGCTCCGAGCGTCCATAGTGGATGAGCTTGCCCGGATTCCAGGCAGCTGTGCCAACGCCACCGAAATCACTTTCCGCCAGAGCTTTGCGACGACGCCAGAGCACACGATCTGTCCAGGCGGGCGCCCGTTGTTTCTCGGATGTGTCGTAGTCATCGCTAAACACATCATATTTGTATGTTGGATCAAAGGTGATTTCACCCTCGAGGAACTCGGAGAATACATTGCCCGCCTCCTGCTCCTTGCGCAACTGATCGAATTCCAGCACTGTGGTTAGGTCTCCATTGCGGACACACTCCTTCAGCTCATCCTTTTCCATATCGATGCGATAGTTGAAGTCACCGCACCAGAAAACCCAATCATGCGACTTGAGTGTCCGTCCCATGGGAAAAGCTAATTTCCTTGTTATTTCCGCATAGTCAGCGTTACGTTCCGTGACTTGAGATTGACCGGCAGCAAAATGGGCGCACACAAAGCACATGGAACTGCCGTGCAGGACGAAGCGTATGGCACAGGCACCTTTGTTGCCCGTTGCTCCGCCCAAGCCCGTTTTCACACAATCAATGGCCACATCTCGAATGTGGGGCGCATGCTCCGGCCGTATATAGATGTAGAGGCAAACTCCGACCAACTGCTGATAGGTGAGCAGCACATAGTCATTGTCCCGCGATATAGTCTTCTGCAGCTCCTCGGCCCACAGTTTGGCATTATCGGTGCTGGCTGCCATTATATTCGATGCATTCAGATCGACAATTTCCTCGAAGCCAATGGCATAAATATCCACCGGATGATCGGCATGCTCCGACGGATTGTTCACATCCACCAGCGCCTTGGAGCGCGCCAATGCATGACAATCAAGCAGCCAATCAGCCAAGGAGTCCTTGAATACAATGCTGCGAAAGTGCTTCCCACCATTCACATTATAAGTGCCAACAGCAACGCGTGCCATGCGAGGACGCACATATTCCGTGTAACGCTTGCACAGCTCACGCAGCGTCGTTGTCGGTGCATGCAACATATTCGAGGGCAACAGGATGCGCGCACGATCAGCCAGCTCTGAGCTAAGTGTTGAGCCCACAAGCAGAATATCAATGGCTTCCTGCAAGTAGGTATGCAAATCAGTTTAGAGAATCGATATTCGTATTCGTTACTCACCTGTTTGGAATTGTCCAGCAGATTGTTCTGAATGGTGCGTGCAGCAGATCGAGCACCATCCATCAGCTTAGATCCACCTTGAATGGCACCTGTGCCCGCATAGATTTTGCTCACCTCGTTGCCATTGTTAATCCACATTTGACGAAAGATCTCCTCGAAACGCGAGATGTTCTGCTGTTTGCCGCCCATTTTCAATGCCTCCAGCTGCAGATTGAGCGTATCCAGGCCGAGATACGTCTGCACACAGTTGGTGCGATCCAAGCAGTCCAGACAATTGGTGCGCACAACACCAAATTGCTCCTGCTGCACCTGGCCATTGGAGGCATGAAAGATGCCATAATGAGCACCGCAGGCGACCATGCGCTCCTTGAGCTTGGCCAGAGCCGAGAAATTGCCGCCCCGACACTCCTGATGATAGTCGAAGACGACGTGTGGGATATCCTTGTGCGCGGACATGCCATGATGCCGCTGGAATTCATTGCTCAGCATCGCTTCGCCCTCTTTGCTGCCAATTAGCGAGCTACCCAGAAGATTGACGATCGTCTGGTAGCCGTAACGTTGCCTCATCATGCTCATGTGACGATCAAAGGCCGCCGCTGAGGTCTCGAATCCTCGCGATAGCTTCACCTTGTGCGAGCCCACTTGTACACCGGGCTGCTCCCAGAAGAGCGGCACCGAGCCACGCGTCTGCACATGACTGGTGACATCGCCATCCACATAGATGACCTGCTCCGTCTCCACAAAGTTGGCCACATAGCCCTCATCGTTCGTGCCACGGACATTGAAACGCGTTCCAGCGCGCTCACAGCTCAGACGTGAGATGATCGCGGCGCGTGCCTGCTTGGCGCCAATGTAAACGGTGCGCACCTCAACGGAGCCGCACATTGTCTGCAGCAGCCACGACTGACAGTCGATGCCGAAGCGCATCAGATGAATGTGCATCATGCGGTTCCAGAAGAATCGATTGTCCGTCTCGTCGGTCTGATGGCGACGCTGTGCACACAGCGTAATATCGAACTTGCTATTTGGTGGCGATCCTGCACCAGCAGCCGATGGATTCTGATGCGCAAAGTAAAACGTGCCCGAATTGAGCAGCTTGCGCACCTCACTAATCTTGTCCTCGTTGGGCACCGCATTCTGCAGCGATACAAATGACGTTTGCGTTATGCGAAAGATTTCCACATCGCCAATTTTGCCCATCGACACGCATCCGGTGACGAGCACCAGAAAGAGCACAGTGCTCTCGCCAGCATTCAGCTGCAGTGCACCCAAACAGCCATAAGCATCGCACACCTGTGTGCAAAGAAGAATATTTATTTATTTTTATAGAATTATAGAATAAATATACAAATTTTCAGATTATATGCTAACAAATATCCCATTTAAAATACAGCTATGAATTACTAACGTTTTCTCTTTTGTTTATATAAGTATTTTCACAACTAAACCAAGAATTGTTTTTGGGATGATTGGAAAAAGCTTACAAAATACAAAATGTTATGAATCAATAAGTCAACACAAGTCACACGATTTAAGTTACATAACATGTTATTAGGTGATTTACATATATAGAAAAACATTTAAAGCGACATAACTATTAATTTAAGATACTTCTCAAGCAAGTTGGGTGCTTTACTTATTAGTTTTATTTGTTCAATTTGATATTACGCGACGTTTGCGTCACTCATTGCCTTTTAATAATTTAGAGCCACGCTCTTCAAAACTTTTAGCTTGAAGGCTTGACATATTGCTATTAAAAATCTATTAAACAATTATAGATAATTATTATATTTTTGTAATTTTCTTCTTTTTGGTGTACTAAGAATAGCCATGGAAATTTTCCTAATAAATTTTCATTGCAAATGGGATGATTTGAAAAGTGATACTGACCTTTGTGTACTGTTTGCGGATAACGTTCTCCTGCTGGGTGAGCAGTGCACAGACGTGGGATTCAAAGAGGATGCAGTCGGTGTGATTGCGATGCTCCAATAGAACACTATGCGGAGACGGTGCTATTGACTTTTCAAGTACGCGTATCACCTTGGACATGGCCATCGTGCGGGCAGCAACTTTTCTCGTTTCTTGTTGGGAATGAACTAAAAGTTTCACTGGTGTGTTTTTTTCTCCGACTTCATCAATGCCGCTTCAGCAGCGGCCAAAACATCTGCAAGTGTAAACAGCAAATTTGCACAATTTTTAAACATTATTAAAGATTATTTAAAGAGGCGTGTGTTAAAACTCAAGAGCCAAACATTGAATGACTGCAATAAACAAGAATCAAACACAGACAGTGGCAAAGAATTTTTTCCATACGCCCCCATTCCAATCGCCGCCAGCTGGTGCACACACACATACACATACTCACATGCACGCACATGCATGCTCACACATGTGTATTTGTGTATGTGTCGCTGGTTAGCTGATAAAACTGTATAGATTTTTCGCATGCCAAAATTTGTGCGTATCTATTATGCTAATATAAACATTCTGCTGCTTTGCCACACGCCACTGTAATCAGATTGTCATTAGGTATTGTTGACGATAATTTTTGTTACTGTTTCTGGTGTTCTAGATAAGATATACCTTTTTTTTCCAACAATTTGATTGCAATTTGGACGAGTTGTATTGAATCGTTCGGAATAAGTTCAATTAAAGCAATCAGTGAACAAGTGACTTGAACGAACGCACTGCGGCCCTGGTTTAAGTTCATTTGGTTCTAGTTCGCAAATAACATTTTCTGTTATTAAAGTGTTTTAATTGTGTATTATATATATTTTTGCAGCATTTGAAACGCCGACTGAATTTCTTTTATTTACAGACTCGATTTTTACGGAAATAGATTAGATTTTAGAAAGAACAAAAGCGGCCACGCTATTCAAATTTATAACATAGTCTTAGATTCCTCTGTTTGCTTAACAGTCGTAGAGATGAGCTCTATAACTATTTATATAAATTATTATTATTCGTGGAGATTTGTTTTATTATTATAATTAGTATTAAAAAATTATTAACTAATCAGTATCTGAACTTTGCAAATGTGGTTTACGAATATAAAAGACGATTTGCTAAAAATCAGTGTTAATAGTTTTGTAATTTAAAATTAATATAAGTATTCAGTGTGAAAGTTAAAAGTTATTATTGGAAGTACAGCGGGAAATCTGATTAACTAATTTAGATTGCGGGGACTTGAGATATCATATCAGTAACTCACTTCAGAGATTTCATGAGCATTTTTTAATAAATACGATCGAATTTCCAGCGACAAATTTTTAACCGCGTCATGCGAAAATAATTTCAATGAATTATTCAAGATTGTATAGAATACTATCTAAATTCGGAATGCTATCTTAATCCCCACTTTTTTGTGTGCCTAAAAACCATTCATATAGCAAAGATACGAACAATGCGACATCTTCTAGTACAAAAATACGGGCAAAGAGCGTTAAATTGTTTGCTCTGGCCATTTAAAAAGCGAAGGTGCCCGTATCGGTACCGCACTTTATACTGCTCGGTGTACTGTAAGCAAATTATACATTTTTGCTTTACATTAATCAAATTGACATTTGGTAAGTTCTTGAATCGATCGAACGATCTAACAGTGTCAATATATCATGACCACCGTCATTAAGAATAAAAACATAAACAGACAATCAGTAAACTCGGATGAGTCATCAGTGATTGTGGCTTATCAGTAAATACATATATTTATATATATGCATATATGTGTACGTAAATGATTCTTCGGCTTGCACTCGTGAATGGAACATTTCTGGCCCTGGAAAGAGATATCATGTTGATAAATATATTGAAGCATAAAAATAACATTATTTAATAGTTGTTGGTCATTGTTTTTAATCATGTTTAATTTATTGACTATGTTTAAGCCTAGTTATCAATATATTTTTAGAAAATACATACTTATTTAATAAATTTTTACCTTTCAAAACAAAAGCTCAACAAAACTGATCTCTTTGAACACATACCCAAAAAAGTCTTATCCAATTTCAATTTTAATTGATAAGCTAACTGTCTACATTTGAAATTCCCGACAGAGACAGCAAAATAATAATATATATATTTTTATTTATATGCATATTACCTAATAACTGTATTATTATGTTAGGCAAAAAGGTCAGTTAATAATTTCTTTTGACTAAAAGTATTTTAGTATGTGGCTTTTAAAAAAGCCTCAGTTAAACTTTTATCTAGTTTTTTTTTGTATTTTTTCTTTTTAGATAATTGCGCTTGATTATTGATACATAATAATTTGTATGTATGTATGATTATATCTATCTAAATGTATTTGTAAGTATGTAAATTATCTAGTGCTAAATTTATCGCGTTTAATTTTTCATATTTGACTAGTTGAATTTTGATAAGAAATCAAATTTTTGTTTAGTTATCTGCAAATAAAACGTTTAAGTTGGCGGGGCATAAAGCATAAATGAGTTCAAGTTTGCGGCATGGCGTGATTTAGATAAACACTGTTTTAATTGCTCTTCTTTTCTAAGAAAAAAAAAAACAACACAAAATGTATACCTTATTTTATTGTATACACTCAAACCTATGCATGTATACATTTTTGTATTTGTATTTACTACTAATCTCTTACTCTATTTATACGTTAACTTAAGCGATTCGGTTGCCTCCGGTCTTGTTCTAGTATTCATTCTCTCTGCCTTGCAATTGATATGGCTCCCTAATCTGTACAATACATATTCTCAATTTATTACCATATATATATATTCATATATATATATATATATATACATATGGATGTATGGAAAAGTTGTTGTACTTGTTGCTGAGCGTTGGTCTGTTTGTCTTGGTAGTATGTACGCAATCGTTAATGTTTATACGTGTATAGCTAATAATCTTATATGTTCAGTGTTGCGATCGAGATAAGATTCATTGTTTCCAACTGCTGCGAATAACAGGGAAATAATGCTCTTACACTTTGCTCTCGATCCCAGATTCACTTGAGGATGGTGTCGGGTTTGTAGCATGACTAATCTGCATATACGCTGAGAAATGACTACATTTTTTTAAATGATGCGCTCTACGTCATTGTAAGTATTTACACTCAGCGAAAAATTGGATGTGTTAATTTCAAGTATGTTAAGAACACAACTGTTTCAAAGGTATTATTGTGGGATTATAAATGACATTTTGTGTATAAGAATTTTAAGTTTTCTCTTCAGAAGATTTTACTAGAATTTTGTATATGTTTTTTATTCTGAGTGTACACTAAGTAGTTTGTTAGTCTAGGTTATTATATTGTAGTTAAGTGCCACTATATGTATAATACTTAAGTTTCTGGCTTGAGGGGTGGTCGATCCGACTGCATGTCAAAAGTCTAGAGTATACACGATATAAACGCTTTAGCATAATTAAATGTGAGGTGAGGTAAGTATCCCCCGTACACTCCCTAATTGCCACCAATAATGTGTCAAGTGTACGTAGGTATGTGATAAGAAATGCGCAATGTGACTCAACTCTGGAATTCTCCAGTTATGGCATTGTAATTTGTGAACTCAAAACACCTTCATAAGGCTCATAGAACATAGATAAACTCAACGAAAGTGAAGCCCCATTGACTCACTCTCATTTGTGATAATCAAAATAAAAAAATAAAACATAAAACTGATAAATGATGACAAACAACGTTAGCAAACAAAAAAAAAAAATCAAAACTCATTCGTAATATAAATTAAATTTATTCGATGGCGGTGTAGCGAAGCATATTTACAGAAAATTGCAAAGCAGGGAAAATAGTGAGGATAGTATGTATGTATGTATGTATGTGATTATATGTTTAAATCAAAAAGAAAACAAATAATATATCGTTTTTCGCTTAGCTATATATCTAATTATAATTAAGATAATCGATTTTAAAAAAGCAATAACAAAATCTAACTAAACTATGCAACATTCTCATTTCTCCCCCAAAATCTCAAGTGCAACTAAATACAAAAATTACAAAAACTTTTGCTTAAATTGACTTAATTTACAGATCTCTACAAATATAATGTATCTATATACTTAAAGCACAAGCTGTCAACTTAGGTTTAAGTTCGGTTCAACAAAATTTCATGTTTTGTTGTTGTTGTTGTTGTTGTTACAGTTGATGCTGTCAATTAGTTAACGTTAGTTAGCAGGAGTAATCATGTCCAGACTTTGGATGCCGCTGCTTAAGCTTAAAGGCCGTAATTTAGACAAGCAGTAGAAGAGCTCAAGTTAGAGCTCGCTTTAGTTCACCTGACTTTACACTTACACTTAAGTTTATGTAGTGACTAAGTGGGGGTTTTTTCTCTGTTATTTTTGCTAGTAATAATAATACTACTGCCACATCAACTTAGCTCAAAAATAGCATTCCGCTGATTATACAATTTACGCATATAACAAACTAATTTTAACTAACTGCTGCTACGAGATCAGCAGTCGATGTTTAGCCAGCGGCAGCGTGCCCATCTTTGTCGTTGCTCCTCCTAAAGATGTGGGTAACAACGTGGGCGCCGTCGGCTGCAATGGCGCTGTGAGAGAAGAATCCGATGCGGGTGAATTGAGCGGTAATTCGTATGCAACTCCGCCCCAATGTAGCTTAAAGGTGCGCGTCCTCCAGCGTATTGCCGGATTCCACAGTGCGTGCAGGAACAAATATGGGCCGGTTAGCTCCCTAAACAGCCAGCCAATGACAAACTCAAATTTGTGGAATGGCATCGAGCCATGCTGTACAATCGACAACAGCAGCCAGTCCGATAGAAACCAGCAGAGCACATGCACCAGATAAAACACCAATGGATCCCAGGCGAACAGCAGCGATGCTGACCACGCAGCCAGTGCACCCAGTATCATACATTCCGAGAGAGGTTCCAGCAGTATCGTTGTAGGAACCATTGCCACCCGCAGCTTGGCCCAGCGTATAAGTCGCGCCTACAACGATAATAATTTACAGATATTAATATACAAAATATAAAATATAAATACATGCAAAGGTCAAAGATCAATTGAAAATACATTTACTCAAAAAAAAACATAAAATGTGCTACGTGATTGTTTCCATTTGAATACTTATGCCATTAAGTGGACAGCTGAATTAATGATTAATTTTACCATTTTATTTGTGTGTGTGTGTTTAGATTACAAATAATTAATAAGCCGACATGAAAAAAGAGTAACTAAAATGACCTAAGTAAATGTGTAGTATCAACAACTAGAATGTGAAACTACTTGTTTTCGATTAATCATACGAAGAGGCATACTTCATTCCGCGTACACTCATCATCTATCTGATTAATCTCTGTGCTTGTAATATTTTCGATTATTCTAGCATTATTTTGTATTAATATATATTAATTAATCAACAGCATAATTACAAATACTCACAATGGGGAGCAGCAGTTATAATCTGGGCTATTCTTGGATATAGTATTTTTATTCATTGAGAGAAACGTGTTATTTTTAAGTTTTAAAAAAGGCAACCCACAATCGATATTTTACTGCCTGGTTTTATTAATAAGGCGACACATGCCGCTGTGACGTACTCTGCGTATTCCTATAAATGGGTTAATTAGCTGACTTCTAAGACTATTCTTTCCCATAGATATTGCCTGCTTAAATCGCATTTGAGAACATTAATTTTTGAGTTTTGAGTATTAAGCCCCAAATATAATTTATTATCTAGCAAAAACCAAACCTGCAATTACAAAAACTTCTCTCTCTGCACGGCAAATGATAAGCGATTTGGATTGACAAGTGTATTTCTTGTATTTAATTATGTGCCAACAAAACACTTGCAACTAAAAGCTAAAAGCGCATGGCGATAAATAGCTATTTTCTTGAATTGAGGGGGCGAGCAATCGTCGGGAAATTAAACTGTAAATCAACAAGTAGAAAAGTTCTCTTGGTCGACTAGTAGATACTCTCTAACTAATTCAAGCATAGATGCGTTCTTACTTTAAGGTCTCAAATAACTTTTGTGTTTATTGTTTTGAAAGCAGATAATTTATGTTAAAATATGCTTATCATCACGGACATACTAAAAATATATTAGTTGCTGATGCTGAAAACATATTTTTGTAAACAAATTAACTGTCAAAATTGAGCTGACTAACTGAAGGACAGATGAAGGACTTGTGTTTGCTCAACATGATACATGATACCCTTTTATAATAATGTATTATGAGTACAGGGTACAACAAGTGAAACTGTTTTGATTAACATTGTGCAAAGCTCACGTGATATCAGCTGTAGACGCACAACAATGTTGCACGTGCCTAATTTATGAATGGCGATGAGTGTTATTATTTATAATATACGAGGGACTTTTTTTTTATTATTATGTTAATACGGATTTGAATCTTGTGATAGAAGTATGGGATATTTATTACCTGGAAGCTGGCAATATCGCAGACACCGCTATTTTGGAGCGCTGGCTGATTGGAGATGCGCATCTTCCAGCCCAATTCGGTGACGCGCTTGGCAATGAAAAAATCCTCGGCGAGATAGCACCCAAATGCCCTCAGTCCGCCCAATTGATCGATGACTGCCTTCCGTAGGAGACAGGACATGCCCGTGTGACAATTGATGCCCAGCACATCGGCCGACAAATAGATTCTCGATTGCACCGTGCCAAAGTAGACCTTCTCGAAGGTCGCCGCAAATCCATCGCGATCGCTGGTGAAGGGCATCTGATGGACTAACGCATGACGATCGGACATGTTCTGCACCATGTCGAGGAGCGTGTCGTTCTTCATCTTAATCCCACTGTCCGATATCATTAAGAAATCATATTTCGCTGCCATATAGCCGGGATGGATATTATTGATTTTTGGATTCACGCCCACATCGGAGCCACCCACAAATAGCTGTGCATCGATCTGGGGATGCTTCACCAATAGCTGCTCGACCAGCTTAATGGCCGGATCGTGTTTATCCTCCACACAGAAGAGTAACTCGAACAGCGGATAATCCATGGTGAAAAACGATTCCAGATTATGCTGCAAATTGGGATCAACGCCCATCAATGGCTTCAATATGGACACACCCGGCAGGGGGGATGATTCCGTTGGCAGTTTGCATGACTTCTTATGCAGCTTATATTTGCCATAGCAGATCGCGATCAGATGCACACACCAAGTGCCAAACCAGAAAATCATAAAAAATGCTGCGAAGCCATAAAGTGGTACTGGCAAATGTGACATTGTATGCGTGTGTGTCCGTGTGTGTGTGTGTTTGGGGTGTTGGGTGTTGTAGGTGGCGTTGTCTGCTGTGTGAGTTCGTCTGTGTGTGTGTGTGTTTCTCGTGCGGTTTTTTCTTTAGTTGGTACACATTTGCAAATGTTAAATTGCAGCTCTCGTTCAACTGGATTCTAATCTGGTATCCGCGTCTATTGCCCGTAATCCGTAAACTGAGTCAGCATGCCCCGTACACAAACACACTGAGACCGAGCGAGTCGTCAACAAATTGGATCGCGCGCGTTGCTATCGTTGTTGTTGACTTTGTCACTACTATATCGTCATTGGTGTTAAGACTACCCTGGCGATTATTTTTATTTGCTAATTATTCATATCAATTTCCGCGAACTGAACATCTCGAAGACTTCGCGTCGCGTTCCATGTCCAAATAAAAACTGCAATGTATTATAAGGGAACGCGGAAGTGAAAATGTGCACAAAATAGCCAAACATCTGAAGTTAGCATGTACAAAAAAATACCAAAATTCCATTTTCCGCCAAATTATGCTCGAAAAAAATACGCAAATTTAAAATTGTATTTGTTTTCTTAAGATAAATGTTAAATATAAAATAATAACATTTAATTAAATTGAAAATTATTTTTATAAAGAGTAGATTTCCTTTTTATTTTGCAAGTTTCGCCAGAGCTGCATACTGCAATTCATTTGCCCAACACTACGGTCACACTGAGCAGCGTAAAACAGGCAATGCATATAAATAAAGTTATTTTTATAATGTCTAATTATCAACTGAATACTAAGTAGGCTGTGTACGATTTGTTTACTAATTAATATGCACAATAAAGCACACACAACAAAAATTTTAGATAATTAGGGCGAAGATGCAGCAGCACGAAGGAGGAGAGTGCGCCACAACCAATAATGGCGCAGCGGCGGCAGACACCAAAGCTGACGAACAAACATTTTCAAAGGTCTTCAAATCGGATTTCGATGCCAAGTACAACATTGTCGATATACCCACGCCAGTGAACGCCTTCCTGTCCGGACAATTTAAACGTAGCTATGCTTATCACACGATCCGTAACCGGTTGCCTGTCATTCTCACAAGGGTCATCGATTCGCTCACTAGGGACAAGAGCGAGCTAATCGCAGAGTTTGGTGAGGTTTGTAAGAAGTTTCGAGTAATCCCCCAAATCAATCAATTAAAGCGCCCAATCAATTTGTGCAGCATGCTCGTGAAGAGTTGAAAATTGTCATTGGATTGATCTCGAGGCTCAAATATGAACTGCAAACGGACAAACCCTTCCAGGAGTTTACAGGCGATGGTAAGTTTGTAAATATCTCAGCTTCTACAAATTGTATTTATAATATGTCGATATTTGTCCTGCAGAGCCGGATCACGATTTGTGGAATGACTTTATCGCAGAGCTGCCCAAGGAGGGGCGTACGTTTTATCAGGCCTGCTGGATGTACACCGAGTGCTATACGTACCGTAAGCTCTACTCCTTTGTGGAGAACAGCATCTTCATCAAACAGTTTGATTGCTTTGGCAAAATCAAGGAGCAGGCATTGATCGGTAGCCAGGACGCCATACTCTCGCTGGCCAAGTATACGCGTCGCACGGAAAACTGCATTGAGATGTTTGCGGAGCTGTTGAAAATGAACTTGTGGAGCAATCGCAATGATCTCTCAGACGATGGACGTCTCTTCAATATGGAGATACTGCACGATGTGAGTGCCATGGATGAGTATATACTCATTAACAATGTCGAGGATATATGGATATGCTTGTCGGAGCACAATTCAATCAATAGACAGCATGTGGATATAGTACTGGATAATGCTGGCTACGAACTGTTCAACGACTTCATACTGGCCGAGTACATCATCGAGAAGGGACTGGCTGAAAAAGTGCGCTTTCATGTCAAGGCCTTTCCCTGGTATGTCTCCGATACCACAAAGCGGGATTTTAATCATACCCTCGAGTATTTGAGCAAACACTCTGATTACATCATCAGCCTGATTGGCAATAAGTTCAAGCAATTCTTTGATGATGGTAAATTTGAATTAGCACCCATTTCCTATTTCTGGACAGCGCCACATGCCTTTCACAAGTGAGTCGCGAAAATATTCCTCTGTTCCTCCAAAACTGAATTATTTTCTTGCTTGCAGCATGCGGAACCTTGAACCGGAGTTATATCAAAGCCTTCAGCAATCAAAGCTCATAATATTTAAAGGGGACCTCAACCATCGAAAACTCTTGAGCGATGTCTGTTGGGAGTCCACACAGGATATAAAAGTATGCCTTGGTGGATTTCTGCCCAGCAATTTCTGCACAGTGCGCACAATCAAGTCCGAGGTAATTTCTGGTCTTGCACAGGGTGTCAGTGAGGATCTGACGAGAAAAGATCCCAACTGGATGGTCACTGGCAACTATGGCATAATTCAATTTGTTGATGGCTCACGTGAATTTGGCTATTAAAAGCATGAAAATCTGTACCAAATATGCTTCAAAGCAAAAGTTAATCCAAATATAAACACTTTAAATGTTAAATAATTTTTTGATTATAGTTTTTCAATTCTTTAAAGTTGTCTTTAAATATTTTTTGTTTTAGCTGGAAGATTATCTTTCAATTCAAATAATGTTTACAATTGGACAAAAAATGTAAACAATCCAGTTTATGGTCAGCTGTGCATCAGCTGATTGCTCCAATAGAGCTGTGATAGTTTCGATAATTTGCATAAACGATAGATAAATTATGCATATATTGCATGTTTGGCAATTTATATCGATAACGACAATCGATATTATCGATGTACCACATCTAGCGTGCCACTTTCATGGTAACTTACATTTCTACTGTTCGCGCCAACACTAAGAGGTAAATTGCATACCGTGGCAGTCACTTTGCAACAACAAACGGTGCAATAAGTAAATCACAGCTGATAAGGTTGAAGCACGCAGAACGAAGTAAAGTGCAAAAATGACCTTGACACAAGACGACTCTAATTTTGATGTAGAAAATGGAATTATTGACGGTGAGGCTCCTCCACACACGCAGCTAGCAGCTAAATACAAGCAGTAAGTCTATATCGCTATATATAGCAATATGAATATGATACGTATGCATATAGATATATATATGCACTCATATGTAGCACTGATGTAATTTTGATTGGCTGACCTCTAAACACGATCCGATTTGCATATTGTAGGAGTTTTGCATATTACACGTTTCGTGTGCGGCTCCCTTCAACGCTACAAACAATTGCCGACTCCCTGGCCAAGGATAAGGATGAATTACTGGCAACGTATGGAGCGGTGAGTATAGTTTACATATTGCATAATTGAGACAATGTGCTCAATCCATCAATAATCAATATTTGTGTATAGGATGCAGATATCGATCAAACAGCTGCTGCAGTTTTGGAACTGCGCTCAAATATTCTAAAGAACGGACCGTTACTGCCCTTCAATGATAAAGGTAGGCCAAAAAGAAATTTGAAATGTTGTGTAAAAATTGAGTTTGTAAATTTAAATGCACTTGTAATCTAGAGTGCAAAACATAATCGAAAATGTATAGCATTTGAAAATCGGTTCACTTTTGAACACGTTATTTCGATAGGAAAGTTTTCAGTCATCCCCCACAAAAAGCACATGTTTTTATTTTTTAAATTAAGACTTATATCTACTTGATTGTTCTTCAAACTTTTAGATAGCGACGCTGACGAATGGAATTTATTTCTGGAGAAACTGCCGAAAGAGAATAGAACGTATTTCGCTGCCTGTTGGCTTTACGCCGAGTGCTATATGTATCGGAAATTATGGGCCATATTTATAGCATCGCGACTCGCTGGCCACGACTATTTCCGAAAGCAGAAACAAACGGCGGCGCAGCTCAGTTTTGATGCCATGCTGGCCGTTGCGAAAGGCACCCGAAATAACGAACGCATTGCGAGCACGTTCCAGAAGCTGATGAAACTGAATTTGTGGGGCAATCGTTGTGATCTGTCGATTACGTCCGGCAAACAGGTGAAGCCAACGGGCGACGCTTTCCATCAGGTAGACGAACTGAATCCCAATTTGCTTGTGGATGCAACTGGCACCATTTGGGAATTATTGGATAAATCAGATGGCAATGGCATTGTGGAATTTGTATTCGATAATGCCGGTTATGAGTTGTACACAGATCTGATCCTAGCCGAGTATATAATCGATAAGGGGCTGGCGCGAAAGGTACGCTTCAATGCGAAAGCAATTCCCTGGTTTATATCCGATGTGAGGGCCGAGGACTATCACTGGACAATCCAGTTTTTGATTGGACAATCTGATCCGATGCTCAGTGAGCTGGGCAAGAAATTTAAACGTTTGACGGATGAGGGCAAATTCGAATTGGCTCCCCTCGAGCACTTTTGGTCAGGTCCCTACGAGTTTTATCGCATGGCTGAAGTGCAGCCGGAACTTTATAAGCGCCTCTCGCAGGCACAGTTGGTTATACTCAAAGGAGATCTAAACTATCGCAAACTACTCGGAGATTACAGTTGGCATAGCACCGAATCATTGGAAATCTGTCTGCGTGGTAAATTTTAAAATCTAGCTAAACCAAAAATAGAACTTTCATATTTATATTATATTCTCTCACAGGCTTTAGACCCACAAATCTTTGCACGCTGCGCACCATCAAAGCGGACCTGGTTTGTGGTTTGCCGCAGGGTAAATCGGAGGAACTCTTTGCGAAGGACAAGGAATGGATGCTCACTGGCGAATATGGCACTATTGAGTTTGCCCCCAAGTGAATACAATTGAGACAACCAATATCTGGACCCTTGGAGATACTAGATTAATTGTTGCGATTTTAAGCTTAGCTAAATTGTTTAACTAGTTTTTCACTGTTAAAATAAAAGCACATGCCGTATAAATATTGTACAGCATCGATTTCTGTACAAACCAGATGAGTCTTATTTTTCAATGGGGTTTTCTCAATATCAAGGGGATTTTCTAGATCAAAAACTTTGCTTTTATTCAAAGTTTATTTTTTGATAAAAATCAAAGCATTAAAAATGTATTTAAAGGCATTTATGCGTTGGAAAAAAATGATAGTCTGATAATGTGTTGCTAGCTTTATTTTAAATAAATACTTTAAATTGAATATTATTTTCGCAGTCTTCGAAAGTTCATTTTATCATTTCTAGATAATATTTATTTCTGGATTTTTTTAAATATATTTTGAAGTTTATATTTTGTTTTATATTTATCAAAATTCTAGTTTTGGAGAAAAATTTCAAAATTGTAGATTAAGTAAATAGAAAGGCCAAACTAATAATGACAGAACTGAGTATTTCCACCATTCATGGCAGCCAATCTGACATGGAATCCGATTTTTCATCTGTGCACGCCGAGGAAGTGGATGTCAATTTTCCAACGGATTTCGATAAGAAGCACAACATAATCATCAACACGACCCCGCAGCTTGAAGCGCTCTCGGCCCGTTACAAATATAGCTTTGCCTACAAGACATTTAGGGAACGTGTGCCCCGAATGCTCAACGAGCTGATGAGCTGCATGAAGGAGAAAGAGGATAGGATTATGGAGCAGTGTGGTGATTATGCGCGCTTCGCTCTTAGCCGGGTTCTATGGAGCCTGGACATCTTACGGAATGAGGTCTTGGCTAATGAAATGTTCAAGCATTTCCATGACAAAGATTCGGATGCAAATGATTGGAATGGATTCATCGAGAAACTGGAGAGGCGAGAGAAAAATCAATGGTTTTCCGCCAATTGGTTGCATGCCGAATGCTATTTATATCGACGCATTTCGGCCGCATTCCGGCGGGAAGAGACTCTCCGCGATTATGACTACTTTAGTTCGCAAAAGATGTGCGCCGCGCGGAATATAGTTTATCTGATGCACACAGTCTTGAAGGAGTTATCTCAATTGTCGCGTAGTCGAGACAGTTTCCAACTGATGCTGAAGGTATCGCTGTGGGGTAATAGATATGATCTCTCCCTCTTCAAAGCGCTCACTGATAAGCCGATTGGCGAGTACGATAAGCATTTAATAGAGGATCAATCGGCGGATGTGTGGCGACTGCTTACAGAGGGCATACACTCCTCCGTCTCACCTGTCACAGTTGACATTGTCTTGGATAATGCGGGCTTCGAGCTATTCACGGATCTCCTCCTGGGTGAGTATCTGGTCCGCACTGGACTCGTAAAAAAGGTTTGCTATCATGTCAAGGCCATACCTTGGTTCGTCTCGGATGTCACCGCCAATGACTTTCACTGGATGCTTCGATTCCTTCGCGACCATCATATAACTGAAATGTCCGCCTTTGGGCGCCGACTGCTACGTCTTTTCCGAAATCGATCTATGACACTGTGTGACAATAGTTCCTTCTGGACCCGCCCTCAGGGATGCCGATTCATGCGTGAATTGTCGCCTTGTTTGTATGTTCATTTGAGTTTCGGCGCTTTGGCCATTTTCAAGGGAGATCTCAACTATCGTAAGCTGCTCGATGACATCAATTTGAATCCAACGACTCCATTTAGCGAGGGATTAGGTGACTTTTTGCCCACTAGCATTTGTGCGCTGCGTGTCATCAAATCTGATCTGTATTGTGGCATGCCCCATTGTGCGGTCGAGTGGCTAACCGAGAGTGATCCCAACTGGATGTTGTCTGGCGAGAAGGCCGTTATTCAACTGGCCATCAAGCCCAGGCCATGAATAATTGAAAATATATATAAAAGCTTAAATATTTGTCTACATACAACATTTTCTACTGGTTATAGAAATGAATATTTTAATCATTTTTGTAGAAAACTTTTTATATCGATTATAAAAATTACAATTCTTAACTAAAACTTATTGAAGATGTCTTCTTCTTTGCAAAGCTTTACATATTCTATGATAATTTGTTAAATATACTTTACTTACACTTCAATTTAGTAAAGATTCCAGCCAAAGCTGCAGTTGACAATGATTAAGTAGTACAAAAGTTGTTTGATTTGAATGATGTTTTGAGTATATATATATATATATTTATATATATCTATTGTCGTTTTATTAATTAGATGCGCTTAAAGGCTAAAATGGTAGGCCGTGTAAGTCGTAAACATAAGTATGACATTTCCATATACGCAGTATAGACTATAAACTATGCATTTATTAAATATGAATAGTATAAAAATATGCTCTAAGGCCATATCTTATATATATTGTTTGTTGTATGTAGTTTGTAGTATGTAGTATGGATTTATGTGTGTGTATTGTGTATATTCATGCTGTTGATATATATCTGCATTATTTTGAAACAATTCGTCAAATTTTCAAGTCTTATCAATTTCCGTTACAGAAAAAAAAAAAATAGAACAAACAAAAAATCAATGAAGAACTCATCTACATTTTGCTCCACACATCCAAGCGAGAGACTTCTCAGTAATTGGGTGCTTTCTTTTCTGTTTGTAGTTACGATATATTGTTTTTTTTTTCTTGTTGTTTTTGTTTTTTTGGAGGGAGTTCTTCTTATGCGGCTGCTGGGGCTCACAACACACAATTGGGATTCAGTTGCTGATATGGCGTCAGATCCTTTGTGATGGAGAAGAGTGCACCATCTCGCACCATTTTGCACATTAGTGCGCCCAGATTCTTGGCATCATCGATGCCCGAATGCGCGCGTCCCTCAAATGCCAGACCCACATGGGAGAGAGCATCCGTAAAGTTGCAGGGACGATATTTATACCACTCACGGTAAATGGCACGCACATCGATCCACTGATTGAAATATGGCGCTTTGCGCATACGTTTCCTTGAGCACTCCTTGTGCAAACAGATGCCAAAGTCCCAGTCTGTCCAGGTGACAAACGCACAATTGCCCAATATATTCGATTTGGCCATTTTGGGTAGCAGCAAATTCCGTGCACGCAACTCCTTGCGCAACCACTCGTGGAACATCATTAGTGCTGTCTGTAATGGCACTCCCGAGTCCACAGTCTTCTGATCTATGCCAGTCAGCTCGGTGCAATAGGTGCTCAAGCGTGGTGACTCAAATGGCATTATGTATTTGTGAAACTCGGCTTCGATTTTGCCCGTTTTCAGATTAACAAGCACAGCTGGGAATTCTGCAAAGATTCGATTTTAGTATTGCGGAAGAATATCTAAAATATATTTTACAGCATTTCTCACCAATAATCTCTGCTTCTCGCCATTGTGGCGGCGCCTGTTTCTCCCAGCATGTGGCCTCGAAATCAACAGCGATCACATAGCTAAATGGCTGCATAGCCAATTGTTTGGATTTGCGCGATTTCTTTGTCTTCAGCGGTGGTTGTCCAGTGGCTGTGGCTTCGTTGGCACCGCTGATGCTAATCTCTACTTCATCCAAATCGTTGGCCGCGTCTGCGGGTCGAGCGCCTTCCACATAAAGCGTATCAATCAGGCCCAATTGTCTGCCAAGATGATAGATGCAAAAATCCATAAAAGAAAAGTTGTATAAATAAATACGTTGAGAAAATATCGACTTGGCTTTTTTTTTTTAGAAAAATATAAAATATATTAGTGACATATCGGGGCAGACTCTGGCAATATACAAACAACTAAAACTATCTAAAATGCCAATTTGACTCGACTGTTTGACTGTTGACAGCTACTGCGATCGAAATCTACAACTATATATATATATATATATTTATTTGGCAAATATGATTCGAATTTACTGTTGTCAAATAAAGTATGTTAAATAAATTGTTGTTAGTAATATGAAGCAGTATATAATTGAATGATAATTTATAAGTTTGCTTTGCATTTGTAAATAATACTTATAAGTACCATAGTTGAAGATTATTTTGCTCTAGCGTCTATTGAGTATCCCATCGGAACCGATTTAAAGCTAATGACCCCCTGGATGAATTTCATGTTTGTTCTTGTTGCTGTTTGCCATAGCACACAATCATGGGTTTCTGGTGCCAGAGCAAACCATTTGTTGCCATCAATGCTTGGGCAACCACCACCGCCGCCGCATCCGCATCTGCAATCGTATCCGTATTGCTGAGCTTTTGGAATGTGATAAATGCCTGTCCTTTCATGCGTCCCTGCTGCATGACTTTAATGTCCAGGCTGTCAGCAGGCGCATAGCGTGCATAGAGCAATCTCAGCTGTGATTCCATAACACTCTTATCCAGATTCTTAATGTAGAGTTTATTGCTGGGTTCGCCTCTTTTGTAATTCTTGTAGATGGGCAGAGCTTGTAGCTGCTCGAGCGTCAGACGCTCCTCCGGCAGCTGTTCATCTGTTGAGGCAGCAGGCAAGGATGTGGGCAGCTTTAGTTCAATTTTAGGTGCATCAAATGTGGGCACATCGATGGACACTTTCACGATTGGAGCTTTTACGGCGCTCTGGAGCATTTGGCGGGCACGTTTGCGATATTGTTCGGGAATAGAAGTAGCTAACGCAGCTGGCTTTCGCTTCAGCTGCTGCTGCTTGAGTTTGGCCTCCTCATCACTCTCCAGCTCGCTTTCCGTTTCACTCTCCAGAACTTTTTCGGTTTGTGTCGCAATGCTTTGCGACTGCTCTGGCAGTAGATGCAAACCTGAAGGTCTCTTACCAAATGGAGGTCTCAAATTCATGCGATTCATTAGGTGCAGCACCTGCGTATAGAAGCGTTTATCACTCCTCAGGGCATCTCCAATGGCTGCCAATATATTGTCATTGATGGGCGGATATGCATATTGAAGATATGGCGGTGGTGGTTGCATTAAATCAAACTGCTGCTTATTGCCGGCATACAACTTTTGCACATACTTTTTGTTGTTGTTCTCGGAATCCGGCGCCGACGCTTGCGTTGACTTGTGGGCAATCTTGGGTTTATTGCTGCCATCGCTGTCATCACGTGGTCCAAAGTTGCTGATGCGCAACGGTTTATCCAGTTTATCGCTGAGGCCAATCAGCTGTTCGAGTGCCTCTTGAGCCTCGGAGGGGTCCGCATATTCAAGGAGCGCCCGTCGGCGTCCAAAGGAATTTAATGAACGTGGTATTATCAATTTAACCTCTTGGATTAACTGCGCAAGTTCCTCGATGCTGCAAGGCATGCTTTTCAGCAGCAATTTACTGGTGGGCGCACACATATTCACCAAGTTTTAATTACAACTAAAAATGTGCTGCAGCAGCTGACATCGATGTGGGTTATCGATTGTTCAACACCGATAAATACAAATTCTCAAGTATGACCAGTTCTCGTTTCTGCTAACTTGTGGAGCAGCTCTGTTAAGTGTGCCCATATATACAGCTTACCGCGCCTTATTCAAACTCAAATTTTAGCCCGAATGCATTTATGTTTGGTTGATAAAATCAAACGAGTTTTAATTTTTGCAGAGCAATTACTGCACTTTCACTAATTGCAGCCACTATCTGCTCATTTGTAAGCATGAGCATTGCTGTTCAGTGTTGCAGCAGAACCGGTTTTGCAACAAAATAAATAAATACGAAACTAACAAATCATATCAATTGCTTACGTGTTTTCAAAAATGTAAATATAGTGTGCTATCAGCGATTATATTGTTTATTTGTAATTGTTATTTTTTCATGTAAGCAAGGCCAGCTGGCAAATAAATGTTGTTTAGATAGTTGAAGTGTATCGGGTAAATAGCACGATTGTTTTGTTTCGTCGCTACAGATACATATGGGCATACATGCAGAGCAGAGTCAATGCACTTTCATTAAGTGAAAATCTGATTTGTTTGTTTCTTTTTGATATATGGCACACACAAACGCGCATAAGTCGCACACAATGGTGTTTATAAAAAGATCAACAGACACAGACACACATAACGTGCGACAACAACAACAACAAGAGCAACACTCAAAACTCAGATTGCATAAAATTTGCAATGATTAAATGGACAACAACAACAACAAGAACAACGACGACGACACACTCTCACTTTCGTTCGCTAACGATGTCCACTGCAAAATGCGGAAGCACAACAAAAACATGCAAAAATTGGATGAATGAACTCGTTTGCTATCTCTCTCTTTTACTCACTGTTCCCCCTCTCTCACTCTATCTCACTCCCGCTCTCGTATAAAAGAAAATACAATTTGTAGGCTGTGCGCGAACGGATGATGATTTTTTGAACTTTTTACATTGCTAAGTGACACTAATGGGTTAATGCAACTAGTACTATATTTAGAAGAAAGGAAAAAAATTTCCTATATCAATTAGCACTACGAAAAGTGGAAGGGCTAGGTGTTAATTGAAATTTACATATTTGCTAAAGCACCGATTTAGATTAATGATTGAATTTATATTTATTTTTGCACACATAAAATAATCCGTAATATGCCTGAGAGTCTTTTGGCGAATATTTATGGCATTTTACTATTTTACTATTTCCACTGTGGCCATTTTTAAAGCCATTTACGAATGTGTTTATTAATATGTTTGCACATCTTATTTTTATTTATCTTATACACTTAACATTCTTATGGTAGACGAAAAATTACATTTCAATCTTGTACTCTGTAGCTCTTAGAGTCTCTGAGATGAACGGGTTTATACAGGCAGATAGATGGACGGGCGAGATTGATTTACGATGCTAATCAAGAATATATATACTTTATGGGGAGATGACCCTAAAAAAAACGAGTATTTTTATTATTATATTTACTGTCTGATTTGTTAGATCAATTGCGACCCCTTCTGAGGCATATAGATCTCTTACCAGTCCTAATTCCGCTCCTTTCCTAACCTTTGTCTGCTTGCTGATTTCTTTTGTCACTTCTCTACACTTTAGTCGCGTGTTAAATACGGAAAATTATATTTAAGCCTTTATCATATTTGTCAACCGCAAGGCCATAATATACTTGACGACACTAAATAACACACATTACAATGACAAATGCAACAGGTTCGGTTCTGTTTTAGTCTCTTTTTATTTCTGTTCTGTTATTACGTGCCACAGACAAGCCCACCAAAATATGACATTAACCACTTATCAATCAAATGGGCGGCTCGTGCTGTTTTGAGTGCGTGTGTCTTGCGTACCATTTCATAATACACGGTGCATACATGACTATATATATATATCTATATATATATGTGTTGAGTATACCGTAATTATAGGGAGAAACAATGTCAATTAGCCACAATTGGCGCGGCATGCACAGTAGCTGACAGTTTTATGACAGGGAACCCACCGACCCTGTGAGTTCAATAAGCTTGAAGCGTGTCTATTCATAAAAAAAAATGCAATAATTAGATAAATGAGTTGTGTTCATCCAAAACCACTTTAATTTTACATTTTCATATGATAAACTTGTTATGGTTCTAATATAAATGTGCCATTCAATGTAATTTTTTAAAGCTTTTATAGTTCTTATCCGTTTTAAATGGTTGCAAAGGGCTAAAAGTTTGAGTAATTCATATTGCAAGGATGAATCTAATTATGTAAAAGTTGTTCTTATAGTGCAACGATAGATCATATAGAAATAATAATAAAATCATAAATCATATAGAAATTATGGTAAAAGTTTGTCAAATTAAAACAAAAAGAAACAAAATAATTGTATATACATGGGTAGTTAACCCTTTGTAAATAAGTTATAGGGCACAATAATTTGATAAAGCAAGTGTTATTAAAATCATTTCACTTCTGAACACATTCAAGGCCAAAGTTAATTAGTAGAAACACTAAAAAAGCACGTTGTATACAAAAATGTACAAAGAGCAAAAATAAATATTGTTACAAGTGTATGTCGTGAGTATAATTGTATTATTTTATGTATTCAGCAACAAAAATATTGTTATAACTGTATACATGTGTATAAATAAATGTATTTCTGTATGTACATATGTGGGCAGAAAACAATTGCAAAGCAATCGTGTCAGAGTTGCCAAAAATAGCGCAATTGCCTGAATCAATCAATGAACTCCCCAGTTGCAAAGCCATTCAAGTAGATTTGTATTTATATAGAATGTGTATTCATTAGAAATATCCGTATATATTTACACCGTATGTCCGTATTATGATATATTATGGCAATTGATATCAGTCATAGCCACGTGTTCCATTCTGAGAATGGACCCCGTTTGGCTTTGCGACCTAATTGAAAAATATGTTGATTATAGCTATGCGAATGTCCTTGGGCTACACCTACACTTGCCGGTCAATTGATATTGCAATTAGCAATTTGGAAGCTAAGATAATTATGTATTTAGTATAATAATAATACCATTAAATAAGTGCACTCAAAACAACAAATAGATGGGTTACATTTTGAAAATTTCATTACTTCTTTCATGAATGGTACAAATCGTAAAAGAATTTGCTTGAAAGCAGCTTTGTAATTTTAGAAATTAATTTCGCAAGTTAAACTTATTTCTAGCATAAATATTTACTCAAATTAAGTATGAAACAGAGAATAAATATATATTTAAACTTAGTCTGAAGTTCTTAAATGAAGTATGAGGAAAGAAATAAAAAAGGAGAAATATCATAATAACACGTTGGCTTTCAAGTGATATCAAATCAAGCCCATTTATTTTGCACAAAGCAAATAAGAATATGTCAGCTTGTATGCATGTAATAATTTTCAGTGTACTGTGAATATGCACACATATTGCGCATACGCCACGTGCAACGACTGAATTGGAGGCGCGTGCATAAAATTTACCAGGCGAAATATTTGCATCTTCTTGCTCGCTCGCTCGCAGAGAAAGAGAGAGAGAGAGAAAGAGTGTGCCTCTCTTTCGCACTTTAATATAAATTCGATTGCAGCTGTATTTTCTTTTTTTTTATTTTCCTATTTTCTTCATTCCGCAGTCATAATAAGCAGCATGCTTGTGTGTGTGTGTGTTTGTGTGCTCAACTTACTTGTATATGAATGTATTATTCTTATAGATATTTATTGCCTGACTTCTGGCTGTGTGTGTGTGTGTGTGGGTATTTGTGCTGTATGTGTGTGTGTGTGCTCTTGACTTTGGATAAGTTTGGTGAAAACTGCTTTCAGCCGGATTTTCCCCAGTCCAACGACAACGTCGATGAAATGACGTCCGACTCAAGCGCAACAATCGATTTAAACGATTTCATGTCTCCTTTCCAACAGACATTAATTTTTTCTGACTACCCCTGCTAAATTTTAACCCGACTACTTGGTAATAAAAATAATGTTTTAGCTCCAAAGTACTATTTATATACCATAGACATACGTTATTCTCGTCCCTCGCCACTCTCATGATAAAGATAAGCTTTTCATGCTTAGCGTTAGTTAATTTTAGACTTATTTATTTGTTTTGTGCTTGTTTTTAGTGATTACTTATGCTATAAATTTGATTTTAATGCTTCTAATAAATGCATACTTCTATAGATAATACGCAGGTACAAATCGTACTTAAAGTTTTGGGAATCACTCCGTCGAATGTTGGCTACAAGAAAGCTCAGTTTATTCTAGCCACTTTTGTCAATTCTCCAATTTTGATTTCGATAAATCTTTATTGCAAATTGAATTGAATTTAACATTTTTCTGATTATTTAGTATAGAAAAATAATTGTTAATTAAGTGTTTACTGTAAACACTTTTACATAAACAAAACTACTTTATGTGTGTAGTAAATGGTCTATTGTAAATCTCATTTATTGGTAACAATTTAGTCATTCAATTTGCATTTTGAAAGCATTCCAAATGATGCTATAAATACGCTTTAAATTAAACTTGATTTTGTTTGTTGCACAGTTTTGCAAAATATTTTTGAAAATTCTTTTGTATTGCTTGTGTTTCATTTCGTTTCCTCTATCGATTATAAATAGCTGGCAAAGCCAATAGTCGAATGATAATGAAGAAGATTATAATGATGTAGATGACGTGTGCCTCATCAGGAGGGGTATTAAACCTGTCGTCATCGGTGTAGTTGCCATAAAGTCTCCACTTTTAGAACTCATCCAATTTACATAGTATGCGAGAAGCTATCCAAACCAGAAACGAGTTGCTTTTGATTGACTGTGATTGCTGTGCATAATTTGGATATTAATTGAACACAATCTGTCAGTAGGCTAAAAACAATCTGAGGTGAGCTGAGGGGGTTTTTGCCAAACTAGTTATTATTTTTAGATAAAATGCCTCTTGATCTTCAAAATTATACACATTTTAATTAATTCGAAATTAAATTGAAAGTTTAATATATCTACAAACTTACATATGGATGGCTAAGGTTTCCCATTGATCAATTAAGTGCAGCATTTTTCAAGTGCTTTCAAATCAGTTGTCGATTGTTATGTGAAGTGTGTCTTCTGTTCAATCAATGATTAAATGCAATGCGTATTTTTTTTATATACAGTAAAAAATGCGACTTATCGCGACACGGTGACAAATCTCGACTGAATTATGACAATGGCTATCAAAAGCTTTGTTTGGAACAACTAGAAATCAACAACAACAAATACAGTAGCAATGAGAATATATAGAATACTACGCACTTCAATTAATAAACTGGTCATAATTAAATTAAAAGTCAGCAAAACATTTTTCCCATTTACGCGTGTCTATATAATATGGTAAATGTATTGTATTAATAAAAGTGTTCATATAGATTACAAAAAATCTATTATCAGCATCCAGCTTTGCCATTTTTCCAAGAATTCCAGTAATTCCAAAGCAGCAGCAACAGCAACAGCAGCAACAACAACAACAACAACGATGTATTGGGGCCAAACAAACAAAACAAGAGCTCTTAGTGCCTCAACTGTTCATCTATAGATTATTCAGATTCAGATGCAGTTACAGATACAGTTGCAGTTGCACTAACAGACACAGACAGAGACAGAGATACAGATACAAATACAGATACATTTAGATTGCACTTTTACAGCTTCGCTTCAATTGGGCTGAAAGCTGTCAGTGGCCGCTTTAGCTATGGCGAATGCACTTGAGAGTTGAGTTGGGCCGAGAGCATAGCAGAGTCTCTGTCTCTGTCTCTGCCTCTGTCCCTGTGTTTGCTTTCAATTACATTCAATTACAATTACATTGACAATTCCAATTACAAACAGGAGCAGTCGTCGTATTGGCAATGGGCAACGTCAACTTATTTTTAGATGAACAAACTCCAAAGTGAACTCAATTGAAGTGTCGCTATTCATTTATGTGATTGTACACATATTGAGCAATCCTAAAATGGGTATATCTGACAAATTGGAAAGGGGGGCAACTCTAAAACATGTATGAACCGAAGTTCGTTTGCTCTTTCAGACTAAGGTCAACAGTTCACATCGAAGTTTACTTTTATAATCGAACCGATTGTTTCTTATTTTTCCATTCAATTTATTTTATTTTATATATGTTTTAGTTTAATTTATTAATTTTTAATTAATAATTAAAGTATGTTATTTTTTAAATATAAATATATTTTTCTTAGTTGTGAACTGTTTTTGAGTCACTTCAAGTAACTAAATATAATGTGAAAATGTTGTTAGGCAATACACTAACCAGTTATGCTGAGATTTTACATTTTAAAAAAATTGTAAGCCCTATTTTTAATTCATATTAAATAAATAAATAGCTTTGCACAAGAAATCAACTTTTGACAGCTACTGAAGAGATTTATCTTAATTGCTTAGATTCCAGCGAGATATCTGCTTAAGCAAATAAGTTTTGTTTTTGTTTCCATAATATTTCCGTACATAGATAAAAATAGACTCGTCACTGCTCTGTCAACAATGATGGTAAGAGAGAAATTGACGTAATATTATGAAGTCTCATATACCCCACACACATTCCGGTAATCACAATAAAGTTCTTGCAATTAAATAGTATATGTTTGTTTGTTTGTGTGTCTGTGTGCACAGGGGAGATAGGGACTATTGCTCAGGGCCAGTCCAGATAAAGTGCAATGACCACCAACGAACAGATCAGAATGGAGGCAAACAGAAACCACAAAATAAACCCTCAAAGGGAATATTGGCATAAACGTTATTAATTGTTAAAGTGGGCAGAGCAAAGAGGTTCTCATTTCAGTTCAGTTGAGTTCAGCTCAGCTCAGAGCAATTGTTGTAGTTTAATCCTCAATTGCGTCGTAAAAGAAACAACAACAAGAACAATAAAGAGAACCGCTTATAACTCTTATAACTGCAATCTGCCCGCTAAGTGTTAAGGTAAACAACAACAGAGCAGAATGGATAAAGAGGGGGCAAGTGGCGGCGGAAATGACGTGAACACGTTAAGCTTTTTACACTGCTTTAGCAATCCAAAAAAAAAAATCACGCTCGGTTTACGTTTAGTTTGCCGCATTTTAAACGACAAACAATAACAGGTAAACAATTTTAAAAGTATGAATGTAAAATAATAAACTGCGAATGTGATTAATAATTCGTATTTATAATTTTCTCATACATATATCTATTTATAGTGATCAATTCAATGCTAATTATCTTCACCACCAGTCGTAATTATAGTTCACGAATAATTAATTAATTAATTTTAATGCGCTTGTTTTCTACAAAAATCTTGATGATTTTTTTAAGTAGCTTGGGTTTTTAAATTTAATGACTTTGCAAATAATGTTCTCAGAACAAAAGGCAAATAATGTTATTATGTTGTTTACTGTGATAATTCAAATTCATTATATAGCAAAATATATTTAAGTTAGGTTCGAAAATAAGTAAAGGGTATCTCCTAGCTGTCAATAATTGTATGTTTTTCTGCAATACAATTTGCAATTTCGTATAAAAAAAAATCTGTTATACAAATATATATGTATATATAAATATCTATATAAAATTCAATATACAGTTAGGATCAGATTCCGTTATTCACTTACCTTGCCAGTCTTATCAAGGCCATTGTGCTGTAATTTTTGGTCTGGTTTTTCTGCTACAAAACAGTTGCGAGAGTTGAGTTGTAAAAATTTTCAACTTGGTATGTGAAGAAAAATTCGATTTGTTATTTTGGCAGTGCGAATAACGGCATTGGGCTTAGTAGCAAGGAAGCGACGAAGGTGGACCGGCAAAATTTCTTTTGTTGTCTGCGCTGCAGCAGACCCACACACACACACGCGGCGGACACTGCAAAAACTCAATGCACAACACACATACAGTCTCACGTGCAGGCGGCGCACGACCGGCACGAAGTATGTAGGAGAATAAATATCGAAAACCAACAACAAGAACAATTGCGCGCGCGCACACACATAAACACAACAGAGCAACACACACACACACAGAAAGACAGACGCACACAAGAACTTTGGTCGATTTTCAAGCGTGCAGTTTTAACGAAGATCTGAGTCTGCCGCCCGGCACAAATGGATAAAAACAAACCTGCGACAACGACAGCGACGACGGCGACAGCGGCCGCGGCAGAAGCATATGACCACAAGCGGCCAGTGTGACCATTTACAATTGAAATCAAAATACGTAAAAGATATCAGTAGATGTATTTATTTGAATGCAATGTAACGTATTTGTCCTTGTTTCTTTTCAATGTGCACTTTAAATGTAGTGACGAAATAATTATTATAAATGTATATAAATTTGACATTAGTTATTCGTTTACATTTTAGTATTTTTTTGTCTATGTTAACTTGGCAGCACTGGCAACAAGTTAACCGCTGCTCTGTTGTCATTTGAAATACAATTCAAAATTAGTCACTTGAGCGAGATTATTTACTCAATTTATATAAAAACAAGCTTTTTTTATACTTAACCATATTTATTGAGCTCCCAAAAATGTGGGAGCAGCTGAATAAATATCGCAATCATTTTCTGCAACACGAAATTAAAGATGTTCTAACACCGAGTTCCATAAATTCGTTACAAAATAAGGGTAAGAAAAAATGAAGATATATTAATAAGTTTATTGTTTATCATTTTGTTACATAGAATGGCAATCATTTATGGAGAAACGCAACAGGTGCAAGAGCTTCCCGCAACACTGCACCAAAAGTTCCACTTACTTTGAGGATCGAGCTCAATTGGCCTACGGCTGGTTTGCCCTGCCCAAGCTGATGAGGGAAATGGATAGCGATGATAATTTGACACACTGGCGAGCCATTTACTCGCTCTCCGAGTTTCTGCTTAATCCACTTAATGCTCAACGTGCTATTTTAGAGATGGAAATAGTTAGAAAGTGAGTGTGCTCAAATATTGGATATTGTGACTTAAAATAACTTTAATGCTTGTTTTGTGTACAGGTTAAAGAATGCTTTTATGCGATTGTGCCTCAAATTTCATAAAGAGGAACATGAGGAAATGAAGATATATCTAAAGATTTTTAGTAAGTAAGACCAATTCTTAATTAAAAAGGAATTGCTTTTGAGGATCAGTATGTTTTTGACTAAGCTATGAGCTACATTTCATAGTCAACAAAGCATAATTTTCGATACTCTCCCTCTCTGTTTATCTCTCTCTTTCTCTCTATCTGCCTTCCTCTCTATCTCCTTACCACCACTTGACAGACATTATTTCTCGCAATTTAAATGGTGCTGAACAAATCGCCAATCGCAAATGTTTAATGATTGAGTTCTATAAGATTGCTGGGAGCAAGGAATCCGAAAAGCAAGATCTCGCTGCGGAGATACTACGCAATTTAACAGGCCAACCAAAGGGTGAGGGAAGGAATCAACTAAAATAATACGCTCATTATTTACTTATATTCGAAATAACTTTAGTGCTTGGCATTGTTATCAAAGATGAGGAAAACCTTGGCTATATAGCAAATATCTTTAAGCAAGATCCTTGTCGGCCGTATTATCCCGCAGATCTCTGGCATCATCTGTGCCACATGTTGGAGCTGGCGCCCCAGTTGGGCATCGATTTGGGTTTCTTTGAACTGCTGCATTCGCGAATTGAGAACAGATTGCCCCTGTTCTGGGAGATGAATAGCAAAGCATTTGCGTTGCTCCTGCGCTGCGAGGAGGGTCAGCGTCGCTTCGACAAGCTCGATGTGATCCAGCTCATCTACGAAGTGTTCGAGGAGGTTTACGTTGACAAGTCAAAGAAACTGCCCGGCCAGTTTGTGGAGAACTATGAGTATCTGATACTGATCCTGATGGATGGACTGCACAGCAAGCGTGCCCTTTGGCGCATACGAGAGTTCACCATGTTGACCTGTCATGTGGCGCGTCGCATGGCCAGCAAGCGAACCACGAATCCTCGAATCCAGCTCTACGGTCTGAAGACACTACGGAACATGGGCACGATGCCCTGTGTGCGGCGCTACATCATCGGCAATTGGCTGACGGAGATCTGTGAGATGAAGTGCCTCGATGCGGAGGCGGAGTGTGCCAGGGATGCACTGCTTGATTGGCTGCGTCGCGATATTGCCGACAGCAGCAGCTAAGCTCGATTTCGATTTGATGTAGATTCAAAAGATTTATGTTTTGGGATTGTAAAAGTTGTATAACGAATTAAAGTTTCTTCAAATTGTTTTGTGCGCGCATCTAATGACTTATTTATTTAAACATAAACTTTGTTTAAGTCTCAGATGTATTTACCCTGAACACATTTCAGATTTTTAAAAGCTCAAAATCTGACCTTGATTTTCAGTCTTTGAATACCATTTTTACATTCAATAAATTAACTTGGGAAGTGTTTTTTATTTACGATTGTGGCTGAAGGGCTGACAAATCAGAAGGGTCTTTTGCTGAGTAAGCTTTTCCAGGGTATCAGAGACTGGAGGGGACGAATTGCTTAGTGGGATACTGGATACTGTATTGGAAAATATGACTGGGGAACGGAGGATAAGTGGTTTGAATTCTCACAAGGAGAACACAAAGAACTTGTCGGCTTTTGGCTGGGTGCAAGTTATCTAGGTATTATAGGTTACGCCTATATATATTTATTATCTGTCTGGTTCAAATGCACGTTTATAATCGTTACTAAAAGCAAAAACATCGCCGCTTCTCCCCAGTAACTGCCCCTATTTTCAACCCCTATTTCAAAACCGGTTACCCGTTTCAGATTTCCCCTTGTGCTGTCCCAAAGCTTTCTCTCTCTCTTTCTCTTTCTCTTTGTACCAGCTGATTTTCCTTTACAGAATCATTCAAAGAAACTATTTGTTATAAGGACGCACATTTAAAACGTTAGCTATATTTATGTTTCACTCTAATCATAAAAAAATATTTTATTGACCAAGTTTTTGGTTCTTAAATTCAGAATTTCGCTCCTGCGCAAATATTTGTCGAGAAGTTGGCAAACACAAAATATAAAATTCAAAGTCAATAATAATATTCAAAATATTACAATTACTATAATTTATAGCTTGTTTATATAGACTACTACAATTCACTCAGAAGACCTTCAGAATCTTTAACTGTTGAAAAATAAGACATTCCACAAATTGTGCAAGAAAAAAAAGCAAAGAGAAACATCAAAGAACTTTTCCAATTTCCGTTTCTTACGCGGCAAGCTCCTTGTCGCCAATGGCATCAATAATGACCAGCTACATTACCAAGAGACATGACCCCCAACACAACAACAACAACAATAAAACTAACAACTACAACAACTACATGAGTAGTTGAGTGTATGACCGTAACCCGACCACAGTTTGTTGGTTTCTGCGGTTGCCATGCCTCTAAATTTTTTTTTTTTTCATCAGCATAGTTTTTTCCTAGTCTTGCTTTTCCATTTTATTTTTCTGTGGTGACAAACTTGGCAAAGAGCTGCAATTTTTAAATTTATTTGCCACAACCGAACAGAACCGTAAACATTTTGTGCTTAACCGAACCCAGAAAGCTAACCCAATTGTGCAAAGTTTTCGTAGCTCTCAACGATCCCAAGTCACAATTTTGATTAGAGTCGTCTACACAGATTCCTTGTTTTGCATTTTTTGCAAACTTTTTAATTACTACATCGCGTTCTTTGCACTCTGCTTTTTTCGATTTGTTTATCAAAATGCTGTATGCAAATTTTTCACGTTTTTAAATAAGATTCTCACTTTAAGTAAATTTCACAACTGAAGTTCTTAATTTCTTAATGCTTCTCGACAGCTCTAATAATTTTGAGTCAACGGTGCCAGAAATTGTTTACCAAGTTGCTTTTAACTAGCTAAATACAGCTTGAGCCAAGAATAAAATAAATTTATAACCAAAATGTTGTGTTTGCTTTGAAACTCAAGTTTGAAAGGGTTTAATGAATATCAAAATTGTGAAAATGCTCATTTTAAAGTTATTAATTGATGGAAACTTTGAATTATTATGTTATGTAAATTGAAATGCTTTTGATTATTAGTCATTTTATAGATTTTTATATATGTAAATATAACTGTGTATAACCATTTATTCTGTTTTCTGTTTTCTGTCATTTGTTGTAATTTTGTCCACTTAATGGACAAACATTTCTATGGTAATTTCCAGCTTATTACCTAATTGAATGGCCAGCATTTCAAGTTGATGGCGAGCAGTCCAGCTACAGGCTGGCTGCGAGTCAGTTGGAATTGAGTCCTTGCTCCTGGTACTATGGTATTTCTGCGCTCGTTTCGGATCAGTAATCGATATATAAGTTTCCATGCGCTGCTCCTGCTTCGATTCTATCTGGGGCAGTTTTACTATTTGGGTCTGCTGCGTCTGCGTTACGAGTGTGCTGGGAATGCGGTCCGTCTGACGGAGTACAGTGTGACCATATCGCGAATGGTTGCATTGCCCTTTGCATACTTTCTGAGCGATGCCCTGCTCAGTCCTTATGTGGCCATGCTGCATCTGCAACCCTTTCTCTTCGTCTGCTGTTTGCTGTGGCAACCGAGGCGGACTTACGAACGCAGAGTGCAATTAATCAATGGTTTCTTGCGCCTGGCACCGGCTTTGTATCGACGCAGTCGTCGAAGATTGAAGTTGTCGTGGTTTTTGGTGCTGCAGTTGCCCTTGAAGCTGCTCACATTTAAACTGTATTTGGACATCTTTGAGCTGTCGAAGACGATTATCGACAAGTTGGTGTTTCTAGTGATCTTTGTGGTGCCCATTTCATTGGCTGTTTGGTGCATGGATATCAGCGCCCATCTGTTCAACATTTGCCTCAGCCTGCTGCTCAAGTCCTTTGAGCAGCTGAACACGGAATTGGTCGAGCAGGTGGAGCGATTGCATTTGAAGCTCCTGCAGGCGGATTATCGAGCTGTGAGACGCTGTCAGCGTCGTCTGTGCTCCTTGCAGCGGCTGCATGTGGCATATGTAAGGATTACTCAGCAGATACTCGATTGTCTGGCTCCCCAATTATTGCTGATTGTGCTCTACAATATCACAATGATCTTTGCCCTATCCTATGCCCATTGGCAGCGACTTTTCGATATCCTGATATTGGCCAACGGATTGCGTCTGCTTTTCCAGTCACTGGATGCTCTAGTCATTGCCACAGGCTCGCCAAGGGACACCTCGTGGGCGCATGTGGCACGCCTCCTTCAGCTGAACGAAGTGCTGGCCATGCACGGCTGGCTGCATCGCCATTGCTGGACATCCCTACTCGATATGGACAGCTGCGAGCAGAGTGTGAGGCGTACGCTGCTTCAGCCCCGCCTTCAGGTTCTGGGACTCTTTACGCCCAATCGCCGTTTGTTCTTTCGCCTGCTATTCTGCTACTGCAGCTATCTGTATCTGCACTATATGTGCAACAAGCGACTCCCAGTCAAGGAGCGGGAGATATTCAACGTGATGCTTCTGTTTTCCAACAGGAGGAAAAGACTCCAACAGGCGCATAGTCAGAATGCCAGCTAGGAAGGGGCACTGGAGAAAACAAAAAAAATAATAATAAGTATTTATTTAATTTTATTAAAAATATAAAATATGTAAATCATGTATTTTCGTAATTTGTGTTTCATTTATATCAAACAACTTTAAATTTATTGTTGTTCACTTTTTATCATTTTATTTCACCAGCAGATTAAAACTACATTAAAAGTTGGAATCGCGATTGTGGCTCGAAATTCATGTTAAATTATTAATATTCTGCTGGTTGAAATGGCTCAAAATTACACAGTGCCATAATTTATTTAAAAAAATATACTATATTTAAAGTTGATAACGTGATTCAGGCTGAAAATTCGTGCTAGAAAAACGTAGCTAAATATCCATGTTCAATAAATCAAAGTTTGCTATTGTGATGGGTAACAAGTATCTGTCTTTTAATTACTTTTCCATTCTTGCATCCTTGCCGGTTTCCATCCTTAGCCAGGAAGTCAAGCTGGAACTGTTTTTGCTGTGAACTGGAGCATTTGTGATTTGACAACGTTTTGCACTTAATTGCTGAGTTGATGAAGTTTTTGCAATGAGCAGACCACAAGATATTAAATTTGTGAATTATTGCTTTGCTCTGCTGATGCAGCTCCTCAAAATAGAATTGCTGTTTATTAACAAAGATGGAAACCAATTCAGTTGAGCATCTTAATTGAAGTGGACTTTTGACAGAGAGACTAACAAAATACAAATGTAAATTAGCATTTAGCAAATAGCTGAAAAATTGCAAATAATCTTTGATTTTTACTTTGAAGAGAAACTTTTAAATATATAAATCAAGCTGGTGTGGATTTTTTCCAAGTGTATGAGCAGCTCATTTATCATGCACGTATTTATTGCACTCGAACGCCAACTCATATTTGTTAAGCGTATACGTACTGAAATTATTTGGCCAATTTTACACGCAACATACTGAATGTAAGGATATGAAAAGGGCAAACAACAACAACAACAACAACAAAAACAATAACAACAACAAAATGGGCAACTGGAGGACATCTCGGGGCGGGTAATTTTACATAATTTATGCATTCGCCTTTTGAGACATGCACAAAAATAACAAGCGCTGCGGGTGCGTAGTTGCTTTGGAGGATGGTTGATGGTGGTGGTGGGCTGGCAACTGTGTTGCCACTCGACGACTTGCCACTCGGCATCCCTTTTTGGCGTCCCTTCTCGGGCGCTGAACTGAAATATATGTAATTGCATGGCTGGCCGAGCACTTGAGGTGTCTAAAGTGTTGGCTCCCACTCTCCCTCTCTCTCTCTGGGTCTTCATTCCTGGTCCATGCTTCGCACACACATGGCCATCCTTCCGTTCTGGTTACGTTCCATCGCCCACCTCCAGTTGCCCCCCTTTGCTCCTTCCGTTGCACATAAATCATTTTTTAAACGTAACCCCAAGCCGAGTGCGTATGAGAAATACTTTCTGCTTAAAATTTTGCACCTTATTTGTGATAAGATTTATGGAATACTTGCTTAAGAGATTTGTGCACAGTTATTGTTCCTGTTGTTTGGGCTTTGATTAAATTCTCAAATGGTGAAACAGTTTGTTTATATATATATATATATATACATATATTTATACATTCATATTTATTTATATTGAGCTACTCTGATTGGCAATTTAAATTTATGTCCACTTTGTTTTTCATTTTGTTTTCTCAAACATTTTTAACAATACTTTTTATGTTGGCAAATTGTATTTTGCATTTTCTACATTTTCTCTGCAGTATTTTCTATCTATCTGCACACACATTGAAAATCAATTAATTTCATATTTTCATAAGCAAAAATGCACAATTGTATTTCTCTATTATTAAGCTTTTTGAACAGTTTTCAATTGCTTTAAACTTTGAGCTGAGAAATTATTTTTAGACTTGAACATCTTTAATTTAAGTACATTAAGTTTTCAGTTTTTGGATTTGAGTTTCGGTTAACGCTTTGTCGAGCATTGCGCCCACTTTTGGGACAACTCAAGTTCATTGTTGGCCTAATCTTATCGGTCATCTTTGATCTGAACACACGAAACAAAGCCAACAAAAGAGTGTGACAGCTAACGGCAAAAGTTTTAAAGATATTTTGCGGAGGAGGCTGTTACGCTTTGTTCTTTATTCTATTCCATCCACTTGTTGAAATTTACGGCCTGCTGATGTGCCTTCAACGAAAGCCAATGATTTGGCTACGGGCTACATGGCCATAATAAGTTATGCGCCCAGAATTAAGCCGCTGGCATAGCACAGTGAGATGGCGTCGGTGAGGAGAGAGGGAGACTTGGTGGCTTGGGGGAAGCAAGGCAGAGCACCGAGCCAGAGCCACAGCCAGAGCCAGAACCAGAGCCAGAACCAGAGCCGAAGCCAGAGCCAAGCAACTAAGCCAAGAGCAATGCTTTTATAAATCTCTTTAATTTATTAGATTTCATTAGACGTTTGGCGCCAACTCCTGCGAAGGGTAACGCAGCTACACTCAGCCAAAAATAATGTACACCAATTTAGAAAATCGTCAACCACATTTGTTGACTTTGAAGATGGGTTATTTTAAGTGGAGGTATTATAAGTTCATTGAAAGACTTTTGCTATTTTCTGCGTTTTAAATTATATATTTATGGAGCATTTGGATAGAATTTGAACACAACTGAAAGTCTTGACAACATTGAGATTAAATAGCTTAATTTTGCACCAATCTATCAGCTTATAATAAAGTATCTTACTTTCACTAATTTTCAATATTTTGTCAGTAATTGAAAATTCTTCGTAGATAACTGAAATGAATGCTCTTTCGGCCTGCTCAGCTCTGTCCTTTGCCATAGCAGTAGCAGGAGCTAAATCATGATCTCTGTGGTCTGAGCAATAGCACAAGGAACCCCAGAGCAGAGTGAGAGCATATAACCAGAATTGCACAGCTTGTACAGTTTGTGGTAATGCTATAGCAATCGCATATTTGCCTTGCTCTTTTGCACAGTTGAAGTAAATATATATAAAGGTACGCATTGAAGATCTTGAGAAGCTGACCAATATAAAATTATGTGCATATTTTTGGAGACGCTGACAAAAATAAAATTATGTGCATATTTTCAATATGTCAGATTTATTTTTGCAAGTGTAGCAGCGAGGCATTGGTCTGTGCGGTGCCCATTGTTACAACAACATGACAGGAGCAGCAACAGCAGCAGCAGCAGCAGTAGCAGCAGCAGCAGCAACAGCAGCAGCAGCAGCAATGGCAGCAGTAGTTGCCACAGCGGCAGCTGCAGAATTTTTATATTAACAAGCTGAAAACATGGCAGTGGAAGCTCGCCTCGCATAAAAAGTAATAATGTGGCTGTAAAATGACGGCCAAGGGGCAGGAAACAAATTCCGTTGCATACTTTGCAACTTCGCCAGCATAGCCACCCTCCCTCCCCACCCACTCCCTCTGGTTCACCTAGCATTGGTTGGTGTGGGTGGGTTGTCTTCTGTGTGTGTGTGTGTGTAATGTTATTGTTTTTAACGTCAAGTCAAATTAGGTTTACTTTTTCCATGTTTTTTCACGCTTGCCACAGCCTCGCTTTAAAATGAGCTTATTATTCAATAAAGTTGGTTTGAATTGAGGTCAATTAGTTGGGGTGCGTGAAGGTTGTCTGTCTGATGAAACAGCAACTTTTTAATATATTCATGTTCGATTTACAATTTGCAATTTAAAGTTTCGCAAACCAAAGTGCAACTATCGGCAATGCATCCAAATAGGTATGTGGACATGCCGAAATGGGAAGACACATCTCAAATAAACTCTGCCGATTGCTGAATAGTAAAAATGTTATGTACAACATTAATTTCCGATACTTAAAGGTATCAGCACAAATAGTTTTCTATATTATTTGTAAATTTCAAGTCTAATTAGCAAGATTTTAAATTTGGCAGATTGTTAATGAATTATGAATGGACAGCGACAACAATAGAAAATCAGAGTAATTTAATTTAATGCAACGAAATGCAATTCATTTATATTTTCAAATTTCCAACATATGCATGTAGATAAAGGATCACTCTAAATAAATTGTACACTCAGCGTTGCCCTAACGCACACACACACACACACACACACAGAACCACAAAGGCGGCGCCACACAAAAGGCAACAGCGATGTAATCAACAAAATTACACTAAAATACAAAAATAAATTTGACACGAATGCGACGACGACGACGACGACACTAAAGTGGGGACCCCCCCATAAATTGTATACATTTTTTCTTCCACTGTGTTCTCTCTGTCTCTTTCGCACACTCGCCTGCTCTGTATGCCTGTCTCTTTTCGTCGCAAGCAGCACGAGCGAAATCCAAAGTAAAATGGAACAACGCTCGCAGCGGAACAAAGTAAAGTTGGTTGCCAGGAGAACCTGCTCCTCTAGGTGTTGTTGTGCGTGTGTGTGTGTGTGTGTGTGTGTGTGTGTGTGTGGGAGGTTTTGTCATGTGCGACACTTTGTAACATATTTTTTGTCATTTGTTTGCAGTGGGTTTGCCTCTTTTTCGGCGTCACTCAACACAGACTCCTTCTCGTCCTTCCGCTCCAGCTGCTCGTCCTCGTTGCATGTCACTTTACACACGCAGCCTGTGTGTGTGTGTGGTTGTATGGGTGTGTGCCACAAAATGTTACATTGTTTTTAGCACGCAAGAGGCGACACCGTGACACTCACACCTACACACACACACAGAGGGACACACACATTCTTAAGAGCACCCACACACTCATGTGGTATCAATCAGTTGCGCAAAAAAAAAGTAAATGTATGGCAGAGTTGCCACCGCGTTGAACGAATGACTAACACGCTGGGCTGTTGCCGACTTTTTTGTTGTAATTTTATGGGAAACATTTATAACATTTATTTGTATTTTTACGAGCTGAATTGTCTTTGTTGCTTTATTATTATGTCTCACTTGGGAATTTTATGACTGTCCCCTCTTATCTCCTCCCTCCCACTCTTCTGTTCCCCCTTATACGTGGCCATACATTGAGTTTT